GGGTCTGGGCCAAAGGTTTAGGCAAGTTAAGCTCGTCGCGTGTCCTCTGTGCAACTTTCTTTCCCCGCAAACTGTATCGGGGTGGCATTCCGTGGCCATTGCTTTCCCTAGCCCCAGCATCGAGCTAGTCTTGCACGATTACCGACAGAGAGGTTGTTGACAGGACGCCATGACTAAAGACGAACTTCAAATTTGCTAATGCCAATATCACGCGTGCAACAACCCATCTCCGCAAAATACACGAGAACAGATCAGTGGAGGCGGCAAGGCAGCTTGTCAAGCATCTCGACCGTTGGGCGATTTGCATGTATCAAGGTAGGCCAGGGACGGAGTGGTTTGACGGACGAGGCCCTGATGCGGGTTATTGACCGTTATTTTCCCCGCATTTAACTTCCTCACAACGCAGCATGAACAAGTTTGTGCTCACGTCGTCTACGGACGATGTCGATGTCGAAGGGCTAGCCGGCACGCTATCTCGAGTCCCTTTTCTTGGCGGTTCGCCGACTGGGCTTGGTTCAAGATTAGAGGGTGGGAGGGATCTCATCGGGAGTGGACGGGGCTTGATTCCTTTTCCTGTCCCTCTCGTCGCCTCGAGCATCGTTGTTGTCGTCCACACCACGGTCTCTTGCTGGGTCCATCGTGTGGCGTTTCACACGTCCTCGAAATGAAGATCGTGGCTGGACCCCGAGTTCAACTGTGGCAGTATCCCCGAGGTAGGTGGTGTTATGTATTGTGTGAGAGAGTGTGTGTGCGTTGCCTCTTTTCCAGGGACACATGCGATAAATTCGAACGTCTTCTCCGCCGGCGGCCGTACACCACCCTCATCCCGCTCGATGTCTCTTTGCCTTGGTAAATAGCTTGTGAGAGATACGTCAGTCGCAGGAACCTGGAGTCTAGACGGCCAGCCTTTCCTAACTAACCTCTTTCCTCCACCCACCCCAAGCCCTCGAGCTCTTTGCCTGATTTGGATCCGATGGAGAGGTAGGAACCAGGACCATGCGGGGGGTGGTTCTTCTTCTCTCGAGAGTGTGGTGGTGCGGCCACGACCCCCCGCTTGGCTTCCACAAAAGTTCCCAGCTCGGCTGCCGCAGGCCCGCATCGGCACAGGGGTGCGGCGCGAGGGGAATGGGACGCACATCATGTACGCGCGGGTGTGGTGGACTTTGCTTGTTGTGAGAGCTATCCTTCGTCTCGAGAAAGGACCCCCGTCACCATTCCGCAGGACTCTTTTCCGGATCTTCCTTTCAAGGAGGAGGCTTTTTTCGGAGAAGTGAATACGGTCAAGCAGGCAAAAGCGTGATGGTTCTTTCGTTTCCCCCTCGACGTTTCTCGCTTAGGGATGCTTTCCTCTCTCTCTCTCTCTCTCTTTCTCTCCTTCTTGTTGCGAAAAAGCCTGGACTATGTCTCGATGCTTGCCATAGAGAGGTCCATGTATGCAACCCTACCCGGCGATGCTCTACTTGCTTCGGCCCAATGAGATGGTATGGGAAGAAGGGGGTTAGGCCTGGCCCTGATCCTTTTCTTGTATTGCCCCCCTTCTCTGGCGGCGACCGCAAAGGGTGACTTTCTCGAGATCTACCCAAGCTTCGCTGAAGATGGTGAGAGATTCTCGGTCTCTGACGCGGACGACTATGCGCATCCCATCCCATAGGTGAATCCCTCCTCGAGATGTACGTCGTTTGCCTGGAAGCGAAATTCGATTCGCTGATCCGCGACATCGGACGACGTTTTGCCTCGATGGTACTGTGGGTGATTTCCCCCCCTCCCACCCCTCTCCCCATCGCCACACCTTCTTTTGAGGTCCAAAATGGAATAATTCTGGACCTCTGTCCCATTCGATATCGATGTCTAGACCTCCAGACCGGCCCAGAGTATTCGCCCCTCTCTCTCCGTTGTCGTAGCCGTCGTCGTAGCCGTTGCCGTTGCCGGCCCGCAAACGGGGCCCGGGTTGCGTCACCGTGGCACGCAAGATCGCTGTCCCCCTTTGGTCTCTTGTTGCTCGTGTCTTTTTTTGTTTTGTCACCTTCCCAACATTGGAGTAAGGACCGCAAAGTGAAGTGAAAGAAGCGGCACATCTAGCACAATGCATGTGTAGTACTACCATACCTCTGTAGGTCATGTCTTGGCTGCAACTGTCAACTTCCACAAGCATGAAGAATCCAAATAAGCAGTACCGGAGTGGGCCACGCTCTTGGTGAGGTCCCGCCGGTGCTACCGCACATGTCAAAGAGAAGGAGAAGCAAAAAAAATTATCCAATACCGGCATGGGCAAAGCCAAGTCGGCGGCTCTGGACACCAGCCTGCGGCGTGCTTTCTGGCAATTGCTGGTAGAATACGAGGAAAAAATTCAGTCTCTTCGCAATTCCGTCTTTGAATGGCGTTATATAGCACTAGCCAAAACGTCCTCCATCCTACCGTATTTTATACCCTTCTCATTACTCTACTCCCTACTCCCTGCTCGTCAAAAGTTCGTCGTCCCGCTCTTCGTTTCCCTGGGCGTTTTTTGTTGTTGTTGCCTCCCTTCTTCCGTCTTGCCTTGCCTTGCATCTGTAGGTCCGAGGCGAAATCTGGGCTGCAGCGACTACAAGCGAGAGACACGACATGGCCACCTGGTTTCTATTACTTGATCGTCTCCGGCATTTGGGGACCCTCCAAGCGGGCTGAGGCAGACTGGGCACGCGATGAGTCCCATAGTCACCGGTACGATGGGGCCCCAGCTATGGAGTCGAGGGTTAAGGGGAAGGGGGGGGTGAAGGCGCGCAACGCACGATCCAGGGGGCGTGAGCCAGTGTAACAAAAGAAAAGGGACAAAAGAACACGCTCTGCACGCCCACGAGAGGCAATCTTGGCTCCCACTGTGTGCGGTGGGACGAGATGAGGCCGTGGTGATGGAGCATGTGTCACGGTGTCGCCGTGGGGGTCCTCTTTGCGTGGCGTCACACGGCAGAATATCTCTCCTAGCTTTTGAAAAAATAAAAGGGACATGGAGAGGGAATTGGAAGAACCGCTGGTAGGCAGCGGCGACGCTCTCGCTTTGGCCGAGCGGACGGGGACTGTCTTGGAGTTGCAGATGGTGCAGCGAGCATGATTCAATCTCTGGGAGGTCTATTCTAGGCAGTACAAACGGGGCTATTTACGCTCATGTCCGGTTTATCGGATTCTGTGAGACCACAATCTCTGGGCAATGCTGTGCGTTGTTTTGGCTTCAACTTGTGATGTAGTTTCGTTCTTTTCATAGCCTGATATGGCATTTCACTTTAGGTTTTATGTGGAAGCAGAAATCTCGGACTGTCGATGGTTGAAGAAGTGAAGTCTAAAAAAAGCAGAACAACGTTTTCTTATGTCCCGTCTTGAGCCTATGAATATGTCATCGTTGATGAAGGCTAGGATTCATGGTTTGGAAAGCGAATGGGAAGAAGCTCCTTCTAGCATAAGTATGTCGATATTCTTCATTCAATAGTTCTAGGAAACGGGAACCTTCACACCATATCCTAAAGTACCGAATCTGCGACAATCCCTTTTGCTGGGCCACAGGATTCAACGTGAAGTTCTGCGCGTAGTACAAAACTCGTGATTGATTGCATAGCGCCGGATCGTCGAGGCCTCGCTCTTGAAGTTCTCAATCCAGTTTACACTTCATTATCCATGCCCCTGGCAATGTTCTGATATCAAAGTGCTCTTGCCCAAACTCAACCTTTACAGACATATATGATCTACGAGCCTCTAATCACAGACCAATAGACCTAGTTTCTCAACGGCATAGAGTATTCATTGATGACTTCGGGCTTGCCGTATTTTCAGTGAGCCATAAGACTAGCAGTCAAGTGGTATTAATTGAGTAACGCTATTTGTATACTTCCATTCTTCGTAGCGTCAGCGAAGTAGACCTGATTCTATACCTTTTCACTCCCAGTCCACCACATCTATGAAGCGTGCGTGTAGGTTACTGATAGTCGTTGAGGAATGGACAGCTGAGACAAGACATCATCCAGAGGATGAATCCCGGTACCACCGCGTTGCAGCAATCGACAGTATATGCTCTCAGGCAGCAGCAGCTCCAGTCGCACACAGTCCTTTGAAGGACGGATGGGCTCGCTGCCAGCGTTCTGTGTGATACACTTTGGCTCTGTGACGGAGACGGCTTCTTGCTTGGTTCTTCCCAGCCAATATCCAATTGCGCCGTGCTTGCTGACATGTTAATCCGATCCAGAAGGTCGCTATGGAATGGTGATGCTTCGGCGTCAGTTGGGGTTTTCCACTTGTGTAGAGATTTGTTTGTTTCTCGCATCTCCCCAGACAACAACATTATTATTTCTGGAATGACCTGGTAGTTGATAAAGCTGTCGACATGCGGTACTCGGAGAGTCACAGTCATAACAGGCGGGCCTCAAGTATCATACTTCTTTCATCAAGTGTAACCTGGAAGTTTCCCCGTGACAATGTGAGACAACTGATATATTGGATACGGCGCCGACAAATGAGTTGCCGAAGCCTCAAGGCCGAAATATCACATCCCGCCACCTTTGCACCCTCAAGATCGCGCATCTGAACAACGCGTTTCAACAGCTGAACAGGGCGGGGACATGTCTCATCATGGTAAAGAAAGCATCAGAATCGACTGATTGCAGAGAGCACAGTGCTCGGTGACAGTCGAGATCGCTGCGTTGGCATCGCTCTTTTGATAGCCTTTGCAGACCATCCCCTGACATTGTGGACTAAGACCAGCATCGTAACAGCCTCCGCCTGCGAGCGTATCAGTACGCTTTGAGCCACTGCAGCTGCTGAAGACGGCGCGGCGTCAGCCACGGCGGCAACAGAACTTGACAGTTCTTCTGAATAATGGGCAAGCCCATGATCGCAAACATGATCACATTTGATCGACCAAACGGGAATGAACATGTGCCATCTCTTAGGCCAAGGAAAAGGTGTAAAAATATATGCGATTGTTGGCCACACCCGTGGGCTCAGCTACATCTCAAAATGCCTTGCACACGAATTTTCTATACATATGACAACGTGTTATCGTCCCGAATCTTCCCTGTAGTCTTGATAGTGGCCTCGTTGCCTGCAACACAGGGACCTCGAACAATGATCTGTCATGCAGCGTTAGATGTGTGACTGAGCTTCGAACCACCACCAAACTCACCTCTCCTTGATATTCCTGATCCGCATTCTTTAGCTCATCAGTATCTCTCAACAGGATCTCAGTGCTCGTCAGAGGAGGACCGAAGTGCGACTGCTTATCATCATGTACTCTGTAGTCATAGTAACCAGTCTGAGCGACGGCGCCGGCAACCTTGGGTGCGGCCAAAGCGTAGATGACCCTAGCACCTGTGAAAACGCGAAGGTCGGAAAGTTCTCGTGACGATAAAGGCGGCGAGCCGGCGTCGACCCTGTCCGCAACGTAAAGGAGACGCAGTTTGCCAGGAGTCTTGCCGATAGCTGGTCGAGATGCGCTATTGAAACGTGCCGCAGCGGATGCAACTGGCATCACACCACTCTCCGTGAGGCTTCGAGACTGAGCCCAGTGAGCAACCTTGGCCAAGGCAGACGTCAGGCGGTTGGTAGCCTCCTGGTGCGTCTTCAACAGAGTCTCGGGAGTAGAAACCAATACTGTAGGAGCAACTCCCTGAGTGGCCAAAGCCAAGTCGGTGACCTTTCCAGCCACAGAGTTGAAGGCGACGGATGAGTTGGAGTATAGAGCTGCTAATGTGAGGATTAACGTGTAGATGTTTGTCAGAGAGTCGGCTGGCAGGAACAGATCAGAAGGGCCAAGGCGCTGGGTGGTCGGGATCGCAGCGAGCTGGGCGGAAACTCCGGCAACCAAGTTGGACTGAGTGAAGCGCACCATCTCTTCCATGGTTCCAGGTTTCGACTGCCAGAAAGTAACGACATCCTTCGGTTCAATTTCCTTGTCGACAGGGGGCACCTCTCTCGAGGCATCAACTGGTGCATCCCGGAGGATCTCTTGCCATGTCGCGACGTTGACACTGCCGCCCATGCCCTCAGGAACTTCATTCCAGTCCATGTGGGAGCTTCCCTCGTCTACCACCCAGATGAGTTGACGGAGCGCGGGGTATGCCTTGACGACCGAGTCGAAGGGGAACGCGCCAGGGGCTGTTATGACGGTGTCGGCGGCAGAACGACGCAGCATCATTACGAGTTCCTCGTCTGATACATCAAATGGAATCAGGATGGCTGTGAGGTTCGGGTAAAAACTGCAGGCAAACAGCGTCACCAAAAGCTCAATAGAGTTTGGCAGATAGATGGCGACCCGAATACCGCCCTGCTCGTGAATATGTTGTCCGATGAGGTTGATTTGACGAGTAATATCATCTGCACAACATTAAAAGTTGACCATGGCGCAATCGATAGTGTACTTACCAAGCTGATGCTCGACAACGTTCTCAGAGCCCAGCACCGTCAACAAGCGGCCCTTGCCCACAACGGGCTTGCCTTCTTCAGAGGTACCAGTCGCCGCTCTTCTCCAAATATCCCGGAGATCTCCATCGCGTCCTCTCGCCCATTTCGATGAACCGGGGTCCTTGACGTTGAGTCCGCTGTTCAGGGGCATGCCATGAGGGGCAGAGTGGGATCGGTAGACGGGGGATTCTCCTGGTTGGCGGACGGGGGAGCCTTGGGCTTGACGGGCAAGCAGCATAGGATGGGTATCGGGGTCCTGGCTAGAGAGGATTCGGTAGGAAACGATGGCGACGAGAAGAGTGACGAGTGCAGTTGTGTAAGCATTCCATTGTCCGAAGAAGCCTGAGACGCCCTCGTCCAACTGGTGCATGATGTTGTCAAAGAAGCCCATGTTGGGCGGCGCGATGGTCGGAGTAATGCGAGAAGGGTCAAGCTCCGGTGGTCGTCGTCGGTTGAAGAATATGAATGACGGAGGAAGCAAAGCAGCAAAAGGCTTTACGTGGCCCGCATGGAAAGCTCGGAGGGATCGAAAGGGAAAAGCATGAGGCAGTGCCGCGGAGCTCGAGCTCGGAGGTTTCTTGGTGCTGAGGTGGGTTGTGCTGGCAGTGAACGGCGGGGATTCCGACGTCCCCCCGGCTTCCGCTGTTACGAATGCCTCTCGAAAGCGACCGGGAGGAGGTACCTTACTCGTACCGCGTCCAATTCTCCAACAGCCGGACAGCTAGCACACTGCGTGTCTCCGGCCTAGCTTTCTGCGTAGTCAGCACGGTAGTTCATAAGCTGCCGAAAGTTTAACCCAAGTGTCTCCGAACCCAACCTGGAAGGACTCCTGCTACGTAAGGTAGCTGGAGGTACTTCTTGTGAGGCCTCAGTGCGCCCGGGCTGAGGCACGATACGTACCTGCCTTCCACGCGACACAATCAAGCCACCTCACCCCACCCGGCAGAGCACAGGTACCCACTAATTACACAACAGACCGCTTCCTGCCGGTTGCTGTGGCCCGTGTGGCTGGAGTGTTGTTTTTCTGCCAGTGCCTTTGCCAGACGCCGCAGCTCTTATCTTCTGTCGCATCCATCACCATCGACAACTCGACTTGAAGCGGCGCATTGAAGCACGCCAGCGCTCGGCGACAGCGCAGCGTCTCAATAGACACACTACTAACATCAAACAGGTTTGCGAAATCATTGGGACAAGTAAGTCACATTTTCCATCACGGACGGATGCGTAGACCTGCAGATGACTGGAACTAACGTTATGCGCAACAGGCCTTGACCCTGACTGTGGCTACCGCGTAACGGCATCAACTCCTTCGACCTCACCTCCCCCGTCTTGCTAGTATTTACTGCAACGATGTCTTCGTCGGCGAGCCGAGCCGCCGTGAGCACTCCCGTCAGATCGACGCCACAAAAGCCAACCCCTATTGTCGACAGTCCCGGTACATGGAGACACCCACGCCTGAACGAGATCACGAGACGGCGGAATGCAACGACCTTTTCCGAGAAGAACGTGAGAAGAATAGCGCTGAATATTGGCTTCCTCGTTAGCCTGTGGCTGTCCCAGATCTTGTCTCGTTCATATGTTCCCGCACAATGGTACGTTTTCCATTTGCATCTCAAGTGCGGACACTGCTGACTATCTAAGCAGGTTCAGTAGCTCCCTGCGGTCGTATCTAGGATGGGCATACTATCTAATTCAGCTCATCCCACTGGTCAACATTGGCATGGCTATGCTACCTCTCCTCCGATCCGCCGATGATCTGTCCGACATTCCCTTGACGCCCGCTCAGCGTCAACTTCTCGGATTGCCGCCCAGTTCTGCAGCAGCCACACCCGATGCTGTCTACAGTACCCCGCCACGTTACTCGCGGACACCGTCTCTGGCAGGCTCACCGGCGAGCAATCGGAGCTTCTCTGGCTCCCCGCTTTCCGGCAGAGGCAGCCCGGCTCTTGGGAGCTCTTTCAATGGAAACGGACAGTCCTATTCTCCGTCCCCCCTTCACAACAGCCCCTCCAAGTTTTCGGCCAGTCTGAACAGCAACCGGAGGTCATCCTTCGGCTCTTCGACGAACTTGGGAGCGAGCACTGCTTCTTCCCTCTTCCCTGATCCAGGAACGCCGAGCCCCTCTACCGGAAAGCGCACCAGCGTGGGACTTAACAACAAGTGGCTATACGAGAGAGGCAGGAGATCTTCAGGCGGCAACTGGATGCACTAGACCATGATGGCGCATAGCGCTTTCGAAGTCTATAGGATATTTGGGAGATGAATGACTGCAGCCAGTGGGACAGGAACCCTTGTGAAAGGCGTTTGGGTGTAATGTTTCTCATGGGGCAGAGACAATGGATGACTAGATGCCCTACGATTACTCAAAGAGGACCCAAACTTTGCATAAATATTGGCGTGGGACCTATAGAAGAATAGAGGGACTGAAATGCAAGGGTCTTGTCTCAACCTGGAAAAATACAGCCCGCGTCATTGCGCATCTAGGTATAGTAGCTCCAGCCTGTCCACATGCCAGGTTCTGGAAAAACTAGTGGACGGGTAGTTGTGTCTTCGCTGAGTGGGCCATAAACCACCGTTTCAAGCAGAGGATATAGGAATCGGGAAATGGCAGCACTTGCTTTCCAAGTTTACCCAGTAAGGAGAGAGAGGCGGGCAATCGGCCGTTTTGTCGTTACCGCGAGCTGTGCCAACAAGCTTCAAAAGCTGTCCAAAGAGTTATACCTTGAGTGCCTCAGCTAAGGCACCTTAGTTCAGGCAGGTACGTACCTCGGCATCGAGGTCTGGCACGGAGAATGGGAAACGGGACGGGAACGTGGACTTTTGAGATACGGCGAACTCACACCCCGCTCTTCTCCCCTTATTGGCCAAACATCGACCTGCGACCCGCTCTTCCGCCATTACGTAGCACTCACTCAGTGCGCCTCTGGTCCGGAACATTGCACCGTCGACCTCCCAAGCTTCCTCCTCCCGTCAGAACATTTCGAAGGATATGCCCCCTCTGTGACAACATGGGCGCCAGCGATTCGAAGCTTGTCTTCAAGAAAGGCATCTTCAGGCTTTCTGAAGAGCGACACATCCCAGCCGATGATCCCTACTGGACTTCTGTATGTCAGCTTGTGAAGTGTCCTCTTTGCCCGTGATACTGACCCAGGCCACCCGTGTAGTTTTGGGAGCTTCCGGAATCGTCAGAGGACATTTTCAGCCTCTTTGCGCCCGCCGACATTCGTCGCACTCGAGACAAGGCCCTAGAGAATTTAGAAACTCTGATTCTGGCATTAACGTCACGCCTCTTCATCCTGCGCCATCATCCCTCCTTTCCCGATCCCGAAATCGCTCCCGAACGCGATGCTCTCAATTGTGTCCGCGTCCTGACGCGCATCCTTCCCTTCATCTACGAGGCCGATAATCTTCAATCATGGGAGGAGCGGTTCTTCTGGGGGGCACGTAGAAAGAGAACGAGGCAATCTGCAATTGCGGCCGAGGTACTCTTCGACGGGGCTCAGGATGGCCAGCGGCCGCCCAAGAACGAAAACGAAGACTTCGAAGATGCCAAACCTCTTGCTGAAGAGCTCATCGACACTTTGGTAGACCTGCTATTCTTCTCCGACCTCACCCTACCCCGACAACCGAGTGGACGACCGAAAGTGTCCTACGCCATCTGGCAGAGTGGTGTAGGCTGCAATACATCCGTGGCGACCACCAAAGAATTCGAGAGCAATCGCAGCGAGATACTCCGCTTGTTGCTCACCATGACTAGCCAGAGCATGTACATGTCATCAAACTTGCTGCCGCAGAAGGGAATTCGAGCCCTGACACACATATGCACGTGCCCCGATAAGCAGGTCGTGCTATCAGTCTTGTGCTCCCTGCTCAATACCGTATGTGAAAGCACCTCGTTCTCTCGGTGCCTGAACTCATGCTGACAGACGCAGACCCTGAAGTACAATCCAGCCACCTGGCGGGTGCCATACAATACGCTGGTTTTCAAGGACGAGAAGCAGATCCTGGTGACATACACACTCCAGCTTTTGCTGGTATTTCTATTGTACCCAATCCCTGAGCAAAATGGCACGACTCCCAAGAACTACTACCGCCACTTCCTTGGGCGACTTCATCGGCCACAAGACTTTCAGTTCATCGTCGATGGCATGACACGGATACTCAACCAACCGCTCCAAGAAAAGAGCTCGTATATTCCCAGTGGGCAAACAAATGCCAGATTTGCGCCAGAGATCATCATGCTCTTTTGGGAAATCACACAGTGCAACAAGAGATTTAGGTCCTTCATCATCGATACTGAGCGGGTTCATGATTTTGTCGTGCTCACTCTATTTTACGCTTTGGAGTACAAGAATGACGCATCCAAGCAAGGTGTTGTGAGAATGTGTGCTTTTCTGCTGCAGACCCTGAGCGTTGAGAAGAATTTTGGCGCCAATCTCAACCGAAAATTTGAAGGTCAAGACAGTCTGCCTTTGATCATTAGGATACCTGGCTTCAGCGGCACTTATGCTGACTTCCTCATACATGTAAGAGATAAAAGCCTATGCATTTAGGTTGGTTTCAGCTGACAAAGACTAGTCCATCTACAACCTCATCACCACGAGCCAAGGCAGATTGACAGCTATATACCCGGCTCTCATGGCTGTCATCAACAATATCGCTCCCTATCTGGAGGGTCTCAGCTCAGCATCTGCCTCAAAGCTCCTGCAACTTTTTTCGTCCATGTCTTCACCTTCATTTCTGCTCGCCAACGACAGCAATCATGATTTGCTTAGGTCACTGTTGGAGTCAATCAACTCGATTGTCGAGCATAACTATCAAAGTGAGTCATCATGTTCGTCGGAGAATGCAAGCCTGGCAGCCTCGTGATCGCTCGGATCTTGAAGAAAACGTTATACTAATATCATGACAGAGAATCCAGAGCTCATCTTCGCAATTCTGCGTAATAAGAAGCGGATAGAAGCATTACGAACGTTCACCCTTGAAAGCGGTCAGGAGGAGATCGAGAGACGGAATCGTCGCCGCAAAGAATCCGCCGCCAGTGGCGATGGGCTTGAGCCAAGTTCTGTGAGGAGCTCAGCCGAAAGTATCCGCAGTCCAACAGCATCTCATCCTCGACCGCCGACGCTGAGTGATGTCCCGGAAGAGGACAGCACCTTCGCAATCGGTGATGATGAGGACGATAGCGAGGACGAGGATCACCGCACAACGCCGGCCCGGTCAACTACAAGCGAAAACCCATCTGTGACGTCGTCGCAGGCATCGGTAGTGGAAGACGCCGTTCCAACTCAACTTCGGGGTATGTCAGAAAAGGCGAGAGGCAAGATGCCTGCCGGCATGAGCAACTTCTCCAGGCAAAACAGCACCACCAGTCTGGGCGGATATTCCACAAGTGGACAGTCACAGTCCGGTGGCTTTGAGCCAACGGCCAATTGGATCGAAAACTGGCTGCCAGAGCTGCCTCTTCACACCATCCTGACCGTGATCCAGCAGGTGACGTCTCTGTTGCCGAGACAAGCTCTTGCTGGAGAATCTGCAACCCGAGAGACGCTTTTGAAGATTCAAGAAATCAGGCTGGTGGGAGTAGAGCCAACACCGCCACGAGTGCACTCCTTTGAGTGGTCGCAGCTGTCGTTGGGATGGTACGAGTCCCTGTTGTGGGGCTTTGTGTTCAGCAGCGAGATTCAGATCTCCAAGGGCACAGTTGGAATCTGGAATGGTACAGCGATTAGGCTGTTCAGGGTGCAAGAGACTGCACCTCAGGGACCGAGTCTGGCATCACCGAGAGGAGCCGTTGATGCTGTTGGAAGCAACATCGTGTCCCGAATTGGTGCTATGAATTTGCGAGGTCCTGGAGGTGCACCGCCAACAGCCAACCAGCGTCCTGGATGATGACGCGATGATTCAGATCTAAGTTGCGGGAGGCTTCCCAACACTTTTGGCTGATCCTTTGATGGTGGGCCGCGAGGATACTCTCACGCAGGAGGAGATTTGGACCATTTGACACCTAAAGACGATGTCCACATGGGGATGACGGGGCACGAAAACAATACTGCTGAGGGCTGAAGGGTCTTTACAAAGGCAGTCACAACACTCTGGTGAATGTCGACCCTTGCATAGAACAGGGTCGGTGGAAGATGAGGCCGAGGACTCGAGAATGGTGCTACATGCGCCGAAGCTAGCTGGCTCAGGACCAGGAGGGCGGCGTTAGGGTAGGAACCAGGTACCGAGATCGCGTCAAGGTGGTGAGTTGTGGCAAAGGACGCGTATGTAGGTGTAGCGGGATTGAACAGGCATTGGCAGGCGGTAGGATTTACAATCTATCCAGCAATCTTTCACTCGGTGTGCAACTCACGGGATGCCAACAAGATAAGCATGAGTCCAAGTACCTCCCTCACCTTGACCTGCTGCTCCAGAGAACCTCAAGGCGATTTTCATCTTGAAAGGGGTGTGGCTTGACGTGGCGAGAGCGCTAGGTATCCCAGAAGGCAGGGGGTGAGGACTATAGTATGACCAATGAGGCCTTTATAACGGGCCCTTCGTCCAGGAGTGTGTTGGCAGACGGCCCAACCCTGGCAACTAATGCAACTCTGTACCTGGCAAATATAGCAAAAAGCGGTGATCATTTCCGAGCTTGTCAGGGTATTCGTACGCACCGCCACAGGCCTGCCCGGCCCGTACCTGTTGTACTGTTCTAGACCATCCCCCTCTCCAGATCAGCCATTCAGAGGCCGCCTGGTAAGCAAGGGGATGAAGGTAAGCCACAACGCCACACTCCAAGTTCGCAACCGGGGGGGGGGACGGCATGGAAGTGCCTCTTCGGTTGCGAAGACGGTGGACAAGGCACTTATCATAGTCCCGGGCCATAGTATTGATGAGACGATGTAGGATGCTGCCTCCATGCTGAGAGAGGTTGTATTAAATAGTTTGGCTCGCTTAAGCTCGTTTGATTTTTTTATGTGTTTTTGTTTTTCTGCCTTCCTAGCCTTATTGCAATCCGCTGTTCCTCGTTCTGTTCTATTACTCATCGATCGTTCGGGTGTTCAATAAAACCCTTCGTGTGCTGCTGCGATTTGTTTACTTTCCGGTGTTTCCGCTCAGCGCTGTGTGAGGAGGGTACGATATCTTCACTTGGTCCGCCAGCACGCTCACCACGTATTATGCCATTTGACTCCAACCATGGTCAACAATCACGACTCAGGCGCCGCCGCCGGCCTGGCGGGAGATGAGATTAGTCCTTACCGCATCCATGTGAGAGTCCCAAAGGCTGAAGTGAAGGGGGGTACGGTTGGGTGGATGGATAAGAGTAGCCGAGGGGAGGCGAGACGTTGAGCTTTCACGGCTAACATCAAATCTTGTTGCAAAAAATAAAGGTTTCCAGCAAGTATCTCGATCTCACAAAGCAAAAACTGGAGCTCACGAGACTGCCGCATGAGCCTTCGGAACCCAACAAGTCTCGGGACTGGTGGGAGCCAAAGTCTCGAATCGAACCGCTCATTGACTTTTGGTAAGTCGAAGCTTGCTCGATCCCGTCCAAAAATCAATTTGTAGAGAAGGAAGGGATTTGCTCGTACGAAGCGCGTCTAACTTACCCCAGGCTTGAAAAGTACGACTGGCGAGAACAAGAGACGGCCTTCAACCATCAACTACCCCAGTTCCGTACAGCCATAACCCCGCCGGGCTCAACGTCGCCCGTCCGTCTTCACTTCATCCACGTCAGATCATCTCACAGCCACGCCATCCCCCTTCTCTTGATACCCCCTTTCCCCTTCACAAACCTATCCCTCGGACACCTCACCCAGCCCCTCGCGGAGCCCGAATCTATCGAAGAGCAACAGCCCTTCCACGTGGTCATCCCCTCTCTGCCCGGCCTCGGCTTCAGCGATGCTCTCCCAAGCGACGACGCGTCCGTCATCCCGACGACGACGGAACTCCTCAACACGTTGATGTCGCGGCTCTCGTATACGCACTACCTGGTCTCCAACACCGCCTCAGCCGCCTCCAGCCCCGCGCAAATCGACTGGAAGCTCGCGAACCACCTGGCGAGCCACCATGCGAACAGCTGCCTGGGCGCCCACTTCATCAACCCGTCGCTCGCGGCACCGACCCTGAAGGAGGCGCCCCTCGAGTGGGTGAAGTGGTCCCTTGCCAAATTCTTCCGCGCGCCCATCCTAGGCTACCAGAACGAGGATCTCCGTTCCCTGGACGAGACGCAAGCGAGGCAAAAGTCAGTCGCGAGGAGGTCCCCTTCATTCCAAGCCGGGCCCGGGGCCCTGCTGGAGCCAAACACGACGTCTTTCGCGCTCTGCGACTCCCCCGTGGGCCTCCTCGCCCTCGTCCTCAAAGTCATCCGCATCCTCGGGGCGAAAAAGGACTTCTCGGCCGCCGAGATCATCACCTTTACCCAGACGGCCTGGCTCCCCGGCCCAGAAGCCGCGATGCGACTCTGGGCGCGCTGTCTGACGGACCAAGAAACCCTGCTCCCTAAGCCGTCTAAGAAACCATACGTGGCAATCACAGTCTTTTCGGGAACCGGAGAGTCTGGAGGAGGAGGAGGAGGAGAAGAAGGAAGAGGAGACGCGAGCGGCCCCCCTGACCCAGAAGCACAGGCACAGGTCCGGGACGTCTTGCCTCGGCCGGCCCCGAATCCGTACGTATGTCCCGCCTGGGCCAACGTCTCGTACAACGCGGTACACGTGCGCCGCGTACCGGGGACACCGGGTCTCGTAGCCTGGGACCGCCCCGAGCTCATCGGCCAAGGCGTGAGGGGCCTGGCGAAGAAGCTGCTCTCCTTCGACGCCAGAGTCAAAGACATTGTCGCCCGGCAGCAGCGACCGAGCACAGCGCCTCTGCAAGGCGTCGTCGTCGTTCAATCCGACTCGTCGGCGCCGGCGCCGGGCCCGAGCGGGGGCCAAGGGGCGGCGGGAGCGGGAGCGGGAGCGGGGACCGTGCCGCCTTCTACTCCGCAAGTCGAGCCGACGTGGCGACTGAGCCAGATTCGCGAGGCGTCTGAGACGCCCAAGAAGTCATCGCAGCAGGATGGCGACGCGGGACTGATGCTGTCGCCGCCGGACGCCGATTTCGACGGGGCGAGTCCGGATACCATTGTGGTCACTCCTCCCGTGAATATGCGGTAGCCGGCGGATGGTGTTTAATGTTTACTCTGTATAATGATACCATGTGATGCGAGTATACACGATATGAGGCATGTCCTGAGAATACAGCTAATAATGACATTCTTTCAATCAGATGTGGCTCCAAAATCATTCGTGAAAGTTGCAAATTTGTCCAAAAATAAAAAAAACTGTCTCGCACGGCTTCGTCACCTGGGAGTTTCGAGAGATTCCGCATCCAACCCACACCTTTCCTGCCTCGCCTTCCATGTAAGCCTTGACAATGAAGACCGTAGTCCCATAGTCAACACATGAACCAGCCACCGAACAAAAAAGAGCGAGTGCTCGTCAGACTAGCCTCTAATACGCCGTCAAGTGCGGAGTCTAAACACAGAACTCCTCAGGCGGCGTTGATTGGCGAGCAGCCCAAGTTAGCCAGCGACATCCGAAAGTCAAAGTTTCTAGGAAAAGACAGACGTGACCAGAAATTCACAGAATCAATGCTTAGGCACGGATGCATCAAAAGAGCTGAATGACTTTGTACAGACGGGGAAACAACTTGATATCATTGACAAGATACCTTCCAACGCTATGCATTCCTGAACCATTGAAACCTAAGGTATATCACTAAACGCCGGTAGCTGATCCATATCACTCTTCGTCGCTGCTGTCCATCACAAAGCCTCCCCTCGTGCGCTGCCGCGAGCGCGCCGTAGGCACCGGGGCATCTTCATCATCCTCACCTGCAGACTCGGCATCTGCCTTCTCTTGGGCTTTCACCCCTCCTTCTTCAGCAGACGGTGCCTCAGGAGACAGGCGTCTCCGTTTCCTAGACCCCTTGTCCTGAGAAGATGACGGACTCGATGTCAATGGCGTAGCGTTGTCTGCGTCCTGCTCGCCCTCGCTTTCGACATCCATGTCTACGTCGGCGCTGGGCCGAGTCGACTGGGTACCCCTCGTCACAGTGAGTACATCATCGTCATTGTCATCGCTGTCGTCGAGCAGTACTGCTGCCGGTCTCTTGGCCGGCTCTGAAACCGCAACCCTCTCTACAGTACGCGCCATGCGCAAGCGTTGTGCCTCTTCTCGTTGGAAGAACTCGCGGTCGTATTCCTCGTCCGTGTCATCATCGCTAGCGTGGACATACGCCTCGCTCTTGACCTTTCTCGCTTTCTCTCTCTCACGGTCCCTGCGCTTCTTCGCCCTTTCTTCCAAATCAGAATCGTTCGGCGCCTCTTCTTCGCCTTCCTCGCCGTCTTTTCTGCGCCGCCTCCGCTTCGTCTTTTTGGAATCAGGATCGTCAATGGCTTTGCGAACGGTAGGCCCTAGGGGTTCGAAGAGGAAGCCGTCATCGTCATCATTATCCTCGTCGTCGTCGTCGTACTCGGCTCGCTTTCGGACCGCTTTCTTGCGCCGAAGTTGGTCCTCCGCACTGGCACCATCAAAGACGGGCGGGTCAAACTCGGCTTCGTTGATGTGCCTGAGGTACATGCGGAGAAGAGCGGCATCAAGTTCAGGTGGAAGGATCCATACAGATTGTGGCGTCTCCTCGATAGTCGGTGCTAGCCTTTCAAATCCCACCAGTTTCATAAGGAGGCGAAGGTGAGAATTTTTGAATATGGCAGTCTTGCGGGCATCGCTATCCGGCCGTACAGCTGAGACATGTCAGACAAATTAACCAGCTTGATTGTCCTAGAGAAGAACTTACTAAATGGATGTTTGTCCATCTCGTCGGTCGGTTGTGCGTCCTCGTCGGTCGCACCCGTGCCCTCAACCGACGGTATGGCCAAATCCGCCGCCGCCCAGGCAGCACGCTCACTTTCCGCAGTCTCAAGATTCTTTTTGACCCACGCGATATGATCCTGTTGATTCTTGTCAAGCAGAGCACCAACGACGATGGCGATTTGTCGGTCCAGGTCTGCAGTGTGCCTGAACTCGAGTTCTGCAGCGGGCCGAGGATGCGAGGTCGAAATGGTTTGTTTCTCATAACCATATTCCAGGTAAAACGCGGTGCTGCTGATCTTGGAGAACAGCATCTCAATGATGAGTTCGGGCCGCTGCTCAATCTTGCGCGTGCATTTTTTCAGGATTTGCTTGGTTAGTTCTTCCCACTCCTTGTACATTGAGGAGTTTTTGTCCAGCGGTTCCGGTCCCTTAATCATGTTGTAAAAGAGATGCACAATATCAACGCGGAAGAGCATCACACTCATCTCCTGTTTAAAGGCTACGCGATAAAAGTAGCGATGAGCACGCTTCAGCTGAGAGTCATCGAGATCCTTGTAGAACTTGGTGAAAGCGACAAAAGTATCGACAACACCTTGGGGTGCGAACCGCGATGTGAATCGATGGAAGTCGAACTTGCGCTCTTTGGATGTCTTTTCGGCGTTTGCCTCATCGTTGGCAGAATCGTCGTTCCCTTCGTCAATTGTATCGATGCCTGCTTCTTCTTGTTGGGCTTTCTTCTTTCGCCGAGTCCGCTTGCGAGACCTTACTTGCATGTCGACATTTTGTTTCGAGTAGGCCTCCAAAATTCGCAAGAAGTGATGGACCAGCTCTGTGGCGGTGTCGAGGTACTCGAAACCTTGCTCCTTGTATTGTCTGACGACATTGGCAATCAAATCGTGCGTGGAGTCTTCGTAGAAGAGACGGCTCAATGTGTTTTCCGCAATCTCCTCGTCATCTTCGTTTCCTGACTCTGTCATCTCCTGAACTGTAAGAAGAACCTGCGTGAAGCACCGCATCGCAGCCGTCAGGGTGGGCCAATCCTTCTGGTCCCAAGCGTCGTGCATGGTTTTCGTGAGGGTGACGAACATTGGCTGATTGAGCACACCGGCCACGAGATTGAAGCTGCTAACCTCTTCGACGGTGCCTGGTTTCTTCAAGTCTCGTTTGTACTTTCTGCGAGTTCGCTCCGCTTCCAGAAACCAGGCGACGAGGTACATGAACTGCCGACGATGGTAAGACAGAACGTGGGGCGCCTCTCGATCCAGAGATTTGCGAATGTGCTCGAACAGAGGGTTGAAACCAGCATCGAGGAAATCCTCGACGAAACTTCGAAGCTGGCCGTTAGCCCTTGCATTAAGCTTGACTGGAGCACCAAGATCCTTCGATTCCAGCTCTTCCTTCTTGGCCCGTCGCGGTGGTTTAAATGTTTTGGACTCGTCCAGTTTCTTTTGCCGCGTAGCACTGTCTGCGAGCGCGTCCTGGCCAGTGATTGTTGATACCCTGCCGTCTTCACGTTGCATCCATACCATGGTGCCGAAACGGTTGTGGCGGGTGGGCGCCTTGCGGTTGAACGCACTGCGCATGGCATTCTCCTTCTTCATCATTGAGGAGAGTTCTTGGGCCTTTGTATTGTGTAATTGCTGTTCGTCCATGAATAGCTTCTTAACCTCCACTTGTTTGACCAGGTGGTATATGACTTCCATGAGAATAACGTCTTCGGTACGGAAGTCTTCCCCCATGTTCGAGGCAATCATCAGCAGCACGGCAAAGATATCCTGGAAGGAAAATGCGTCTATCGTCGTGGAGCGGGATATCTGGGTCTCGTCGCCATCGTATTGAACACCCGCAGGTGGGGTGATCATTGCCACGTTGCGTAGGAAGAAGAGCACGAGCTTGATGATGCCCTGGTCGCGGGGTGATCGGTCGCCAATGGAGATTGCCATCGACGGCAGCGCTGCTCGGATAGCTGTGTTGAGAATCTGGGCGCCGTCGAAGTTGATGATGGCCCGCTTGTATGCCACTTGCGCCAGCTCAAGAACAGGCATGTGGCGATGGTGGTTGACCGTCATTCGTTCAGCGTCTCTTTCCATGGGCCAAGTAAGGGGAACCATGATCTCAAAGCAGGCTAAAGCGATGCGGGCTTTGAACTTGTTACTGGTATCATTCTCGGGCCAGCTCGCGAGGATCTGGAGAAGGTCGCCTTCGACGATATTGGAGTCTGCAATGCATCGGGCGACATCCATGCGGTTGGTTTTTTCGTCGTAGTAGCGAATCCATTTCTTCAAATCGCGGAGGACTTCGACGGCGTCATCGCCCAGTCTGTATCGTCCATCGTCGTCAGCGCTTGTGCCACCGAGCTATTCTCAGGTTAGAGTCAACGAGCAATGGTTTCAAGAGGGTTACCGGGCTAGTCAAAACGTACCGCGGACACAAGACTGTTGATGTGCGCGCGAACTTCAGGGTGGACAACTTCTGTTGACCCGTCCGGCAACTCCATCTTGTCGTTGTGGGGAGGACTTAAGATAATGGCAGACAGCAAGCGACTTTTGATGTTGTCTCCATCTACACATCAACAGTGACGACGGTTGAGAAGACTTGGAAGCACCGGCCCCAATTCACCCAGCGACGCGTTTGACGCGATGCAGCGCGTCCTAACGAAAGTTGCGTTAATTGGTCCCATATTTCCGCATTATCGATAGTGGAAGATTAGATAAGACCAAAGTGTGGCACCTGCGCTCTCTGTACCTTAGGTAGGTACCTGCCTTAGCTCTGGGCCAAAGCCACCACCTGGGGCTTGATTATCAGGGGGGCCGCGGTTAACCTCGGGTCATGGGCATCATCACGGCCTTGGATCAGGAACGACATCTGTCCACGGACTTCCGTTCTGTACCTCAGTCTCAACAGTCCTTCAAAGCAGACTCGTGAAGTTTTCTTACCCTTTTCATTGATTGTAACTTGGTCGTTTGTTTCTCGCGAGCTCTGATCCAACCACTCTCACGGGCACAGCCGAGCTTACTCGAATACCACCGAGAACGTAATCCCTGCACACTGACGTATTGCCGACCTCGATAGCTATGGCGGCTTCAATTGCTAGAGTACGGGCGGTGGCCAAGCTTCCCGGACAGCTCCGGGCATTCAGTTCTACTCCCAGAGTCGCTTCTGCAACGGGGGGAGTAAAGCGATTGGGTGTCATCGGTGCTGGACAGATGGTGAGAGAGCTCGCGAATTAGCATGTGAATATCCGTCGTCCGAAAACTGACCGGCTCAAATCCAGGGACTCGGCATCGCTCTTGTAGCTGCCCAGAGGGCTCAAGTCCAAGTAACACTTGTTGATGCAAACAAGGCGGCCCTCGACAAGGGTCTTGCATTCGCGGGTGAGTATTCAACAATGCTTTGCTGACGAAGTCGCTGGCTAATACCTCACCAGAGAAGCTTCTCGCGAAGGACGTTTCCAAGTCCAGAATCACACAGGAGCAGGCAGACCAGGCCCGCTCGCTCCTATCGCCAGCCACGTCTATTGATCAGCTGTCGGAGGTGGACTTTGTCATTGAAGCCGTTCCTGAAATTCCTAATCTCAAGTTTGACATCTTCTCCAAGCTGGCGCAAGTCTGCCCGAAGCATGCCATCTTGGCCACCAACACGTCGTCCATCTCCATCACCCGTATCGCGGCTTCCACCACCAAAGACCCTACAGATACCTCGGCCAGCTCCCGCGTCGTCTCGACCCACTTCATGAACCCCGTCCCGATCCAGAAGGGTGTGGAGATCATCAGCGGTCTGCAGACCAGCCAGGAGACGTTGGACAAGGCCGTCGCGTTCTGCAAGGCCATGGGCAAGGTCACTTCTGTCTCCGCCGACTCTCCCGGCTTCCTCGCGAACCGCATCCTCATGCCCTACATCAACGAAGCCGTCATCTGCCTGGAGACCGGCGTCGGCGACAAGGAATCGATCGACGCCATCATGAAGAACGGCACCAATGTCCCCATGGGTCCGCTGCAGCTCGCAGACTTTATCGGTCTGGACACGTGCCTGGCCATCATGAAGGTCCTTCATGAGGAGACTGGTGACTCAAAGTACCGGCCGAGTGTCTTGCTGCGGAAGATGGTTGATGCTGGTTGGTTGGGAAAGAAGAGTGGAAAGGGTTTCTACGACTACTGAACATGGAGATGATGTTGGAGTTGATGATGAACAAATTGGACTAATGAGTCGCTTCTTTAATGTGAAAACAAGTGGCATGTTGTTTGTAGCAGTAAGCTCAAGAATTTGGTGCATAATACTGCGCAGTGCCTTTGTCGTCTCTATGAGTGTTGAGGTACGTCTACTTCCACGTGGGATGTTTCACCAGGCACACTTGCGCGACGTGCTGTATATCTTGGCTTTCTTGGAAAAATGCCAACTTTTTGACTGATAGTTGTACGGGTGTGTATATCACCTTACTCCAATTCGATCGTCAAATCCAGGGACCGGCCGAGTTTAGACACATCTCATAAGCCAAGGAAGCTGGACTAACATGCTCAAGTGTAATGTCATGTATTCTGCAGTATATTTGCTGCTCAGCAGTTTGGGACTTGGCCTTTTCCATTTGCTGTCCAGATCTAGGCTCGCATGTTCTTTGCATGGCATGTATTCATTGATTTGAATGGTATGTTTTTTAGAAGAAACTCGTAACTTCCGCAAGAGGAACGTGGACCTTGGATACCTGTCGTGAAGCGTTCCCTCGATTTTTTTTGATTTTTTTTCTTCAAAAAAACACTCTTAAAAACTCGGCTGGATATGCGCTATTTCCATCAATCGCGGGCCAGATCCATTCAATTGCGTGTGTGTAGTCAGGCACGCCAGAGTTGCCGCCAGCACGGCAGAAGCCCTTGAACAATTGAATCAAGCATCGCCATACCTGGACTCTTAGTGTGCCTAGGTACCTATTGTAGTTCTGAGAGACTCTAAATCTGACAGCCCACGCAGTTGCCAGTGCGGCCGGCGGACAGCTCCTCAAAGACTGCGAGCACAGATGGACCGATGTATCAAGCGGGAATTTGGATTGCATCCAGGTGATGGTTCGCCACAACGGACACACACACACAAGCATGAGAGAATATTCAGCGCGCTAGAATGGATGGTATCGATCCTTTGGGTAGTCAGATGTGTGCGGTGGTGCGGCAGTTGGCCGTGTGACTTTCCTGGCGTGTACCGGCGCCCTGCTCACTTGAGAGGGTCTAAACCGAGAAGTGCCGCGCGAAAAGAACGTCGCCGCCGATCGTCTGTGCAATTTTGCCGACGGATCTCACTCTACTCACGCAAGCACCACCCCTTGGTGGAAAAGTCTTTGACCCAACTGAATATTGGCCGGAGCAGGTTGTCGTCCGGTGTCTATCTACCTTGGATACCTAACCCAAATCACCTAGAGTCTGTGGCGATCAGGAGCACAAGGCACGAAGTTACCGCAAGGCAGTAAGAAGAGAGACTGTCCAGTGGGTTTGTTGTGTTCTTCTTATGGTAGACGTCATCAGCCAATCTTCCGAAAGACGAATTACTTACCATTTGAGTACAACACGGCCGCAGCGCGATTCCTGATGGGTTAAGGACGACAGCAAAGGCGAATGAAGAAGTATCGAAAAGACCACATTCTCTGCCCAGGCAGAATTTCAATCCACCCAGTACAGCCAATCAAGAGCTTCCGTTTCTCGGGGTTCCAAGACTGTTCTGGGGTGCCGGGGGAAAGGGGGAAGGGGGAAGGGAGAACAATGGATGGGAACTATCGCAACGCACCTATCGGAGGCGACAATATGCACGCGGCGAGTGTGCCTCGGGTCGGCTTTGAATGTTTTGTGACGGTTGGCTGACTCGGCGAGGCGGTGACGGCAAGGGGCGGGAGGCGACCGACGGCGGCGGGGTGGGAGAGAAGCATGGTGGATGAGCGTGGGAGAAATCTGTCATGGCATGTCTTCCGTCATCTCGCTCTTGCGATTCTATTGCGACAACTGTATCATGCATGATGCCGTACCCTCTGCAGAACTTGCTCACACAAATCGTTGCGTGCCAGCCATCTTCAAGCTATACTTTTTAGCGATTGCTGTTGAATTCATCAAAGACTGCACCTTGTTCAAGATCCAGCGGGGTGGGGCCGTGTTTCTTGAACTTGTCTCGCCGACCAATCTAGATTCAGCGTTTCCGTCAGAAAATCAATCATCCTTTTCGCATTGCCCCTTGTCTCTTTGGGTTTTTCCCTTTCTGTGGTCCAGTTCCAACTTCGACGTGCGATTTCTCTGCCGAATCTCTGGACTCCGCGCGACCTCCACCCTCGTCGTTGGGAATACCCCGGTCCGATTTACTTTTGCCTTGACTTGGTCGTGCGAACTTCTACACATCTTAAATACAACCCGCCAACCCGCCCTCTCGGGCGAAGGTGCTCACATACATCGCCGATACTCAGTATACGAGGAGTCTCATCGGTTCAACGACATCGAAGATTAGGTCTTCAAGATTGTTCAAAGGCTCTCACACAAACTCTCTCTCGTCTCGCCGGCATGAGTGTGTATTGGCCTCGAACCGCGTCTTGTTGAAATCGTTGTCCTTGTTTTTTCTCCTGGCTTCGCTTTGTTTTGTTTGGTTTTGTTCCCAGCATTTTGCCTAGTTATCAATCGGAGGAAGCACGTCATTTCTCGCCGCAAGCCATCGCCGACGAATGCGCAGTATCAGATTGCCAAGTCAAGCCTCCCTCGCCAAGTAATTATATACTTGTTCGACTCGACGACGATAATGGTACCTAATATTAACGAGAAAACCGTTCTGCCCGGTCGGCACCCCTCACCCGGCCGGGACGCCATCCGGGACGGCGGCACTGATCCCGGCCATCGCACATCTCGTGGCTCCAGCTGGTGGAAGGTGCACCCGTTCCGCGGCATGGTCAACGACATTCGTCGCCGGGCGCCCTTTTACGCCAGCGACTGGGTCGACGCCTGGGACTATCGTGTGGTGCCGGCCACGGTCTACATGTATTTTGCAAAGTACGTTGTCTCGTTATTGTCCTCTTTAGTTTAGTCTGATTACTATACCTCCCGCGAGGCATTATGTCTCTCCCCCCCGCCTTTCTTTGTGTAGTCCAGCCAGATGCAAGGATGGAGGCTATACTTACGTATCCTACCTTTTTTTACAAAGGTTTTGCGGCTGCATGTGTTTATTGCTATTACCGTCGTGGCTTTCTGCCAGTAGGCTGACTTGTCTTGCAGTATTTTACCCGCTCTGGCCTTCTCCCTCGACATGTTCACGAAGACAGGGTCGACATACGGAGTCAACGAAGTCCTCCTGGCTTCCGTTCTCGGCGCTGTAGTCTTTTCGCTGTTGGCTTGCCAGCCTCTGGTCATTGTCGGTGTCACAGGCCCCATCACCGTCTTCAACTACACCGTGTACGACATCATGAAGTCGACCGGCACCAACTACCTAGCATTCATGTGCTGGATCGGCTTGTAAGTGTCGCCACCTCTGTCTCCACTTGACCATGACACGTACTTACGGGTGTACAACACAGGTGGTCACTCGTATTCCACTGGATCCTAGCCATCACCAACTCTTGCAACTGGCTACGCTACGTCACGCGCTTCCCCTGCGACATATTTGGCTTCTATGTGGCCTGCATCTACATCCAAAAGGGCATCCAGGTGCTTCAGAGGCTCGGCGACGCCGAGCCATTCTACCTCTCCATCGTCGCCGCCCTGCTCGTCTTCATGGTCGCCTACATCTGCGCGGGCGTCGGCGGGAGCAGCCTGTTTCGCCACCACGTGCGCGTCTTCCTCAAGGATTACGGAACCCCGCTCACCATCATCTTTTTCACTGGGTTTGTCCACATTGGCAGGATGAAACCCATCCATTTGGAGGTGCTTCCCACTGGCATCGCCTTCATGCCCACGGCGGACAGAAGCTGGCTTGTAGACTTCTGGAAAATCCCTGTCGGAGACGTCTTCCTGGCCATTCCGTTCGCCATTCTGTTGACCATTCTGTTCTGGTTCGACCACAACGGTAAGGAGCATATCAACGACCCTCCAGCTCACCTATGAGGCTAGCAAAGGCTAATACGAACGTGTGCAGTGTCTTCTCTCATTGCACAGGGAACTGAGTTCCCTCTCAAAAAGCCAGCAGGGTTTCACTGGGACCTCTTTTTGCTCGGCCTCACCACGGGAGTGGCAGGCATCCTCGGCCTGCCGTTCCCCAACGGCCTCATCCCGCAAGCTCCATTCCACACAGACTCCCTGACGGTCAGCAAATCAGAACCCGTGACGGATGAGAAGGGCGAGTTCAAGGGTAGCTACGTGACCAAGGCATCTCACGTGGTCGAGCAGCGCGTGTCCAACCTGGCCCAGGGCCTCCTGACCCTTGGCACGATGACGGGGCCCCTCCTCGTCGTCCTACACCTCATTCCGCACGGCGTCTTGGCCGGTCTATTCTTCGTCATGGGCGTGCAGGCCCTCGAAGGAAACGGCATCACCCTCAAGATCCTCTTCCTCCTGCGAGACAAGAACCTGACTCCGCCGACCCACCCCCTGAAGCAGATCCATCGCCGCCGCGCCATCTGGGAGTTTGTCGCCGTCGAGCTCGTCGGGTTCGGCGCCACCTTTGCCATTACCCAGACCGTCGCCGCGGTCGGCTTCCCCGTCTTCATTATGCTCCTCATCCCCATCCGCGCCTGGCTGCTGCCGCGCTGGTTCTCGCCCGAGGAGCTGGGCGCGCTCGACGAGCCGACCGCGTCGTCTTTTACCATGGAAGGCATCGGCGGGGTTCACGGAGGCGGAGGTGGAGGCGGCCGTGGCGGCGACTCGAGCGACGACTCGGACGGGACGCGGGTGTCTGACTATAACAATGACGGAGGGGCACGTGCTGGTAGACAAGCACCGGGAAATGATGATGGTATCTTTGCGTCGGCGGAAGCGCCGGGGAGAAGTCGGGAAGACGTGGCGGAGCTTGGGCAGTCTGAGAGTGTGCAGAGTGCGGGAGAGACGACGAGGAGAGGAGGGCACGCTGCCACGGCTGATTAATGGGTACTGACGATGTGATGAATAATTGGAGATGAGTAGAGACAGAGGGCGTAATGCGTGAATAGTTAATACCCAGGAATACCTAACCCTGTGTGCCTACTTGACGTTGGTCAGTGTATAGACGTACCTTGGTTCAAGTTCGACTGAGCTCAGGGATAGAGGGTTGTTCAGCAACGTGTCAACTAGGAAGAGACTCAAAGTCTGCTCATACTGTTACTTCCACTGTAATCTCTAATAATAGGCATCATTGGACAGCATTACACTTCAGTAATGGGATTGACACATTGGTTTTGGGTAGCAGGAGCGGCCAGCGTTGCTCGGCCCAGCACGCCCCGCAAGCCCGTTTAGGCAACCCGGGTCACTGTGATTGGCTTCTCTAATGGAGAGCCGATGGTGGTCCATCTGTCTTCAGGAAGCCAACTACGGAAACTGCGGTGGAGAGTGCAATTGACGTACGACTGTTCATACCTCTTATCTTGTCCATAGAATAACAGACTATCTGTTGTTTGGTAAATGAGGAGAGAGGGAAATGGGATAGAAGCATATGTCGTTGACAGGAGCCGAGACGAGAGACGTTGGAATTAAGGATGCGGCGATGGTCAGTGCGCCCCACACCATACTTCTCTTCTGCACCCCCCGATGCTCGTCCCCTTCATCTTCTCACCCCTCACACCTTCTCCCGCTTAGTGTCGACCTCGACGACGACAACCCCTTCAGCTGTCGCCCGGCTTTCAGCCTCACACGATTCAGGACAGTCTGGGGAATTCGACCACAACGCTGCCAAACCTGGACCGGCCACCTGACTACCACTCTCGGTCTGACCTCCTCGCGGGATAAAGCGTGCATGCTCATCATTCACCAGGTCACGCGCCTCTTTTCCGTCCCCAACCCATGCAAGGCATTATATTTCGGAGAGAAACACTCAACAGCCGGGCTCTGTTTCTCCCACGGCACATTGGGAACCAGACTCGTGCCATGGCTGGTAGCCCACCAACCCCCTCCTCCTCGCCACGGAGAGCGTGTAATCTCCGATAGCTTCCGCCATTGGCTCGTCTTGAAATCAACCTCATCGGCGGTATGAACCCGGGGGGTGGGGGTGTCACGCTGATGCTCTGGTCAAGGTCTCTCGGCAACATCATCCGCGGTAGGCCGTGTCCTGCAGGGCAACCTGGTGTATGAGGAACTTTCGTCGCCCAACCTCGAGACCCAGTCGTCGCATCCCTCCGAGATCAACAAGAGGACGCGGGCTCGAGATGCGCAGTCACCCTGCTTCCCTCCTGGCATAAACCCCGCATCATACCGAACAACGAGGTCCTTCAGAGCAGCGAGAACCGTGGTGTGAGGTACTCCACCTATCACGCCGCGGCGGCCGGTCCTCTGTCGTCGGCCGTCTGCCTCCGGATACACGCATTGAGCCAAGCGTCCTCCCCCAACACAACAAGACAAACTCTCGCCCGATCTGGCGCCTCGGGAACTAGTCGCCTTGGCCCAGCCCATGTATGAGGCCACCCCGCCCCCCCCTACTGTTATGAAGCTGCCGGCCTGAATAGTCACGGTCTCTTGCATGTCTTGCGCACCACTCTTCCCGTGGCACTTTGGCAAACGTTGGCCATCACTTTGCCCCCATGGATCCGATTACAACCATGCGTAAGCATCTACCACAGTCTCCTCGTCGATCTGACCAACCCTCATGAGGCACAGCCCGCCAGTCCTCTCCACAAAAGGTGGGAAATCCGGGGGTCACAACGCACCGTGCCATCCGGGCCTCGTTTCCATGGGTAGCACAAGGTTAATACTCTATTCCTCGAGTCACTATTCCTCGAGTCACTCAGAGCTTAACCTTGATACCACGTTCCAGTAATTTATCCAGCTTCCGCGGGGCTGGGGCAACCGCCATCCGTCTGCCTGCTGTCCAAATGGGCGATGTCTGTGTCATCCATCACCGGGAGGGTTGACATCTCACATGGGGCGATTCTGATGGACGAGTTGCCACATACAGGGTGCGGAACCAGGTGCAACCTTGCATGACAACAGCCGAGACAAGAGATCCGGGAAGGGTCCTTCCTTTTTCTTGTTTCATTGTTTCTTTTTCCTTCGCCCTCGCGAACCTAGCTTTGGTACACGGAATCATGTATCCCTCTAGTCAGATTGACTACCGTGACTGCCGCAGAATGTCTCTTTTCTTTGCCGCCTACACCATAACGTCCTCACATCGAAGTCATCTTAGGCGAGGACTGCGGCCCGATGTTGAAACCTCATGTCTCTGTTGTACCCCACAGAGCTTTCGCCCCAGCACGCAAGTGGTGAATGGCCATCAGGGTCATGCCGGGGCAGGCCAGAGTGGTTCAGACTCACATCGACCGGACCGCGCGATTCTAAACCAACTGCCTGTATACATACGGTACGATTTTGAGGGACGCGGATCTGTACCACACCGTAGCGTGTTCTGGGGTAGTACCTAGCGAGAGACAGGTAGACACTATGTAGGTAGGTCCGCTGCTTGAATGTCTGGCGGAACCATGGACTCAGCACAAGGATACCAGGTCTACCATGATGAGGCGGAGAGGGGTGGACGGCTATACCCTGGGATCCTAGACAGCCGCGGCAAAGGGTAGGAAGGGGGAACCGTATACAGTAACAGCAAGCTCAGAGGCCAAACCAGAAAAGAGGGATTGTGTAGTGTGTGTGCTTCTTCATTCAACCTTTGTCTACGTTCCTCAGCTGTGTTGTAACGCTTTGGAATGAGGAGATGGAGAAGAATAGCACCAGCATCGTCCCTTCCCCCCCTTCTCTTCCGTCGATCCTAACAACTGACATCCCCGCCATTCTGGAGCGGAAGACTATGACTTCGCGGGAGAGAGGAGAAAGGGGCGTGCGACCATCCAGAAAGTACTACGCATAGTTTGGCTCACGTCCCTTGGAGGTTAAGCTTATTCGAGTCGACTCTGATCATCCCGATCTTAACCGTCAGAGTAAAGAGGGGGCGGGGGAGCTTGCGTGGGCGATCATCGGGAAACACAATAGTCTCATTCACAATGTGCAAAGGTAAGCAGGCGAGCTGAGCAAGAGAGCCAGCTAGCATCTGGGATCTTTGGCTCGGCTTCATCCTTTTGCCTGTTCAGGTTGAGGAAGTGTACAGCTAGATCATCGTGACACTGCTTTGTAGCATTATTCACTCCTTTGCGCCCCTGCCCCCCCCTGTTAGGTTGCGTCCTCGGTGTCGATAGTCTCTCCGTTGTTTTGCAAAGGACCCCATAGGAAGAGGAGAAGCGCTATAGGACGCATGGGATGAGTTACTGAGTTAACCCCCCATGCGAACCTTGGATGGCCTCCGTCTGGTCGAGCTCGTAAGCGGTAGTGGCAGAAAGCTCGACGGAGGTATAGGGACATTGGGGGAAATGGTATTTCAGGTGCTAGTAATGGTACATCGTCTCGGGAAGTAACCAAGAGGGAGGGGGGCAACACATTTAACTGTGGGAGAGAATAAGAAGAAGGAAAAAAAGAAAAAAAAGGGAGGCAAAAGAGTAGGATCGTGGAAGAACCGGCGAGCTCGTCCGCCGTTCCAGCTCCCCCGTGACCCCCCCACCCCCCTCCGGACCAGCACCGCCGAGAATGAAGCCGGCAGAGGAAGCGGCGGGGGACCAACCAGAACGCAGCATGTAGACGCTTTCGGCCGGTTCGCACTAGCTTCCGGGCAACGAGAGAGACCGGGGAGGGGGGAAGGGAGGCGAAGGGAACCACTCCTGACCAACGACGCAAGCTTCATCATCATTGGGCAAGTTCGTCCGTCAGTCATCAAGTCATTATTGGACAGAGTCCGGGTTTCCCTCCAGTTCGTGAGTTTAGAAACAACCTCTTGGACCGGTGGTACCGCCTACCTTACATTGAAAGCCCCCTTCCTCGTTTTTTACTTGGTCGTAATTTTTTTCTTCTTCTTCTTTGAAAAAAAAAAGTTCAGCTAGCTTAGCGAAACCAAACCTCGGTTCCAGTAGGGCGAGACGAGACGAGACAAGACGAGACGTCCAGAGTTACATGAGGCAAATTTCAGGTCCCCCCCCCCCCTCATTCTCCATGTACATGATTGAAGTCAGAGAGGGCCTCGGCAAAATCGGGAGGAGTGAGTGATTGGCTTCTGGGTCTCGCCAACCGAGCTACATCTGCAGTCATCACTTCTTCTTCCGTCTCGGGATATTTTCTTTTTTTTCCCCTCTTCCCCTCCCCACCCGTTCTCTTCCCTAGGCAGAGCAGATCCTCACTACATGCATGCCAAATCACCGAGGCCACACTAGGTGTGTGATTGAGGCCCAACGCGCCTTGGTGGTGGGGGGTTGAAGTTCAAATCACTCTGTTGGTTTCGTTTGATCTATTGGTTCACATACACATGGATAAGCGCTTTTTTTTTTTTTTTTTTTTTTTTTTTTTTTATAAAATAGAAAGGGTGTTTTTAAATTTATAAAAAAAAAAAAAATATAAACTCAAAAAAATATACTTCATAAATTCAAAAAAAAAAAAAAAAAAAAAAAAAAAACAAAAAAAAAAAAGAAGAATATGAGGAGGAATATGTGTACAGAAAAAAAAAAAAGAGACGGAACAAAAAACACATTGAGAAACGTTTTGACGTTTAGGGGGGTATTTTGATCCGGAAACAAGAGACAGTTCAAAAAGAAGAATCCTGACCCATCATGTGAAGCACCAAAGATGAAAAAAACGGAAAGAGAAAAAGAGAGAGAGGGAAAAGTTACAGGTGAATGACAGAGAGGTCCCTTAAATGCCATGGGGATGAGAAGTAATATGTGCATAGTGCAGAAGTGAACAGGAGCGGGATTTGAGCTTTCGTCGTCAGCACATGAATAAAAAAGATGAAAAGCAGAAAAGACCAAACAACAAACGCAGAATCGTGTCGTTGAGCAGCGCGCTCGCCCCCCTTATTCTAAGAGCAGTAAAATATCAGATTTTCCGACCCAAAAACCAAGCATGTTTCCATATCCCCGCCCACTTTCTCTCCCTCCCTTCCTTTGCCTTTGGGTATCTTTGGGGGTGACCATCTTTCCAAGTATGGTCTTGAGGTTGTTTTTCTTTTTTTCTGCTTTACGCTGTGCTCCCGTATGCCTGAGGTCCGGGTGCGGGTCCAGGTCCGGCCGGCGCTCCGCTCGAGAAGCTTCTCTTCCTCTTGAGCGCGCCAAAGTCGTGAACGTAATTATCTCCTCCTCGCTGCTGCTGCTGCTGCTGTTCTTGTTGCTGCTGTTGTTGCTGCTGCTGTGCGTATTCGCCATTGTGACCACCGTGGGCAGGTGCGCCCGGGTGCTGAGGCGGCATCGGTCCGCCACCGCCAAAGGTGTCGCGCATGGGTGTCCTGGAGCTGGAGGTGTTCATGCTGGCTTGGAAGGCATGCGAGAAGTCGTTGGGTGCCGCGATGGGCGCGCTCATCTGCGGCATCGAGTAGTCCTGGACGCCGCCAGGTCGGGTGCCAGGCGTGCGGGGCAAAGAGAAGTCGACGGGCGCGGCCAGGGGCGCTGAGGGGAAGCTGGATGTATATGCGGTGGAGGCGAACTGGGCAGAGGTGGTGCGAGGCGCCGAGGAGTGGCCCGGGGTTGGGACTGAGCCGGCAGGGCGGTACTGGTTGCGGACGTCGAGGCCGAGGGTGCCCGATGAGGCGCGGCTGCGAAGGCGGTTTGGTGGTCCTCCGGGGAAGCTTGAATAGTTCATGCCAGGAGGCGAGTTGTTGCCTGCGTTTTGGTTAGTGATGGAAGCTTTCAAGCTGAGTGCAAAACATACTGGAATACGAGCTCGACTCGTAGGGGAGACCGCTACTCGACGGGCCGCTCATCTGCTCAGGCTGGTAGACAGACTGCTGTCTTCCACTCAGCTGAGGGCTTCCACCAGCTCCGTGGTGGTATGTGCTGTAGTCGATCGCGTCGCCCTTCCAGGACATGCTGGTTCGCAGAGGAGAGCTGATGTCCGACCTAGACCGAGACATGGTCTCGCGCAGTTGGAGAGGTTGGAGAGGCCGGCTTGGCTGGCCGCGGTGCATGGACATGGAGTTCTCGACAGCAGCGCCCTGTCGCGCAAAGGGGTTCGAGGTTCGGGGGCCGGGGCCCATGGGTGACAGGTGGCTGCCGTATCCGTAGCGGTGGTCGCCCGTCGAGTTGGGTGTCATGGGAGACAGCATGTCTGGGCTGCTCATAGTTCCCGGAGGGGTGAACCCGATACTTCCAAACGCAGGGCTCAGTCCCGTGGACGACATGTGCTCCTCACCACCCTCCGCTCTCCGAACGTCGACCATCAGAGGACGAATCATGTGGTCGGCGTAAGATTGTGTTCCAAAGTTCATGGGGGACGGCATGGGAGTGTTGAGACCGTGGACCGCGCCGTAGGGAGAGTGAAGTGCTTGAACGTTGTCAAAGTCGTCGGGGACAGCTCGCATCTTGATCATGCGGTCCCGGTCATCAGCTGTGAGACGCTTAATCTTTGCACGGCTGTTTGGTGAACGTGATTAGTTCCGCGGTGTCTCTTCTTGGCTGTTGAGTTGTGAGCAGACTTACCGGTTCTGGAACCAAACTTGGACTTGACGCGGGCTCAGGCCGGGGATCTCTCTCGACAGGCGTTCTCTGTGGGCGGCATCAGGGTGAGGCTGCTTGGCGAATTCACTCATCAGAAATCTCGTCTGTTGGTGCGTGAGACTGCCATCGTTGTCAGTATGCTGGATGGTCTAGTAACGCCCTGTGTGTTTGCTCCAACTAACCGGAATCTCTTCATCTTCCTTCGGGCTGCTGTCCGCTCTGCGGCCGTCTGTGGGGTACCATCGCCGTCGTCAAGCATGTCATCATCGTCAAGCACATCGTCGTCCTCGTCTTTGCTCAGGCTTCCCTCGTCATTGTCCATCTGAGTCGCAGCCACATCGGCACCGAGCTCTCTTGATGAAGCCGGATTCGAGATCATTGTCTGGCTCTGCATGTCTGTCAATGCCGTAGGTTCCTGACATTCCGGCTTAGCGGCCTTCTCCAAGGACTGCGATTCCTGTCGCTGTTCTCGTGGTTGCTGCTGTCTGTCCTCGGGCTCGTCTTCCGGAGTGGGCTGCTTCACTTGGCGAAGGCCTAGAGGGTCTGCTGATCCAGGGTTGTCCAGACCGGGCTCCTGCTTTGTCTGGATCTCTACTTGCGCAGGGGCGCCAGTTGAAGTGCGAGGTTGCGACACATCCGAAGTCTCATTGCCAGCTCCGTATGCCTGGGAGAAGACGTTGTTTTCCGGGCCTGGGAGGTAGGAGTACTGCTGCCCTTGCCACTCGGGAGGCGTGGGCAACGGAGCTTCGAACTGATTGGACATGCGTGGAGGAGTGGTAGGGGCCTTATGGAGGGGAGTCTCAAATTTGCTGTAGGACCAGTGGCTCTGCTCGGTGGTATCAAACTGCCTGGTAACAAGCATTGGGACAGGTGTGGTGGTTTCGGTTTATGTGGTTGTTGTCTTGTTTCGAGTTGGCACAAGGACGATCTGGATCCCTCTGAAGAGTGTCCTGAGATGGGGTTGAATCTAGGGCAGATGGGAAAGGAGTGCTGAAGGGATTGTATTGGCAAGCAATCGATGTTTGTCGAGATCTAGATGAGCTAGAAGACGTGTGACAAAAGCAACCGATAGTGGTAATATACAGCACTCTGGGGTTGATAGTTCAAGGTGAGGTTGATGTCGTTAAGGTCAGGGTCTCTGGCTTTGAGCTGGGTCCGTCCCGAGAGAGTCCTTGAGCAACTTAATCAAAAGAAAGAGTGTGAGAGTGAGTGAATGTATGAGCGAGAGAGAGAGAGAGAGAGAGAGAGAGGATGATGCGTTGATGCGTCAAGTCGTTTTTGGGAAAAGGAAGAGAGGATGATAGAAAAGGGAAAGAGGACTTGGCTACCCCAGGTCCCACGAGGTAGGATCGATCATATATTGTATAAATTTGAGGGTGTGCCAACTGATAATATGGCGGGGTCGATCGACTGGGAGGCGTTCCTGGGCCTGGAACTGACAGGCCCCGTTATGTATGGCAAGTCTGAAGGATACCCGTGGTTGCAATAAGGCGGTCTTGTAAGGAAGCCCTTGCTCCTTACTTTGGCAGAGGTGGAATTAATACCGGAGGGTACGGCCATCCACACGGAGAAATGTCGAGGCTGGATCCGGACAGGAGGACTTGGGAGCCAGGGCCAGCACGGCACGATGGGGGAGGAATAACGGCTGCTTCAACGAGGGTTCGAGGGTACCCGGTACCTGACTGGTGGTGTCGAGAAGGACGAGGACAACGACGGGGGTGGAGGAGGGTACTGAGGTACCGTAGCAGTGGAGAAGGAGATGGTGGAAAAAGGACCCGATGCATGGTTTAAGGCTCGCCGACTCGAGAGAGAAAAGCCGCAGCAGCAGCAGTAGCAGCAGTAGCAGCAGAAGCAGAGGCACAAGCAGCAGCTCATGCTATGCCAGGCGGGTAGGCATGCCATGGCATCGAGCTTTGCCCGCCGCCGTCGCCGCCGCCAGGCCCCCGGCATGGACGCGGACGTGGGTGTGAATGTGGATGTGGATGTGGATATAGATTCGACCATGTGGATATGGACAGACGGGGAGGGAAGGGGACTGCAGGGCAGACAAGCAGGGGATCTGTAGGGTAGAGGGTAGACACAGTAGGGTAGGGGTAGGGGGAGGGGTGGGTCAGCTGGTCTGGCAGAGCACTACTCCGTAGCAGTTCTTGGCATCAACAAGTCAGTCGGGGGACGCGCGAACGTGGGCGGATACCTACTACCACTAGGTAGCTGTTGTCTTGTCGCGAGATGCTGTCGTTGCTGCTTGGTGCTGCTTGGTGCTGCTGTTGCTGCTGCTGTTGCTGCTGCTGAGCCACATGCATCTGAGCGTGTAATGTGTATGGGTGTGGGTATTTCCGTCCACCACATCTTTCCCAAGTTCCTAGGTACCTTACCCTCCCACTCCAGGCTCCTCCTCCTAAGGTACTCCTCCCCCACCCTGTTGTGTTCGAGAAAAACCTGGGCAGAGCCTGGGGGATCGCTCAAAGCGAGGTAACAGATGGACCGGACGATGGTAGCAGCTATATGACCACAGCCCATGGCCTTAAGATTTTCGGCTGAATGGCTAATGCCGTGCTGCCATAAATGTCCTGTAACCATACCAGCCCATTCGTTATCCAGCCCAGCCCAGCCCAGTCTGGCATGGCATGGCATGGCGCATGGCGCGAGCGAGGCCTGGCCCTTGGCCCGTGTTGTGTTGGGAAAAGAAGGTATTCGAGATTGAGATGACAGATTTCTTGCAGCAGCAGTGAGTGCCAGCTGAGCAGCCTGAGCAGCCCGTGGTGAAACGGGGTCACCTTGTCTGGCAAAGGCCTGACTGGGCAGGCTGACGTCGACACCTGAATCAGTACAGAACCCGGTGGGCGGTTTTGGAGCGCAACGAGACAGGGTTCGAACGGGGGCTCTCCCTTTTCCGCCTTTCCGTTTTCCCTTGGAGAGCGGCCGCAGAAGATCAAAAAAAGAACACAGAGCTGGGTGAGCTGGGTAAGCTCAGGTACCAGACCGGCACAGGCGCAGGCGCAGGCACAGAAAGGCGCGGCCAAAGGTCGCTGCTGGCCCCAAAAATAATGATGCTGTGGATCTCGCATTGAGGCGGCGAGGCCATCACAACCCCCCCCAAGTTACTTACCCAACGCGATATTGCACAGGAGAGCGACAGCAGCCAAACCCGCCCGCCCGCCTGCCCCCGACATCATACGGAGTACAGGCCTCCTCTAACCCCAGGCCCTCCTCCCGAGCAAGCCTTTGACACGTTACTTCCGCAAGACGGCAGAGAGAAGAATTAAAAGACGGCTCGGGAAAAAAAAGAAAAAAAAAAGAAATCAAGGAGCCAAGGAGCGAAAGAGACATCTCGGTTGGGATATCTGGATGGCGCTCATTGGACCCTCTGTGACATTAGCTCTGTGTCGACTCCACGGATGAACGCATGACCGTTGTCGAGAAGCCCGGCCGAGGCCACGGCCAATGGGAAAGATCATCGATCAAGGGGGGGAGCCGGAGGAGGGTGTGTGTGTGTGTGTTTGTGTGGCTCTCTCTCGAGTCTCGCTCGCTTTCTGTACCCTCTCTGTTACTCCCCCCCATCCCACTGCCCGGCGGACACCAAAAAGGCCTGAAGAGGCTGCGGGGGAGGGCGTCCCAAAGGAAGCGGGACGGGGTGGAAGGGCCTTAGGTGTGCGTCTAGTGGATTGAGTTGGTCGGCCGCGAAGAAAAGAAGGGTCGGGAAATCTGGTGGGGGAGGTGAGGGAGAGAGAGCGAGCAAGCGACAAGGGGACAAGGATCGCGGTAGTGCGCTAGTGTGGTTGCAGGGGGCCAGACGGGAGAGAGAGAGCGAGCGCCTTTGCGAAATACAGCGCTGTAACAACAGAAGCCGTATAGACTCATAGAGTGTGTCCGTCTGTGATGACAGAGGCGACGGCAACTTATTTCACTGCTGACTAGCCAGTGTATTATTTGTCTGCCCGTCCCTATCTCTCTTCACGTATCCGTACACCCTCTATGTCCACAACAAAGAGCAATGGGGCGAGGACTGGAGCAGAGGCGGACGGACAGGAGAAAGACAGAGGCAGGGCAGGGGACGGTAACGGGTGACGGGTATCCGCACGGCGTACGGACACAGAAGCCATGGGCATGATGATGGGTTGATGGGCGACGGATGACTCCCGACCCCGGCAGACTGCCTTTGGCGAGGCAAGGGGAGGGACGGACAGTGAGCAGATCACCAAGAAGTCGATCTCCTCGTCTCGCTTCCAGACCCTTTCACCGCCGCAGCCAGTCTTGCGAGTTACCCAACACACACACACACACCGTGGTAAGGGACACACAGACATAACACAGATGGATACGCGCACACGTACACACAAACCTTAACCACGCGGCGGCGGCGGCAGCGGCGGCGGCGGCCCCTCGAGGCAGAATCAAGACAAGAACAAGAGCAAGAAGGAGAAGGGGCGGCGCTTCCGAGACGATGGTGAAGGGAGGAAACGGCGGCGAGTGCCATGTGGTATTTGATTGCCAGGTACCAAAGTATTCCCCCAATCCGGCCCGAACCTGGGGCCGGTTCTGTACAGCCATGTTTTAGAAGAGAGCAGAAACAGGAACGCGCATGTCTTTTTGGGTCGTTCTGCACGTTGCGTTGCGTAAAGAGAAGGCACCGCCACAGGCAGTACATAATACAGTACGTATTTTGCAGATGGGACGAGTGAAGCAAGCCCATCCATCCCACCCCCACAGCAGAGGAAAAAGCATGTTCAACTCGGATCTCCGCCAGTGAGAAGAAGCGACTCTTTCAAAACCCGCCGTCTCTCCATTCCCGGTCCCAGGTCCCCACCAGACAGGCGCGCGAGAGAAGGAGGGAGAGAGAGAAAGAGAAGCAAGGAGCAGGGAGCCTGTCTGCCAAAGCTGTCATCCGTACGGATACTTTGTGTGTCCGTTTCCCATCTTGCGCACATCGGTCCCCTGACTAAGTCGCCCTGTGCCGTGTTGCAGTCAGTGGGAGAGCCGGAGAGATTCAGCAGACAAGACTCAAGAGAGCAAGGCGCACAGCCCTGCCCCTCTACCAAAGTGGGTTAACGTAGCGGTAGCGGTCTTCTAGTGTTGGCGTGGAACAACGAAAATGAGCTCGGTAGACCTTCTTTTTTTTTTTTTTTTTTTTTTTCCAAACGATACGCCAGTCCGTGTGTGTGTGTCTCATCTGGCGTGATGAGGCGGCGCAATTTAAGCTCACGTTTGGCGCGCGCGTCGCCGCCGAGGCAGCGGCCACCATCGAAGAAACCGGGAGAGATATAGTACCAGACTACCTACGTGATTATCTGGAGAGATGGAGCTAACTACATAGTACGAATAAGCTAATCAACAAACTGAACCCACCCTTTTGCCCTCTGGGTGTTGGTTTGGGCTTCGGCGCGGGAGGGAAGGCGGTCAGATTAGTCTACAGCGCGCGTGTGTGTGTGTATGTATGTACATGCCAATGTACGTGACCGAAGAAGCTGTTCATTAGTTTCCTGTGGCTTCTCGTCTGACAGCACGGCACTTGGGATATTGAAGTCTCCGGGGGAAGGGGGCGGACGAGCCTGGCTGCGGGCCTTGTCCGGCATGTCCGCGAAATCTCCACGTGCCTTGTAATTAGATCGGACAAGAGAGACACGAAGAAGAAAAGAGAGGCGGTTCGGAAACCGGGCACTTACGAATACTTGATGGCGATACCTACGCTAGCTGTTGAAAGCCCGGTCAGTTCAATCTATGCCAGGCTGAAGAGGTGCCAACGCTTGTTCATGCCGTGGTGGACGGGGGTTAGCAGTTGCGAACGACGGGCGTCAGGGCCGCAGGCAAGGGACCACCCGGTCCCAGGAACGACGGGAGCTGTTCTCCAGCCCGTGGTCGATGTCAACTCGACAATTGGTAGGTACCTCGCCTCACCGTATTAACGTGCGTAGCAGCGAGGTATATGCCCAGAGTGAGAAAGGACTCTGGTGTGACGGTGTGTGAGTGAAAGAGAGAGCAGGTTCCATCAGGGAATCCCGAAAAGAGGCAAGCAAGGGCCGCTTTACTCACTCGTACTGGGTACGCAAGAGTAGCATGAGCGAGCTAAGAAAAGGTAGCGTCGCACCGAGCGATGCGAAGGCGATGTGCGGTGCTGGGTAAGGTCAGGTCAGGTTGGAAAGCTGCCCGAACGAGCCGCAGGCTGAAGTGCTGTTCCCTCCTGCTCCTTGTCCTCCTCTTCGTCTTGGGAAATGCGCCACGGCCGCCGCGTTGCTTCCCGCCATTTCATGGTGGGGTCACGGTGTAACCTCCTCCCTCCATGATCCAAAGCTGCTGCTGGCCTGCTGCTGGCCTGCTGCTGCTCGACCCGCACCATGGATAATGGCACCTGTGTCTGCGGTGTCTCGGTACCTGGATTGCTGCTGGTCCGCCCGCCCTCTCTCTGTATGTGTGTCTTACTCGCCTCGGGAACCATTTCCACACTCCGACAAGCTACCGAATATGCCGATCATCTCAAAGTGAGCCGTGTACGAATACATAGAGAGACACACACAAGACGGGAGAGAGGCCCATGCAAGGACCAATCACTGAGGTGCCGAGTTTTGGTAATTACCCTCCAAAGTAGAGAAAGGACGGGAACAGATACGGTTAAACACCAGCAACTCTTCTGTTCGGCTTCCACATTCGGGCGATGGCAGCACCGACGATAATGACGGCATATGTGGGTGATTTACCCCTACCGGCACCCAACGTTCTTCTTTCTCTCTCCTTGGAGATTCAGAATGGGAAGCGGTCAAGTTATGCTCCCTCCTCCACACGCACATATCTCACTCTTCAGAACCAAAGTTTGCGTGACCCGTCCTTCCCCCCTTGCATCTCGGCGGGGAGAGAGTGAGAAGTGAGAACGGAGAGAATGGAGCTCGCAACATTCAAGGAGGCTGGCCGGCCGAGCCTAAAACGATGGGAAATGGCAATGAACAGTGAAGATCTCTCAGGAACAACGAACCAGAAACGTTCCTTCAGAGGGAGGAGAGAGAAAGAGGCACATCACACACACACACACACACACACACACACACACACACATGTACAGCCATACATGACAGCCATACGCACATTACATACGCGCCGCCGCCGCCGGGGGTTTAACTCACTTCTCGCCAGCAGCAACGGTCGTCCAATTGACCTTGAAGGGGGTGTAGGGTTGGAGCCGACGACGACTGCACTGCACTCCTCCCTCCCTCTGCGTTGCGATGCGTTGCGACGCGTTGCTTGCTGACAGCAACTCGCTGCCGCTGCTGCTGGTCGCCAAAGAAATGTCCGTGCTCTGATTTGGCCGTGCCTTTGTAGAAGACTTCCATCTGACATGCTCCGGCCAGGGGGGGAGGGAGTATACGGACTGCGGTTTCATCCTATGCCGGGATACGCTTGCGGACCGGGGTTTGTTGGTTGTTGGGCGGGAAGAGCAAATGGCAGAAAAAAAAAAAAAAAAAAAAGGGATCTCCTCGTCATCCGCCCAGGGGGCCGCGGCGACGACGATGGACGGGTGATCGTGGGCCACTCGTCAGGCCAGGCCTCTCGTCAGGCCAGGCCTATGGATACCACTCCAGCATCATCGAATCCGCTCGTTTCGCTCCTCCGCGGCCGCCATGCGTATTTGCGCACGGATGCGTGTTGGTGATGGGTAAAGTCGGCGGCGGGCTCCCCAGGGCACACAGAGACATCACAAGACAAGACGAGACTGTACGTGGTGCGAAAAGCGAGCGCTAGCCAGCCTACGCTTACCTTACCTATCGAGTCGCCGAACTCTATCGCCGCGTACATGAAAAGGGCCTGGTCCATCAATCCCGTACCGTATGGATACGTGTAGAGTATCTGTAAGGATGGACCCCCAAAGTAAAAGACAAGATCCAGGCTCGACGGCGGCAGTGTCGGTGTCGGGGCCTGAGGGAGGAGTGTACTGTGTAGGTAGGTAGGTGTGGGCTTCCGCGCCACAAACTCTATGCCGTTCGGGATGACCTCGCTCTGGATCATCAAACCGAGGAGGCCTGCTGCCATCTGAAATCCAGACGTCACAAATTCAAAATGGTGAGATGAACAACAGAAAATGGTTTTGCTTTACAGAGTCACCGTCCAGACCACCATCCTTCTTGCACCAGAAACCGAGTGTGAGAGAGAGCGATAAATGGGGCGCAATGCCATGCACCCAAAAGACATGTCACCAAAGCATGTTGGTCGTCACTCTGCAGTCTGTTGCTTTTTTGTCGGTATATTTCTTCTTGGAAATTCCATCATGGCCTGGTCCTTTCACTTCACCTCTCTGACTTTCTGACTCTCGGACGTGTCGCCTCGTCTCGCCTCACCTTGTCCTTGACTTGCCTGACCCTTTCTCTCATCATCGGGACAGCAAACCGACAGCAACCCAACCCGTGGGGCCAAACGCAAGAGCGTGGGCGTGGGCTGGTCATTACGGGTGTGTGGATCGTGTCGTGCGGTCGCCGGGTCCTGTCCAATTTCGTCGCGCAGAAGAGTGGGAATCCATCTCCATGACGGCCGCCCGTTTGCGGCGTGTCCAGTGCCTGTCATACAGGAACGCTCCCCGTGGAGCTCTTCCCGGCACTGCCTGCATTGCAGGAGAGAAGACGACAAGAATCTTGACATGAGCGATGGTGGTGGTGATTTGGTGGTAGTCGCCCGTTGCTTCGACGTGCATGCCGTTTCCCAAACTTTGCTCAAAATGTTGTTCTAACCGGCTTGGGGACTGGTGCCATGCCTGTGTTGATCCCACGGACAGCTCCAAGATGAGAGGAACGGGTGATGTGCGTCAGGTATCAGGCCCATCAGGCCCATCCATGAGACACGGGAGGGTTTGCAGACGCCACATCCGTCAATGCATGCTACTGCTTGTTGCTTTCCTTGCTTGCTCGCGAGGCTGGCTGTTTGTTGGTAAGTCCCTCTGTCGCGCACATGTCCCGCACAGAGTGCGCTTCCCGAGGAGAGGAAGCCAAGGCATCAAAGACAGAGGGCAAGACACACTACGACCCGGCCAGGACAGGGTGACTTGCTTGCGATCGGGCTGCCGTTGATGTTGATCTCAGGCGAATCCAAAGACAGACTCGCTCGGTACACATCTTGGCGAGTCTGCAAGCCACTCGCCAGCCGTTGCGTTGCAACAGCTGTTCGTGGGCTACCCAAAGTCCCGTTGTTCAAGCCCGAGGTGCGGTGTGCCTCAGTCGAACCGGAAGAGAACAGGCGTGGCTGGGAGCGGGTGGGAAAGACAGAAGGGCGCCAAATCTACCGGCGCCCCGTCAGGCCATTAACATGACACAAGGGCCTGTCGGGGAGTACCTGGCTGGCTTCCCAGAGATCTCTGAATCGCCAGCCAGACGCGCTAGGGAGATCCAAGAGGTTCCGACAGCGCGGCAACCGTGGGGCCAGCGAGCACTTCGTCCAAACTTGCCATGCCACGCCCCCTTGATGGCGCGCGCGCGAGAATCTCTTCGTTACTACTTGCCCTTCGACAGCAATCCCAGTGTGCCGCCCCCGCTACGCTACTGGCGTACCTGCATGTTGCTAGTCACCTTCATCCTCCAAGAGCCTTGGCAAATCTCCAATCCCATCTTGATCCAGCGAGGCGGGACTTTTGGCGTGTCTCAGTTGCCATGCCTTGGGATTGCAGGTGCATGCTGATTGCGTCCGCGTCAATCAGGGACTGCCGATAATCTCGTTCGAGTCTCGAGTCTCGGCTCGTCTGTCGTCGTTGGACCTGCCAACCTGCCTGACAAACAGTGGATGCAGCGCCGCGGTACTTGAAGCCGGCATCAAACTGCAGAAGCATCCTAGGATTTCCAATGCGCTAGCAAGGAGTGACGACGCCTTGAAGCAAGGAGGGAGGGAGAAAAAAGAGTTGGTGGCTTCGAGTTGGTGCGGAAATGCAAGATGGATTCTGATTGCCTCTCGATAACGGACAGATTTGGAGATGACAGTTCAATTGGATCATACGTACGTCCGTACGAGATGACACTGACTGGGCCAACGCAACGCAAACTCTGGTCTGACCCGCGATCTGCAAAACAAGGAGTTTGTGCCTGTGTTTGTGTGATCCAACGCAGACATGGATGCTGCATTTGCAGCCCCGGGACAACTTGCTTATTTCCTCTTTGCTTTCCCGGCCTCGTCCAGACAACAAGCAGTGCTGCAGTTAGGACGTGAAAAGGCCAAAGGGGGCCAAGACAGCAGCCACACTCCGGGATGCGGCTACTGCGGCTGTGGCCGCGGCCACTCGAGTCACGACGCCTGACGCCGGCCGCCGCCCGACGAACAGCGATTCCCCGGTGATGGCCTCAAAGCCGCTGTCGGGTCCGTTTGTACGACGTGAAATGTCTTTCAAAAAGTCTTGGGAGGATCGAGACCTCAAGTCATCAACCCGCATAGCCTGCTTGCAGCTACTCTACTCGAAGCGTACAAGCAGGAAGTCGCATCGCATCCACTGGCACCCGCCTTTCGTGGAGCATTTCTGGTCTGTGTCAAGTCAACGGAGAGCCGCAGCCACGAGCATGTAGCCGCTTCGGCGGCGGAAATAGATGCAGTTTCGGGGAGCGGCCCTGTGAAAACTCTTGTGCCGCCAGAGACGGCACCGGGGGGCCGGTGACCAGGGACTGGACGGGCGTAGGCGTAGGCGAGAGCGAGGGCGATTCTGAGGCTCTTCAAGCAAAGGTCGGGTGTGGTGGATGCGGATGGTGTGGTGTGGTGTTGTATCGCGTCTACTACGTAGGACCTCGAGACAGGTGTGCACGAGTGCGGCGGCGCTTCTGTCAATGCCCAGTGATAGGCAGCGTGGCAGCATGGGTTGGACAAGACACGGCTCGTCGTCAGTCCGCTGAGCCCATTTTCGTCACCCTCGGCACTGTGGACCTCGGGCGGCTATGAATAGGAGTGAAGGGTTGCAGTGGTATCGGACTCGCCTTTTCCTGCCATTCAAAGGCAAGGCCCTCGGTTCCAAGGCCCTTTGCGGTGGTGATGTTGCTCTCAGTCTCACTGTTTCTCACTCACCCCAGAGTCAAATCTCTCCGCGGTGATTAGAAGCCAAGTCAAGTGGAGCTGAGGTTGCAACTATTCTTTGCCGAGGCAGCTGGCATCGCCGCTGTTGCGCAAGCCGCTGTATGTCTAGAAGTTGTAGGATTCGACCATGTGCAACTGCATTCGCGTCCTTGCCCGCACCCGCGCCCGAACGCGCACAACAAGCGTGGCTGTGGTCTTCGCCACGGCGATAGACTGTGATAGGGCGACAGAAGAAGCTCGGTTTGAGCTGTAGGCGGCCTTCGTGCTCTTCAAACCAACGAGGATTCGAGATATTCGGTCAAGGTTGGAGGCAAGCAGGCTCGAACGCCGTTGAACAGGGGGCTCCCGGAATGCGTCGTCTTCTCAAGGTCGGCGAGCACCAGCGGCCGTGCGATGACAGATTTTCCCGGTCTCGAGCAAAAAGCACCGACTTGCCACCTTGTGCGACATCATGACATGGCCATGTCAATTGCAGGTGGCAGACGGGTGGCCGACTGCTCGGCATGGCTTGTCACACCAGCGACGGGATGAGCAGGTCAAGCAGGTTGGTTGGTGCGGCTGCAGTGCGAGCAGGGCTCCCCTCGACAAGCCTTTCGAGTGCCGGTCCTGAATCCCCAACTTTCCAAGACGTGGGAAGTGAAAGGAGGCAAGGAGGCAAAGGGGGGCGAGATTTTTTCGTTGAATCGCCGCTTGGCACCCTGACTGCCGCCAACGGTATCTGGCGTCCGTGAACTTTGCAATCTTCAACAAGTTTCCATGGCAGATGCGGGCGATGGGTACCATCGAACTAGTGTAAGGTGCCGCCAAACCACCTGCCAACTGGCCATGAGCTCATGACTTGGAACGGAGTCGTTCATGTGCGTGCGCTTGTGGGGACGAGGAAGCCGAAGACGAAATGAAAGCCCAGGGAGCCGACGACAGTCGGCAAACGGGTAACGCTGCTCGTCCATGATTGCCAAGATCCGTGCGGGTTTTGCAATTGCGGTGTGTGCGGATAACGCTGTCTGCTACAAGGCCTCTAAGCAGTGGAAGATTTAGCACGGGGGTCCGCTGTGGACAGAGACCAGGCCAATTGAGGCAATTCCAAAGACGGCCCCTGCTACATCATGGTGCGGAGATCTCGCTCGCAAGCAGACGACAAGCTTGCAATTAAAGGCTGGTAAGCTGATGCCGATGCAGTTAAAAAGAAGAGTGGACCGGTTTCCTTGAGAGAAGATTCTGTCGTGCATGGCGGTATCGGCCACGATGATCAAGGACATGGATGATGGTCCTGTCCCGGACAGTGACAAGCTAACGATTTTGCGAATTTGTCCGTAGTCCGTGTTGGCCCGCCGTACGATCCCTTGCGGCTTGCCTCATCGTGGCCCTCGATGCGTAGAACCTGAGGTGAAGAACGGGGCCAAGGATAGGAGAAGAGGATCTGGCCATGGACTGCGGTGGGCACGGCACGGCGGACATGACACGAGGCGCCTGGACGTCTGCCGATGCTTCAAATGCGCGGAATCCGGAGATGGTGCGATCTGGGAATCAAATCAAAGGACTCGACCCCGGGGATGGGTAGGTATCTTGTAAGAGCCTCCGCTCGACAGGGCAAAGGCCTTACCACTGACGTACCATTATTTCCTCTTTCAATATGGGCGTCTCTCCCTTTCGGCACGCGGGTGCCTCCTCAAATCTTCCTCGTCGTCGACCACTCATCTCTCCGGAAGGTTCCAGAGGGGTGTTCGGTCGTCGGCGGGCCTGCTCCGTTGCGATGGTCGTCCGCGACGGGACTCTCAACCGCCCTGAGGCCCTCTCTCTCGGTCTCTCCCCCGGCACCGCTGCAACGCCGTGGGCAGTTTTGGGTTGTTCGCATACCTATATTGGATTTGGTTTAGGCAGTTTCGGGTTATGGCGGATCCATATTGGTGTAAAGGAGGAGGGGGCCGGACAGGGAGGGCTTACCTTAGGTGGATTCCATCCGATCTTTCAAGTGGATCTATTCCGTTATCCGTCGTAACCGCTACATCCCGAAAAGGGCCATAAAAGAGCGGGGTTCATGTCACGTCCCAGGCAGTGGGCACGCCAGGGCACGCCAGGGCAGCCCAGGCTGGAGATGCCGATCGGACGATATTAGGTAAGGTGGCATCCGAACGGTGAGCAGGTATCTTTTCCCAGGCCATCCCAGATTCCCAGGCGGCCGGTCCAGTCGGGACGTTCCCCTCTTCCCCTTCACTGTCCGGAACCTACAGGTAACCCTTCCAGCTCCTCGGACACGGATTTACAAGTCGCCCCGACCAACGAGCACTCCAGGTTACCCCGGTCGAGCAGTCAGTGAATTGTTCCAAACTTCCAGAAGGACCCTCTGCGAACACTGCCACCATCAGCAAGGCGACGTTCAACCTTGACGGCCTCTGGAGTCTGCAGCAGCCTCTGCCTTACTGTTATTGTTTTTCATCAAATTACCTACCCTTACCATACTATTGCGTACCCGCCCACTAAGGCAATCTGACTTTTGAAATGAATTGCATCGGCCGGTCTCGTCTAATCATCCGCCGCCAACTGTCTACCGACGAGCGGGAGGCCAAAAGTCACTGGGCCTGAGCCTTGTGAGACGTCGCAACAAGCTTGCTTTACCTCACCGCGCTCCGTGTCACTGAACACTATTTTGCGAACCATGGCTCCGGATACGGTTTGTGGGCGTGGGAACAGACCGTTCCTCCCTCCCATTTGTCTATTCCGAGTTCGTATACGGATACCTGGCTCACGACCAGCCTCTTCGCTAAGGCCCAAGTTCTGCAACGTGGTTCGGACTCCGGGGTGGCTTCGGAGTCTGGTCGTGACATTGACGGTGAGAGCGACGGCTTCGGAGTGGACGAAGATCGATAGCTCGACTTTGCGCCCATCTCATTTCGTTTCATCTCGTACCGTCCCACTCTCCCATGTCCCCGCCGGTTGTCCTGTCCTGATGACTTGTCGTCAAATCCAAGAGTCGCAGCTTGGAGAACGACTCACGTCCTCTGTGCGGGCGGCGGAGTGCAAGGGGAAATCACGAAATGCGACAATGACGAGCGGGAACCCGATGTTTAGGCGCACTAGTGTAGCTACGATGTACACTAGACTCGCTGGAGTGTGGTGCGGGTCTCGTCAGATCTGCAACGGCGCAATTGTCTTGTCAAAATCCTGTCATCGGCCTTGTTCATTTACTAATGAGGCATGGTGCTAAACCTTCTTCACGGCGATTCTAATGCGCGGCGATTCAGGTACTGGTCGTCTGACGCCAAGGCGGAGAATGCGCGAGTTGCAACGACCCTTGAAAGCGTGGGCAGATGAGCCTCTCTGCCCTGGCGAGTCGCGACACGGACGCCAAGGCTGTGTGTGTACGGATACGGGTATGGGATGAGGAAAAGTTGAGAATGAAAGAGACCTCGCCAGACTCATGACGCTCTCCACCAGGCGGTCACCAGGTGGTGGAGATGGGTTTGAGTCGACGTCGACGTCGGCGAAGGAGGTCGCAGCGCGGTGGAGAGAAGTAGTCCCCGTTGTTGGGCGGATTTAGGTACAGGGCGACAGGTAGTTACTTGCGAAGTTGCGGCAACTCACAGACGCGGTGCTAGTGCACGTCGGCTTGGACTGCGACAGTGCCATCAAAGAAAGGCGGTATCAGTCATGGCTGTAAGATAGTTGTGGTCTGGACATTTCCTTCCTTTTTTTTTTTTTTCTTTTTTTTTTTTTTTTTTTTTTGCACAAACGGGTACCCAACAAGTGGAACTGCGGAAGCGCAAAGAAAGGCTTGTCATTGATTGTCTAGGCCCAGGCCGCGGCTCAAGACTTGAAGCTGCCGGCCGCCGGTATTTGCTCGACTCCACCAGTCAGGTTTTCCACCACTGCCGGGTCCTTTTGGCTTCCTTTTTCTTCGCATTGTCTATTTCTCCTTCCTTCCTTCTGCCCTTCCCTGTTTCCCCTTTATCTTGGCGCTCTTCCTCCGCATGGCGTGGCTGCCGTGTGTTACAGGTACGCGAGGTAGCCATTCTGCATGTGTCCGTAGTTCCGTACCTGGAGAATTGAGTTTCCCCTCGATTTTGCTTCTTGGGTATCGTATTTCCTGTGAGGCGACACTCCTTGCAGTAAAGCGAGATGGATTCCACCGGCATCGATGATCAAACCGCCTCCACCCCACTTTCCCCCATTGTTTTTCCCCCGAAGGAAAACCTAGACGGGAGAGGTTATCGACGGGGGATTAAGGGGAGATACTCAACAGGATACGGATACAGACGAAAAGTCACGGTAGGAAAAAGGAAAAGGACAAAAAAAGGCCGGCCTTGATGGGTCTTGATGGGCCTTGATGGGCCTTACTCCACCGAACCCGCCCACACCTACTTCATTCCACTCCCAATTTTAGCGTCAATCCTGGCTTCTCTCCCCTGGTCCCCTGGTCCCCTGGTTCTGGCGGCAGGCCCTGCCCTGCCGTTGCCTTGGGTGTGCCGTGTGGCTCTGCGATGCCCCCGGGACTGCCGTGCCTTATCCTGGCTGACTACTGTTGCAGTGAAGGCGGCTTTCTCTCTGTAGTGTGCCTGGTGCCTGGTGCCTTGTGCCTTGCACGCAACGGGAAGTTGTCACTGAGTAAGGTGAGGGTGGGGGTGGGGGGCCTTGGAGAGAGGATTCGATAGTTAAGCCGAGGAGAAGTTCCAGCTGAGAAGTCTTTGGGGGGTGACTAACGCAACTCTCCGTCAGCCCAGCTTTCGGCAAAGGGGCGTTAGGGCCGGTCTTAGCACATCTCAAACCCCATGTATGAGTCGCAACGGCCAGCCATATTCTGGTGGGCCAAGGTGAATCATGGCATGGGGAACTTTGGCTTCTGTCTAGAATCGCCTTAGTTCACGGTTAGAGAAGACGCAATGCCAAGCTTACTCATAGCGCGCTCGGTGCTATCAAAGTCGGCACACTAAGGTAAGGTACCTTACCTTACCTTATTCTGCAGGTGCCTTGTAACGAATAATGCCAAACAACCAAGATAAGCCGCGGTACCTTACATGATTACCTCAGCACGTCGTTACGCACCATCTGATTGGCAAGTTGGCAACTGCACCTGATGTCACTTGGCTCAACTTCTTTGCCTTGGGTCCTGCTTGCAGCTGGGGTTGCTAAGGCTGACTTGAGACGACTAACGTGTGAAGACGACTGCCGTACCTGTTTGTACCGCACCACACCACACCACACCGTGTAATTGCACGACGGCATTCCCGTCCATCCCAAACCCATACCCCGTCCTTCACTTCAATGCGAACTCTTGCCATCATTAGTCCCATTTCGTCCCATCATCGTGTCGCATAACTCGCATCTTCAACCTTCAGCCCACACCTCCGTCCCGCTGGCTACCAACCTCAACTTGATCGCCCCAGGCCCATGCCCATGCCCAGGCCCATGTATTCGAAATAGCATCATTAGTGGGCTAATTATACATCTTTTTTGGTCCCATCTCAGCCCAGTCCAGTCCAGTCCAGCTGCTGCCGAACCTGCTCATCCCCGCCTGCATGTCCCGGTTCATCCATCGCATCGTGGACATGGCCATGGCCCTCATCGAGTTCACCACCACCACGGGCCCTTGGCTGGCCTCTTCCGCCAGGCCAGGCCCTGTATCTCCCTGGCCCGCCCTCACGGAACCCGCGGCGGAGCTGTCTACTATAGCTCTCACCATACTCGTCATCTTTGCAGCAAACCTTCGATGCACCTTTTTGGAACATGGTCGAGCAGCGTCAGCCGCGTGTTCATCGCTCGATTTATGCTTTTGCGAGGCTGCTAGAGCTGTTGCATGTGCTAAGACAGCCAGGGTCGCAACACTATCAGCTTCCTACCCTGTGCCGCCCTCCGACAATATTCCCCTTCCATAGAATAAAGGACGAGTTTCGTGTCAAATGCCTGGCTGCGCCGTCCAGGATGGCTACTCGTAACAACAAAGGCAATTGACAGCTTTCCAACCGCCTCTTGGCGCGTGATGGTAAACACCCTTGCAGATCTCCCCCCACCCCAAACCAACAACAAATCAGAGGTTTCTCCGGTGTGGGGACTTGGACTCAGACGTAGAAACGCCGAGTGAACCTCGGTCTCGATTTCACTATTCGAAGCTGTATCGCGTGCGGGTTCATCATCAACCTGCGCCAAACAGCCCTCGCGTCACACAAAGTCGAATCCACCAACCGCTGGAGATTCTATTAATTCTCGCCGTGTTTGACGCCATGTGCCTTTCCCAATGCCCCCCCCCCCCCTTCCCATCGTCGCTCGCGGCTCTCTCCTCACGTAGTGTTGCTGACGTTACGCGTCTCCCGTACACCTGGAGCAACCCATATTTTTGTCTTGCTCCCCGCACCGCCGTGTTTCACATGATGAGTATACCGAAAAAGGGTAGTCTTTCCAAGGTCTAATGACGGGGGTGTGCTGTTTGCAAGGCCGCACGCGGGAGACTCGGGGGCTGAGACACGGGTTGCTCGTCATCGGGGGAGGCTTCATTCAGGCGGGGTTTGCAATCGGCGTTCGGCCGGTAAATCTCCCTTCAATGATGTTTGGATCCGATAACATGGGGAGGGGAGTTGGTGATCTGTGGTCTGTGGTCTCTACCCGTCGGGCAGCGCAGGAGGCGGTCGTTCATTGGAGGAGGTAGCTTCATCGTCTGATCAGCCGGCACATGGGCTGGGAAAGGCATTGATACCAACAAGGGCAGATGGAGAAGTCCCAAACTTGTTTTCCTCTGAATTTGCCGCGGCCCCATTGCGTCGGTGTTTGTCCTCCTCCTCCTACTCCTCCTCCTCCCCCTCCTCGGCATGACGTTCGACTCTCCCCCAAACGTGGAATTCTCCCGGCGAGGTCTCGGGTTCGGGCTGAGCTCTCCGTAGCGGGTTGGCCTACGCGTGTTCGGGATGGAGCCACCGGAGGTGCCCCACGCCGTTTCGCCTTCCCGCGTCCCGAGTGTCCGATAAATTGGTCCCTTGGGAAGCCTTTGGTATTTGTAGAAACCGTATTCAAACTGCACTGCCCTCCGTGTTCGAATGTAAACCCCGCCGCGGCCTTCTTGGTCCGAGTATACGAAAAGGGGGGGAAGCGTGGACTCTTGCCGGAGCAGGACGTTCATTTTCCACGTAAACGTCATCATGCGTGGGAATAGGCACGTGGGACAGTCTGGGCCAACCTGGTCGGACACACACACATACACACACACACACTCCCTCTCCCTCTCTCTCGCTACCATCAGATGTATAGACATCGTTGTACCGGTAAAACTGGCATCATGTTGTCCCGCGGTGTTGTCTACTTCACACCAAACTCAATGCTGAGACCTTTATCTCTCTCCGCTCGCCGTGGTGAATCTTGAAACTCTGTGTGCCCTTCTCAATCCGAGATATATGGGCAGCGGCGAAACAAAACTATGTTGCGGGCGTCTGTGAGTGAACTACCGTCCCAAGTCACGCGTAGATCAGTTCTGGACCGAGCTTTGTTCGGATGACTTCTCTTGGAGGGTGTGAGGGGGAGGCGGGGGAGACATGACGGCATCATCGTATGTCTTTTCTCCCAGTCCAAAATAGAAGTTTGGAACAGACGATTGATAGTTTTCATCACCTTGAAGCCATGGGTCATCTGAGCTTCGATACTTTGGCAGAAATGCCTCTCTTTTGCTCCGGCTTCGCCCCCCGTGACGGCACGTATCTGCCCTACAACCCTGCGTAACTTTCTTCCAGGAACCTTCCGGGTTGACGAAGGTCTCTTCAGTTCAGCCGGTGGGAGCATGAATATGCCCAAAACTGCCATCCTAGGATGTGATAACGTGGGCAATGAACCCCTAAGCTGCGTTTTATTTTGTTCTCGCCGGCCCGGTGGGAGTAAGTTGACAGCTTCGGCCCTGGCAATTCAGTCTCAAGAAAAAGGGAACTACTTTTCCACGGCACAATGTGGACAGGTTTCTCATTTAACTCAAGATCCAGAAACAAGCCTCGTGTCAAAAATTCCAAATCCCTTCATCTCATCATTACCCCTTGTATGATTGTGAAGTGTGAAGAGGCTGTCAGTCTGTAATTTGGGTTTCTCGAACTCGCCATAAACACCGCTAACCGTTTCTCTGAAATTTTTCATGATATCCACGTGGCCGGGCGTTTCCAAACAAACCAGGCTGAATGGGCAGCTTCCCTCCAGCATGACATCCCGTCCACCCACAGTGACCGGCCTTTGGGCAACCTGAATAGGGCAAGTCCGCAAGAGAGTCCGTGGAAGCAGCGCCCAAGTCTCCCCTCACTGTCGGCCTTCCTGCAATTGGATTTCGCAGATGGCATTGGATGTTAGTCGAAACCTCTGCCCGCGTTCGATGACTCAAATTCGAATGAATGCAATCCGCAATCATAAGCAAGCAATACCGCGAACTCGGCTACACAGCTGAGCATGAATGTACTTCCTAGCAAGTTGCAACAACTTCATTCCCTTTAGGCTCATACAAATATATGATTTTGGGGGTTCGACGGTATCAATTCACTAAAAGTAAAAAAAACATCACCGGCACTTCTGCTAACCGGACCGTAAAATGAATTAATAAATACCATCTGATATTGGAAGTCACAGCTTTAGTTAAATGGGAATTGGTGTTCTCGTACATTCAAATTACGAACCATCATTTAGGTTATAAAATAAAAGTGATGGAATGTGAATATGTTTGTACATTTTCCCTAGCACATGAGATGATGTCCTGGTTCGGCAGACCCTTGGATGCAAAAAGCGAGAGCTACCCCATCAATCCGCATCGGCGCTTCAACCAGAGACCGCTCCAAATACCTGGCCAGGTCAGTCAGGAGCTCTCTTTCATTTCGCGTTGGCAGCAACCGCACCGGGTATCACACGCTTGATCACACGCAGACGGGGCCACGATGCAAGGCGGCAGACACCTGTGGATTTATATGCTCTTTACGTCGCCCTCTGCAGGGCCGTGCATTCGTCTTTTCTTCTCTCTGGAGAGTTGAAGCAAGAAAACAGGTAGAGATGTATCTACAAAAATCCTACAAGTACAGCATGTGAAGAAGTTGCCCCGTCTTTACTCCAGAAAAGTCCCCTTGATGATGATGATGATGCCTTCCACTAGTAACACAGCCGCCATGAAGCGGCAAAGAGTTGAGAGAGACAGCCTAGTTCTTTTGGAAACCGGGTTAAAAAAATACAAATTGCGGTGCATGGGTCCGCGTGCCATCATCCTACGGTATCTCAACACATTCTCCTCCTCCTCCTCCTACTACTACTACTGCTGCTGCACATTTCATGTCCTCGGCGCATCTTCAAGGCTCTTGAACGTCGGCGAAGGGCCGACGGGCGGCTGCTCGGGTGGACTATCCAGCTCCTCTGTGGGGAACGGCGGCGGCGCGCTCTTCTGCCCCTGGCCGCCAAAGTACTTTTCAAATTCCTGGTTATCGCCAAACGGTCTGGGCCCAAGCAGGCGCACCAGGTCGTCGCGAGTCAGCATCTCCTTCTTCAAGAGCTCCTCCGCGACGATGCCGACCTCGCGCTTCTTCTCCTTCAGGAGGTCCCTGCACTGCTTGTAGGCCTCCTCTACGATCCGGTGCACCTCGGCGTCGATGGCCTGCGCCGTGGCCTCGGCAAAAGGTTTCTGCAACGTGTTCGGGTCGTCGTCAAAGTGTAGAGGGCCGACCTTCTCCGACATGCCCCACTGGGTGACCATCTTGCGGGCCATATGGGTGACCTTGCGGAAGTCGTCACTAGCGCCCGTCGTGACGGTGGGGAAGTGAAGCTCCTCCGAGATACGTCCTCCCAGCGTCATGGCCATGCGGTCCATCAGCTGTTGGACAGTCATGAGATACGCATCTCCCTGGGGCAGGTACTGGGCGTAGCCCAATGCACCCTGGCCACGGGGGATAATGGAAACCTTGAGAAGGGGATCGGCGTGTTTAAAGTACCAGCCACAGATGGCGTGGCCAGCCTCGTGGTAGGCCACCGTCTTCTTCTCCTCAGGGTTGAGCACGAGAGACTTGCGTTCAAGACCCCCAATGACACGCTCGATAGCCTGCTCGAAGTGAATCATCTCCACTGACTCAGCATTGGCACGCGCAGCTACGGCAGATTAGCATCTCATCAAATCAAAGGCTAGTTGTCACATTAAACTCACCAACCAGGGCAGCCTCGTTAACGGCGTTGGCAATGTCAGCACCGGAGAAGCCCGGAGTCAGCGTCGCCAAACGGCCCATGAGGTGGTCCATGTCTTCCTTGGTGACAATCTTGGCCAGGTGCACCTTGAAGATGTCCTGACGACCCTTCATGGTCGGGCGGTCAATGAAGATGTGCCTGTCGAAGCGACCGGGACGCATCAGTGCCTTGTCGAGGATGTCGGCTCTGTTGGTGCCAGCGAGCACAACCACCTGCTCTTGGGTGTTGAAACCGTCCATCTCGGTCAGGATCTGGTTCAGAGTGGCCTCGCGCTCGTCATTGCCGCCCATGCGGTTACCCTCCTGTCTCGACCGACCGATGGCATCGATTTCGTCAATGAAAATGATGCAGGGGGCACTCTTACGAGCATTTGCAAACAAGTCTCGCACTCTTGAAGGACCGACACCCACAAACATCTCAACGAACTCGGAACCGCTGACGCTGAAAAAGGGCACACCAGACTCGCCGGCGGTGGCCTTGGCAAGCAGGGTCTTACCGGTTCCTGGAGGTCCGGCCAGGATAGCACCACGAGGGATCTTTGCGCCTAACCTCTCGAAGCGCTCGGGGGTCTTCAGGAAGCTGACGAACTCCATAATCTCCGTCTTGGCCTCGTCCATGCCGGCAACGTCGCTGAACTTGACCTTGATTGCCGTCTCGTGGTTGAACTTCTTGGCCTTACTTTTACCGAATCCGAACATCTGGTTGCCGCCACGTCCACCCATCGACTTTGTGGTATAGTAGAGCAGACCAACCAGAAGCAGTGTGGGGCCGAAGGCGTAGACCAAAGGCATGATGCCACCCTCGCTGGCATAGCTGACGGGAATGCGCTCCGAGGTCGGGATGCCGAGTTCGTTCTGGGCGTCCTCGAGTTGCTTCTCGAACATCTCTACTGAACCAATGGAGAAGTAGTACTGCATGTTGGGGTTGACACCCTCGTTTCCGCCGTACACCGACTGCACTCCATCCCTGTTTAGCTCAACGCGTACGCGGCCGGGATTCTTGATGACCACAAGCTTGTTGACCAGTCCCTTGTCCAGGAAGTTCTTCCGCAGCTCTTGCCATGTAATCTCCTTCTCCTGGCCGAAGATCATGGACTCGAAGAAGGGCAGAACCACGATCCAAACGATGGCGGCAACAATCAGATCGCCGGTGCTGAGCATGCCAAAGATCCATCTCTTACCGCCCAATCCACCGCCCGGTGCGCCCTCGTTATTCTCCGAGTTAGAGTTGCGCCCATCCTTCTGCTGCTTGCTCTGCTGGGAGTCCTTGGCGTCATCCTCCTTCTCCTTTTTCGGTTCCTGCTCCTCGCGCATGTATACAGTCGCCTCGTAGTCGGAGAATCTCTTTGCGACCTGCGTCGAGACACGGAGGATCTTGGCGATATCGGTGACCGTCATCTTCAGCTTCCGCTCCTTCAGCGTCGCCAGGAGATCCCTTAGTTCCTTGGGAGCTCCCAACAGCTTCATCTCTTCCACGCTCTTGATGAAGAAGTCCTTCTGGAACCGGGGTAGTCTATCGTTCTGACCCATCTTGAGCAACATATCAAGCTCTTCCTGGTTGAGGTACACCCATCCTTCGGGTAGAGGCCATTCTTTCCGTATTTGCTCCTCCTTGGAAAGCTTCGCCCCGGCGGCATCTTCCTTCTTTTCGGTTTCCTTCTCGTTTGGTTCCTTTTCGTTCTTTGGAGGTTGGGGGCCGTTTGTCGAATAGAACCGCGATCGATAGCAAGCTAACGGAGCTTGAGGGCCAAGTCGTGCTATTCTAGACGGCTGGAAGCGCATACGTGTTACCGGCTGCTGCGCGATCCTTACAGCGCGCGCGAGCTGCGCAGATTGGCGGAGAAACCTCGCCATGGTGTTGTGTGTGTCTATATGTCGCGAGGTGACGAGGCGGGACGACCGGAGCCGGGTAGAAGGAAGTATTCACCGGGTATGCAATGTGCTATCTCATTGATGCGCCCCAGTGGTCGTTCGTTCGTACAATGATAGGTCAGGATGAAGGGGAATATGGTCAATGGATTTCTGATGGTGATGAAGAGCACCTGCCGCACTTGTTTGCAGCGGTGGTGGTGGTGGGAGAAAATCGTGCAATGTGGTTGGTAATTGGAACAGGCGTTCCTTGGATGACTGTACGATGGCAAAAGCTCCCATAGTGATGAGTTCATGTCGGGCTCCATCGAGGCCGAGATTTTAGCGGTACACGTGACTTTCAAACTCCGTCCGCAGCCACAAAATGGTCCCCACCTGCCGCCTCCAGCGTCCCCGTCCTCGGCTGAGAAGGACCTTTCCGCCCGCAAACTCCGATAACAATGAATGACACCTTGAAATCGATTCAAACGGGCACGCGTCGGCGGACAGGGTCTTGAGTGGTCCCGCCTGCTCTCCACGATGTTCCAGGCTCCCGTTAACTAACGTCCATATTTAGCTGTGTCTAGCCTCTAAGATCCCTTGACCATAGCCTGATTCGTTGCAAATTGGTCCCTGAGAGTTACTCATTTTATGTCATGTATATGTGCACATTCTATCAAATGGTGGTTTCGACGTAGGTAGCACCCATCACAACAATAGTTGGAAGCCCGTCTTGTAGTCGTTTACAGGTCAATTCCGCCACTCCATGGCAAAGCACAGCGCAATGTACAGAATTCTCCCTCCAAAGTCTCCCAGCCATAGCTCCCTTTAGCAGGCTAATTACTCGTACATGCGTTAATTGGTTCGTGATCTCGTCTCATATGCACATTATGCAACCTAAAATGTTCTGTCCTGCGACCAGCTTCGACGACGCGGTTGCCCGTCCAATCAGATACTCCGGCGCTTCAAATTTGCTCAGAGGTCCTAAGATAGCTCAACCAACGTTGCCGTTTTCCACTGTCGGGTACGCACCGCCGCTCATTTCAGCCCAGTCCCAATCTAGTGTCATGGGGAGGGCGAACAGGTCTTGCGGCAGAAGGGGTTGCTGGAATGGCTGGCCCATGTTCACCGGCGGGGAACGAGCGCTATTGGGCCCGCCGAACCCTGTCATCTCGCCAAAGTTGTTAAAGTTTGGTTGTTCCGGTATGCTGAACTCCTGGGGCCATCCAGCGGAAGGGAGTGCCGGCGACGGTTCTCGCATCGATGTAGTCGTCATGGGACTGAAACCGTGTCTCCTGCGGTTCGCTTCACCATTAAAATCGGGTGACAGCTGACCGTTGATCGTCGAAGTTATGGCTGCACCATTTACGGTGTGGGGAGTCGGGGTGGTGACGGACACGGGCCGAGGCGTGTGTGTTGGTGCGGCGGGGCTTGATGAAGTCTTGACAGTGGCGTCACTCTTCCGTTTCCTACGCGAAGACTGCTCCTTCTCTCCCTTTTCGATGACGAGCTTGGCTATCCTCTCAAACTCTGAGCACACACCAAGCATACGGTGGACACCTCCAGTCTCTGCTTCTTGACCCAGCATTGACAAGAAGTTGACCACAAGGTTCATCAATTTGGTGTCGGACTTGGCTCTCGGATCCATTGGGTTCTGCAAAATATTTCCGAAGAGTGTCATCAAGGCCGATACCGGGAAATATAAAATGAGCCTATGATGCGAGGTCAGTAATCATGACACAATAATCAACGTATCGACACAACATACCAGACACTTGGGGAATCACCCTGCGGCATGTACTTGAGAAGCGAGATTGACGCTCGGGCGGCAGCGGTACAGAGCGCCGCAGAAGAGAAGACGCGAGGGTTCAAAGGTTTAGCGTTGAGCCCCTGGATGGCATAATTGGACAGGCGACTTGTCCAGTAGCCGTGGTGAACCGACATGCGGTGAATCGTCGTCAAGCAGTTGTAGTATGTCAAGTGAAGCATGGCCACGTGCAGAATAAGAGGCGTATGCGACGCCTTGATCTCGTGCTCTGGTCTGAAATCGATCGGAATCCTCTCCTTCCATTCCTCGAGTTCCTGGTCAAGCTCTCCAATAGTGTTGAGGAGCTCTCCGCTTGATTGCTTCGTGGCCTTAGTTGAGTACAGCCGAGAGTAAACCTTGCTTTCGATTGTCGCAAACTCGCACATAACCCGGAAGAGGTTCATCTTACCCTTGCCGTCAGCCAGAGGAATGTTGCCAATGTTGTCTTCCGGGTCTGCATCGGGTAGCTCAACATTCATATCGTCGTCATCCTGAGCCGGCGGGCGGCCTGCTCGTAGGCAAAGATCTTTATCCAGCATGTAGGCGATCCAGAAAACTCGCTTTCGCTGCTCAATCTCGATGGGGTTGAGATTGAAGCCAGTTCCTCGCTTGTGAAGGCCGATGCTGTGTGCGAGGCGAATGGATGTGGCGACCAAGAGGAAAGTCGGCTGAGGGTTGGGAGTTCCTTGCATAAATAGGGCCATTCCAAGTAAGGCCTGTACACTCAGCAAGTCTGTGTTGCGCATCGACAATTCGGCAAACGTCCCCAAAGCGTTCTTCATGTACCCCCAAGCCTTATCGTCCTCCTCCTGCGGTACGAGATTGCTCATGACGCGTAGGCGATGGGCAAATGACAAAGCACAATTCAAACTCGCCCACCAGCCGGTGCCCTCGTAAGGATCATCAGAGTATTGCCGCTCAACCAGATGCATGAACGTGGGTTGATGAAATAATGGGAACATGCAGTTGAAGTTCTCGAAGAAGTCCTTCAGCAGAGACAACGCCTCCGTCTTGGGAGGTAGTGGCCGGAAGACCGGGCGGCGGAATAGATCGCTGAACACCTCAGGTTTCCAGGCAGTCCACTTGTGGTCGTCAATCGATACTTCGGAAATCATTTGCTGGAAGGATTTATCGCCCGTCTTCTCATTCACCCACTGGATACCTTTGGGCGAAAAGATGGAAAAGCCCGACGAGGAACCAATGTATCGCGTCTCGCCACTTTGGTTCGTGACCAGTGAGCACATGAGCTCAGAAAGCGCCTCAACCTCTTCCTCCTCCTCCTCGTTGCCCTTCTCGTCAGATACTGAGGCTTTGCGCTTATCTCCTTCCTTGGGATTTCTTTGAGATTCTCTGGTTGGCTCGGGGGAGGTTATGGCGCTGCGTGGCGTTGACATGGTCTCGTTCTGCCCCGATGCTGCCTGGGACGGGGTCGTCGGGTTGGACGCAGCTTGAGAGGCCTGTCTCGACTGCTGTTGCTTCTCTGCTAACCGCTTTTCGAGGGTACCCAGATCAGTGTCACCGTCGTCGTCTTCGCCAAGAAGACCTAAGCAACTGATTAGGACTACGCGCCGTAGCAGAGCACACTACACATCACGAACCTGAAAGTCTCAAAAGATTCTCCATGCGGCCCAAGCGGTTCTCGAGTCCTTCAATGTACTTTGCTCTGCCAAGTTTGTTAGTTGGGTGCCGCAGAAAGGACGTTGCATACACGTCTCGGCCTACCCTTTTGGTGGGTTGCGTTTCTTCTCAACCTGGGTGAATACGCAATCCGTCTTGTAGTTTATACAATGGCTACAGGCGGGCATCTTGCCGTCGCACTTGATCTTCTTCTTCCTGCACATATCACAAGCCTGCGTGCGCAGATGGACGGCGTAAGCGTTCTGCTCTTCTTCGCGGCGGGACCAGCGCCGCCAGTGCCAATTGAGATGCTTACCCTCGCAATTCTTCTCCTCTTTGCCTCGTTTGCATCGTCGAGGAGGGTGGACGGGTCCCCGAACATGTGAGCGGCGAGGTCGGGGGGAAGATGGGTGACGGGAAGACCATCGGGTGTGTAAGCGCCAAAGATCTGCGGCGGCTGGTTCATCATCTGGGGCGGTCCGCCCATGTGAGGCATCTGGAAGCCCATGTGGTCCATCTTGGACGAATTGGGTCGGTATTCACCGAAGCTGGGCACTCGCGGGGTCGTCTTCGGGGCGCAAGGTCCGGGGCGTGGTTGGCTGCGAGTGTGAAAGGGGGCCGATGAGCGCAGGAAGTGCGCGAAGCGTCGGCGACGAGGTGGTCAGAGTGTGACGAGGCGACGCTGGGCGCAATCGGAATTGGGAGGGTTTCTGGAAGATAGAGAGGTGAGAGGAAGATGGGGGGTTTCCGAAGATGAAGTAAAAGACGAAAAGGGCCTAAAACAAATCGGCCTGTCACGGTATTTGCAAGCAGGTAGCGTGAGATGGCTAGCGCAGCGGCAGAGCGGTGCTTGCTGCTATTCGCTCGGTAGTGCGGTGGCTTGGTCGAATTCTTAACGCCGAGAGGTGGACTGGTTTCCGTAGCGGACCTCCAAGAGTAATAGAGCCCGAAGCTCTTCGTTTTGGGTCTGGTCTGGGACCCGTCGTGGTGGAGTATCTTGTCAAGGTGAAGCTCCAACTGAAGCAGGCGAAGCGGTTGACTTAAGGTAACCGCGCTGGCGTCAGAAGAAGTCTCGTCGGGTCGGCGGATCGTGGAATTGGTCGACTAGTTGGGATGGTGAGTTGGAATTGTGATGAGCGTCTTGAAAGAGAGGGAGAAAGTGCGAGGTTTAAGAAATCCCGTACCGAAGGCGAATGTAGAGAAGTGGAAGAGGGGTTTATCACGGTCGACGATTGAGATACAGATACAGCACGCCAGGTCGGTTGATTTGGAGGGGAAAGGGGGAAAAGAAGAAAGAAAAGCGACGCCTGAGTGTTGGGACGGAGGGACGATGGACAACTGAGTAGCTGGGCGGTATCACATAACTCATCACCTCCTGGTGGACTTTTCCACGGCTTGGGAAGGGGGGCAAAGGGCGTTACAGAGTTGCAGACTCGTCCGTCAGTGTGCTTGCAGGGCATTGGTCAGCGGGGCGTAGCTGACCAGGGGGAGGGGGAGGGGGGCTGCTGTCCCGAAGGACGAGATGGGACAGGGATGGGACAATGGCAGGAAGTCAGAAGTCGACTTTCTTTACATAATCAGCGTATATTAAGGTAGCAAGTGAGACTTGCCCACTGTGAATATCAGCTTTGCACCGCATCTCACGTAACCCGCGGCTCTTCAATATTTTGCCACGTTTTTTCTCACCTCCAAAAGTCACTTTTCTATTTTAGTTTGTCCCATTAGGCTACCTCGGCTGCCATTGGAAGATCTCGAAAGCCACCACCACCAGTGCGGAGTACATCACACAGATGATGGTGGTGTTGTAGATTTGCTTCTACTCCACAGTCAACGGCCCCCTCATCCCAAGTCTGACGCCCACTCGCTCATCTGCGGTGCCTGTTGGCCGCCGGAGCATATAGTGTGTTGTTCACGCATCATGACTCGGCACTTTGATCGACGCCGCAAAGCTGGGTGCAGCCGTCAGGATACAGCGAGCCCAAGATCATGCATCTACGCTAGGGGCCGGGTACGAGGGATGCCAGGAGACAGTTCTACGGCGCACCGCGGCGCTAAGATGGGCGTCTGCTCCCGCCATAAGTCGACCTCCAGATTTTCCACCGTGTTGGTTCCAAGGCCATCGACCTGGAAGAGAGCGCCTGGTCTTCCGTGGCGGACCCCCTCTCCCGCTTCTTGGCTTGCACTGCTCATCACTTCGCCGTCATATAGGTCCCTCCCCCTCCGCTCCCATCCCATTCTGCCGGCTTAATCACCCCAAACTTCTAACCCTGTTAATATCGGGGTTTTTCTTTCGTCTCAGCTCTCGCCCACCCCTACTATGTACACAATAAACCCCAGTCGACCTCCCCCGGTCGTTCTCTCTGTCAGTCTGCGACCACTGGCGCGGCACCATATGCGAGGAACACTCTCGCGACGAATTACATCGGCTAAATCGGCTTGACAGGCCCATCTGCCGCCCGTGCGGCGCTCTCTGCGGCGCCTGTACGGATACTCTGTACATACGGATACCTTAATCAAGCCCCCTCCCCCGGTCTTCTTCCAAGCTGGGCTCCTCCACGTCCCGAGCGTCCGAAGACGTCCCCTATTCGAATTCCAACCCTCACCTGTAACCTTGGAGAAGGTATCGTCGACCAAGGGAGAAGAAGTAGAAGAAGAAGTAGGAGAAGGAGGAGAAAAAGAAACAGGAGGAGCAGAAGTGAATAAGACAGAGACGGGACGGATACTTACCAATGGCATCATAAACTCTACTCGACCTCGTCTATCAATCAAGAAAGCGACTCGGCACCTGCCCAAGCCTCAGGGGGCCATGCGTCCGAGAAAGCTCCAAATCCTCTGATGGGAGGATGAATCTTGCCATGGCTCGGACATCTTCTCTTCAGTCATCACGCCTAAACTAGCTCGGGATGACCCCAGAAACAAGGGTTTGCTTGATATGACGGGCACAAGCGCAGACCTTAACCTTCTCTCTCCCTCTTCCTATCCCTTACTCACTTGCAGTCACAAACGCTAGCCAACCGCAACGAGGGAAACTGCCGCCGTGCACGGAGAATCAATCATATGCGCATATGGCGTGCCGGCCTGGGCCTGTCACAGAGTTCACTCCAGTTCGTGGTATCCGTACTGCCTCGCGGGTATCGACTGAGCCCCCACCTACCCCCACCTCAATCGAAAATGGCTTAACCATTTTCGGGGCCTGTTTGAAGCTATGGTAACAGCTTATTTACCGTTGCTTCGGCCGTTGAAGTGTGAGGCCTCTTTGCTTGTCCAGCCAGCTCGCCGACGCTCACGTCCAGTCGGCCGGGGGGAGGCGGGGCTTCAGCTGTTCGATCCGAGCAAGCCGGTGCAGATGTCTCGAGATCCCTTTCCAATGACTCCATGATATCTCATCCCATACACGGAAGGTTGGAGAAACGCTCTACGAACACAGGTATGGCATTTGTAGTTTTGGACAGCGCATTCTGCTGCAGCGACGATGCTATGAGACAAACTATGGAAGGCAAAAGACAAAAGTCGCCCACCAATGGCTACGTTAACCCGGCAAGACCTCGTATCGCCGCCTCGCGCTTCCTGCTCGCTCATTCGCTCTTGACCACATCAAGTTATGCCGTAGCTGCGATCTATTGCGCCGAGGCCCGCGACTTTCCAGAGTCCTTTTTTCGGAGAGCAATCCCGGCCAGGCCAGGCACTATTGCTGTCCCCTGTGGGCGAAAAGCAGACGCCATCGATGCTGTGGGTGGTTCACTTTGCCTTCAACGCCTTCGGACGGTTGAAGGTGCCGCAGGATCGAAAGAGTGGAGATTTTGAGACCAGGAGGGGAGACGTGGGCAAAAAAAAAAAACCATCGAATGAGGTTTCTTACTCCAAGCTCGGGTTTATGCGAGGCTGTCAATGTATAGAGCTCCGGCCTGATGGAGGCGTATGCTGACTTGCCCTCGTGTATGAAGCAGTAGAGGCCACGACCTTGTTGTCCGAGAAGCATCGCAAGATTTTGATGACTTTTGCGAGGCCGACTGGGAATTCATCTTGGCCGGCATGGGGTATGTGGTGATATGGATACTTCACCCACTCGCTCATCCGCTCCTCCATGGAGACCAACTACCCAAAAAGATGTTTCATCCCGTGTTGTAGACATCGCTACCGGGGGATGGGTTGGGATGGGATGGGATGGTAAACACTCATAAACACCTGATGGATGAGACACCAGCCCTAGAGAGGTAGTCCACTAATTCCACGTCCACGAGAGTGCTTACCCAATCGGGATCGTCTAAGACGCTTGCAAAGGGAAGACACAGCTTCTCTGAATTTGTCATGGTAAAAGTCGCGGCCCAAGCGGAACACTACTAAGCTTGCGCCCCAGAAAAATTCTGGGACGGAGAGGGGAAGGGGGAGTAGAAGAAGAAGCTTGACACGACATTCTTTTTGGTTCCCACCGTTTCATGTGTGTCTCAAGATGGTTCAACCTACTACTCCTCCTCCCCGGGGGGGAAAAAAAACGACTCCATCACGACAACATGCCTTTCCTTGCCCCAAAATTTTCAAACCTAACTTGGGCAGGCACGTGGAGGCAGCCCGAGCAGAAGAAAGTCATTACTCACTCGCTGGCCAAGACCGTCCCATCATGAAAGCAGCCGCGCTCCCGGTCCCTCCCTCCTACCTTGCTACATTTGATCCTCCGGGAGGGGGGGATCGGACGGGCAAAGATGGCATGTTCTTCATCGCAAGTAGGATACCACAGTGGTGGAAGCAACGCACTTTCCTCGAAATATACAAGGTTCTTGTCACATGGAAGCAAGCTATGCGGATACCTTGTTCCTCTATGCGCATGAGAATAAGCAAAAAAATCCGTTGCCCAAAAAAAAAAAGGTTTAGGATTGACTTCATCCTCTCTTTTCCCTCAATGGCCGTAGCCAAAAGAAGGTAAAAGTTTCTAGTCTGCCCTTCTGCCCCTTCCCCTTCATCCGTTTCTCTTTTTTCCCCTCGCTCGTCTCTTGAGGCGAAACTAAAACCTCATCTACATCCAAGCAAGCCCAACGCTCGCCCCGACTGCGGATGCCAATGTCGTTGCGGTCCGAAGCCGGCGCACGCACGCGTGCTTGTAAAAAAAAATAAAAAAAATATGAACCAATATCCCCCTCTACATGGAGATTCACCTTGCTTCCGTATGGCCAGGACGCAAAAGGCTCATATCAGACGTGCCAGAAACTCTCTCAACGCCAATCCATATGCCGTCATAGAGTCCGCAAAGTTGGCACAAAAAAAAGGTTGTGGCCCCGACCCCAACCACCCCAAATAGGTACTAATAATTATCGTTTGAAAGATTGGTGAGAATGTACAACACGCGTCAAGGTACGTTTTTGGAGCCCCGGTATTCTCTTTGAGTCCGGCATTGCCGATCTGGGAATAAAAAAGGAAGAAGAGAAGGCAATGTCGAACCAAAAAAGGTGAATTCACATGTCTTCGTGGAACCTAGAAGCCGAACCCCGAGACCCCCGAGACCCGTCCTGCGAAGGTAAAGTCCGACCGATGGGGTCCCGGCCCGGGGGCTGTAACGGGATAAACGGCGGACTTGTCTCCGGAGACGCCGCCGGAGGCGGGAATGGCGCCGATTCCGTCACTGGCGTTCGGGCCGGCGACTCTTTGAGGACCACCACACCACTGACTGGCCTCATGGGCGAGCCAAGCGCGAGGCGTGTTGTTTGGCTGTTGGGGTCGAAAAAGGCTTGAGAGTCGCGGAAGTAGACTGATTCGTCGTCATTTACGGCGGCTGCGGTGCCCTCACGTGGGTCCGTGTAACCGTCGCCCCCGGCTTGCAGAACAGAGGGCAGTTTCCTGCCGGCTACTCGGACAAATCCTCTCTCGCCGGTTTCGGAAGGCTCGCTAGCCCTTCTCGAAGAAGGTTTGTGAGCCGCGGCCATCGCGCCGGCTCCGGCTCCGGCTCCGGCTCCTGCGCCAGCGGCCGCTGTGGTGGGATCAAATGACAACGACCGTTGGACCATCCCACTGCTGTTGCCACCACCTTTCGGACCGCCAGAACCAGTGAGGATGCCTCGTTTGCAGGCGCTGACTTCGCTGAGGCGGAACCGTCCGCCCGAGCGCTTCTTCCACCGAAGGGCAAGGATGACCAGCGCCACCAGGAACGCCGCTCCAGCCAAACTTCCTACAACACTGCCCACGACTGTTCCGGTTGGTGTTGGCGAGCCGCTGCCGCTAGAGTTGTCAGACGTGGGAGTCGAAGTGGGCGTGGCTGTCCCAGCTCCCCCGCCGCCGATTCCGCCGGCGTTTCCCTCTCCAGAAGCTGTCGGTTCATTGGAAAACGATTGCGAGGCGCTCGTAGCGAAGGTAGACGTGCTCAATCTGGTGGACCCCGACGTCGAAGTTGATGCCGATGTTGAGGTCGAAGTTGAATACGAGTTAGAGCTCCATGTTGTCGATGAGAGCGATGAAAGTATAGAAGAAGTAACACTTGTTGTACCAGACGAAAATTGGCTAGATAAACTGGTTTTGGTAGAGACTGAGGTTGAAGAAGAGTTTGATGAGGTAAGGAATGCTACACATCCTGGGTCAGCTACTTCACTTTGGGAAACACTCGACAGAGGGGGGGAGTGACGTACAAATTGTCGAGTTTGACTGGCCACTCAACGTAGGGTAGAGTGACGGCGCGGCTTCCGAAGGAGCTGGAGTTGATAAAGGATTGGACGTCAGGGAGATACCTTGACTGGCGGATGAGTTGGTAGACGAGGATGTCGTAGGCGCCGGCGTCGACGGCACAGAGTCATTCGTCGTGCTGGAAGACGATGAAGTGTCGGTATGGGACGAAGTGGATGAGGGTACCGCAGCAATTGACAAGTCAAGGGCGGTACTGCTGGTTGATTGAGCATCCACGGTGGCGGCAGTTGGGTTGATGGTCTGCACTCGGATCGGGGAGCCGGCGGCATCGACTATTTCAATGAGAGAGACGGTTTGGACAACGATTCTCGGTGCCGCGGTGCTCGACGAAGTGGCGGCGTCGGGGGTGGGATTCGTCGGGTTGGGGTCAGCGTCGTCGAGTTGGCGATGGCGGTGATGAGCATTCTCGGGGGTGGCTGCGCGTTGATTGTGTAAGTGGTAATGATTATGATGGTATGAGCGGGCCTGAGGGAGTGAAGACCCGCGCAGTGATTTAGTCATGTTGTAGACGGGGTGGCGTTGGGCCAAGTAGGCTGAGCTTTACCCCGGCCGGTGGTGTGGTTGGTCGTCTTTTTTGGTAAATTGGGGGGAGGCGACTTTCAAGCCGGTGGTCCCAAGGGCGTGACGGGAATAAAGATAGAACAAGGTAAACGAGTGACTGGTGTTGGATCACCGGGTAAGTAAGCGAGTGTGAGTGAGTGAGTGAGTGGTTTGTGTTTGGATAGGAGTTGTCGATCTATTCGAATTCCATTCTTGGCATCCTCATGGCCATGTGTGGATAAATGGGAATATCGTCTGGTGGTTGGTAGAGGTCGTGGTGGTGGTGGTGTCCCGCAACGGGCCGCGCGAATGCAATTCCCCCTCGTTCCGAATCAACAGACGCTCGGTTTTCCTACACTCTTTCTGCTTCTCTTAGGACGCGGTGTGCGCAGTGCCCCAAGAGGATTTTGAAAATCAACGATGGGAAGGGACCGTGGACAATTCGTGTCAGCCGTTTCTCGTTGTTCGTGTTCGAGATCCTTTGTCTCCCTTGCATCCGCCAGTTCTCATGGCCGATGGATCAGGACGATGGCATGGCGGCGTAAGCGTGCTGTTGGCAGGAGGCGAGGAGAGAAGACGAAGGAAGAGGAGGGAGGAGGAGAAGAGAAGAGACAGACAGATGCCTTAGATGGGAGGGGGAAGGGAAGTGGAGTGGAGTGAGCAGGCACGACGATAATAATAGGTAGGCAATGGATCGATCGTAGGCTGGATGCAGTATGCAATATGGGAAGGGAAAACATGCAGGTCCAGTCAAGTGAAAGGCACCTTCTCGGTCAAAGTTGAGCGCTTCGACGAGAGGTGGGCGCCGCCTTGTCAATCTGTTCTTCCCCCGGGGGCCCTTGGGGGATTGGGGGAACTGGGAAGGGAAGATTTCGATAATCTCGCTTGATGTTGGCGAGTGGCTGCTAGCTGTAGGACACCACGTCTCATTGGCCAACCAGACGCCTCCAAAGTCACAGTGAGCCGTTCCACTGTCCACTATCACGGGGAGCGCCCCCCCCTCCATGAGTCCATCAGCGATGGGCCGACCAGGAACGGGCACCATGGGCCAGGGACAGGGGACAGGGGACAGGGAACATGCACCCCTCGCCATGTCGTCCTTTTTTCCTTGTTCCTCTCGTTTTTTTCTCTCACTCTGACCCTTCCCTTTTGGTGACCATCACATTGAGGTCCGCACAGTATGCCAGTCATCACACCGCGTATCATTCCGAGCAACCTTCATGTCCATCATACACTGCACATTGCCAATTGGCTTTCGATGCAAAGGCAAACACTAAGAGACAGACAGACGATTGGTGAGCGGTTGAGGGACATTCCGAATGAACAATCTTGCAAAGCACAGGCCCATTGGTGGCACACGAGAGAGTGAGAGAAAGAGAAGAAAAGAAAACGAGAAACATCCTGCCGATCAAATCTGAGGTGACAGCACACACCACGTCCGGGATGAGATGAAATGAGATGATGCATGGGACGAGACGAAAGAGAGGCAAAGAGGAAGAGAGGGGAGTCTGACTAAGGCACCGCGTCAAAAACCAAGACACACACACACACACGCATACGAGGTCCAGGAAAGGAATGGCCTGTGCGAGACCGACGAATGTGTCTCGTTTTCCCTTTCGAGTGCTTTATTTGGCTACAAGGCCCGTGAGCAATTGGACGTCCTGGCGTTCGATTGGCGCCGTTGGTTTCGCCCACGAGATCATGGCGGCGCAACCCGCTCAACCAACTGCCATCCAGAGTCCAGAAAGGTCCAGACCCGAAGTCTCCCGGGTATGACTAGGTATGAACTACTATGGTACGAATACACTAGGAACAATGACGAGGCCGGCCACCAAAGATCGGCCACCTTCCCCAAATCGATGGGCAAAGAGGGTCAACGGCTCTGCAGCTGCAGTTTCCAAGGGTGAAAATGGAATCAAAAGAATAAATGGGACAACAGACGACGACACAGGCCAGTAGCGACTCCACTATCCTGAACCTCTCGTGTATCGTCGTCGTCGCTCATCTACAGCTCAACTGCTCGACCGATGCCAATATTTAACCAGTCAAGGATCACAGGCTCCCAAAGGAAACTTTGAGGCATAAAGAACGTCATCGATGGGCCGCAGACGACGAGCCAACCACATCGGACACTGGACAAGAAGAAATCAAAGAAAAGGAAGTACGACAAATCTGTTCCGAGAATGCAACTGAAAAGTTTGTCCTCGCACAAATATCTAGGGGGGGCAAGCGCCAGAATCAACCCGTGTAACCACCAAAGCAAAGGTGCCGTGCATCTCTCTAGTCTCGCCATGTTACCTGCGAGCCGCGGGCCAACACTACCCTATGCATCTGATTTGTACTCGTTGCGTCCTCGCGCCCTCTCCCTCGACTAACTCGCAATCAGTGTCGCGACCCGTCGGGCGGCTCTGTGGATGAGGGAGCGTGGCGTTCCCTAGACCTTCTTCATCCTCCTGCTACAGAGAACCTCAACCCCGTATTCGCCACAAGGTGAAGCAGATTTGACGACCCAAGCAACCAGTCGCCTTTCCTCGCGTCCACGATTGCTTCAGTACAGCGTGAGCCGCAATAATCGTTGTTGACTTTTTTCTCTCTCTTCGATCGCAAGGATATGGATACAGTGCGCGGTACCTGCATCTGGACCCCTGGCACGAGCTCCATTTCTTGGGGGCCCTTTGTGGGGTTCGTGGGGCTGTTCAAAGCCATGGCTGGTGCCCGGGGGCCAAGAACCAAACGAAACGTGCGGACGAGACGGACGGAACGGATGAGCCCCTCTCTCCAAACGCATAATATCGAAAGGTGCTATAAGAGCGAAGAGGGGGTATACTTCCAGGGCAACGCAAAAGTCCAGCGAATGCAGAGAAACAATGTAAGAGCGCATCTACATAGTACACGAAATGAATATTGGCTGTTGTGCATGTGACCTAACCGAGGATTTCCCCTCCTCTCTGACGCCTACGGACAACGATATCGAATTCCACGGCCATGGGTTCTAGAAGCGTGTGCTAACAAAGTCCAGCACCCACGCACTATCGTTGACATGGGGTGCTTGGTGAAAGAAGGGGGGCTCTCGATCTGGTTTTCTCCTAGTGCACGGCAAGCCGCAAGCCGCTCTCTGCTGTGGGTGTCTCTGTGTGTCGGAAGCTTGGCGAGGCTCGGCGATCATGGGATGAATTTCGTTTCCATCGAAACGAACACTGGGGTAACCTATCCCCTCTCCCCCCGTCTCTGCCTGCCCCTTTCTATTGCCCCCTTGTATTGGGTATACCTCTCGGCGTCACGGAACCTGCTCTTCACTGCCTCATTAACAATGGAGTCGGGTATCCGTACCCAGGAGTTTGGTGTTCGACTTCTTCCCCGTTTGGAGGTCATAACATCATAGCATATGTGTTATCGCACAGCCAGCTTTCTAGTCATTTGGCAAATTGAACGTTTGTACGAGATGGTTTAGCGCGTCTCAGGAGGCTCTCCGAATTTTGGGACCGCCCAAAGTGCTTTTACTATGTTTTGACAGCGGTCGTTCTTCCACGCTTCCAGTTTTACTCCGTATGTACCGAAACAATGTCACTCGAACCACGGCGTCATCCAGGACCAAGCACGGCATTGGAATGATGGGTCTCCACGGCTGTACGTAATCTTCCCTTGAACGGCCCCCCCCCCCGGATGGGCGTAAAGTGGAGTTGGATGAGAAAAACGGCTTTGCGATTCTTGGCTAAGATTGCTGTGCAGATGTTGTGCAGCGCAACGGAGTAAAATCAAATGAAATCAAAATCAAAAGTGCGCAGGACAACAAGGTAAGAGAGCACAGCACTTTCATTGCCATCCCGACGGGGTTTCTGGGCACGTTCCCGAGACGACGGCCCAGCCAGCAGCTACCTTTGAAGAGCTCGTATCGCATTGTTCACTTCTATCCGTACTCTTCCCTCCTAAGCCGCACGGGATTCTACGACCATCATAAGCGTAGACGCGGCCGTAGGCCGTAACGCACAAGATCTGGTTACCCGTCTGCCCATCTGCTGTTTCTTGTTATCTCGTTCTAGACCTCCCCTCCCCCGCGTTTCCGACGGACGAACGTCCACCTGAAGATGAGGGAACTGGCGCGCCGGCAACCATGTCATAACTGCCGGGCGCCGTTTTATTTTTTATTTCGCCCCCCCCTCCCCCTGTAACGGATACTGGGCATGTTGTGCAGAAAGAGCAAAGACAACAACAAACCGGGTCGCAAAGGAGAAGAGCGATGAGAGAGTCTCCAATCTAATCTGTGTAATCTCCCAATTGCCCCCCCTGCCCTGCCCTGCACTGCACTCGGCCCCCGAATCGAGGAAAATCACCGCAACAGGCGATGGGACGTTCATCTGAGAACGGGGCCCCCTTCAGCCAACTTGATTTTACTGTGGAGGAGGAACTCATCTTCAAGGGTGTGGTGGAATATCGAAATCAAAGTCAGAGCCTGCACCAGAGGACGCTAAAAACTGTCTGGCTCGGAAGTGTTGGTGGTGGTCCTGCAAATCCGGTATCATGGGACGACGGATGTAAAAGGCGATATCCGCACTATGTAGTACAGAGACTGGTCTGTTGCTCTTGCCCGCAGCCGAGTATCAAACTTCTATGCAGCCAGCCAGTAAGTCATTAAAGCACAGATAGGGTTCGCGCAGCGTTGTGTCGAGGAAGGGTAAGCCGCAAGGGTGGTCTTTTTTCATGTGTGGAAACGTGATAATCTTCTGAGAATCTCTGGGCGAACAATGGCTGTGATGTCCGGCTTGGTGTGACCTGTAAGACAAACATTGCGTGTTTCCTGGTCCATGTTTGCTTGAACTCTCCTGCTCTGATCTCACGGTAGATGAATTGAAGCTGGAGGCTCTTGAGTGAAAGAGAAAAGTATCAACTAACTTCCACCAAACTCTGTCTCGCATCGCCAAAGGCTTCTATAACACTGCCCTGACCATGCGTACCTAGGTAGGTAGTCAATCAGGCCCCATGCCAGTGTCGCGATTCACATCCGGTCGCAAGTTGTCAAGCGCGGCTGACTCAGGGCCATTCCCGGGAGGAAATAAGTGTAAAATGTAAATGGCTGTGCTACATGTAAGCCACTTGAATGAGAAAATCTTCTCAATCTGGGATGAATGAATTGTGGCGGCAGCTGTCGCGAATGGCGCAACAAATGCGCATCGGATCCGAATACCCGAGGACGCAACGCGTGACAGCAGGTAGTTACGACAGCTTAATTTGAGATCAAGCGAGGATGGGCAGGACATGTCGTCATTTTCACTTGCCAAATTAGTGGTCTGTCAACCGCAGCAGGGGCTCATTGTGCTTCCGGCATCGTTAACCGCCAATCGGTGGCTGGTGGCTGGAGGTTGGAGCCAGTGCCTATCTGAGGCTGACATATGCTGGTGCAGAGTGGCATTGGTGGCTCGACTGCTCTTACCTCTCCGCAGAAGTGACTTACAAAGATCCCTGATAGGTGAGGTGGTGCGTGATTAAGCAATCGGGTACCTGTCCGCCTGGGAAATTGGGCGCAGCAGCGGCGCAATGAGGCCTCTTTCTACCTACCTTACTAGGAGCACCAGGTACACAATTTTTGGCGTATTCTGTGCTTCCCAACAGTCATCCCACAGCTGTATCCCTACCTCTACCTCTCCACCTCGACCTACCACGGCACAAGAAGCTGCACTCGTCGGGACCAAACCCGCGCCTGGACCAGACACAAGCAGCAAACCAAGGCAAATGTCAATGAAATAGCCCACGGTCTCCTCTCATCAATGCTCCTTTGGCCGTGACGGGATCTTTGGACGGCTTTGCGTCCCTCGTTCTCTCCGTGTTATATATGGACATCCGACTCCATCCTTCTTTCTTCCGTACCGCAACACCACCTAGAGCTCTCATCCCTACAGCATTCTTCGTCGTGGTAACCCTTCCTTTACCCCTCCCCAAGCTTAACGCCACCTACCCCTCTCGCGCTTTACACACACACACACAGTTGTACAGTGCAGCACTTTTAAACCTCCCACATCATACACAGCTCTGGATTTTGCCCGGAGTTTGACGTCATGTCCGGTTACACGTATGACGGACCCTCATCCTCGTCCGTACCACCGCCGCCCTACTCCCTGACTGCCTCCGCCTCCGCCTCCGCCTCCGAACATTTTGAATCCACGTCCTCGTCCCAATTCCCGCCCCCACCCACCGCCGCCTATGACGGGCCCATCGTGGGTCCGTCCTCTGGCTTCTCCTCCGGCTACCCCTCATCTTCCGCCGAAGGTTTCGGGATCGTGGATTCCAAGTGGCGCCTGGCCGATCCTAGGTCGTCCTCGGCTCATTCGCTCGCGCCATCCACCAAGGACCGCGACGGCATCACCCGCCGGACCTTGCTCGTCATCTACATCCACGGCTTCTACGGCAACGAGTCGTCCTTCCGGTCTTTTCCCGCCCACGTTCACAATCACCTCAAGGACGACCTCGCCGAGACTCATGTCGTCCACTCCAAAATCTACCCCCGTTACAAAACGTACAAGGCCATCGATGTAGCTCGTGACAACTTCAGCCAGTGGCTGGAGCCGCACGAGTCCGAGTCCACTGATGTGATTCTCGTCGGACACTCGATGGGAGGCTTGCTCGCGGCCGAGGTTGCCATGATGGTATGATTCCACAGGCCCAACAGCGATGAGACAAAACTGACTGACGCTGCCCTTAGCCTAACCGGCACCCATATAGGCGCCATCCTTACAAGCATCGCATACTTGGTACCATCTCACTCGATTCGCCGTTCCTTGGACTTCACCCCGGCATCATCGTGGCCGGAATCTCTAGTTTATTCAGACCGGCGTCTCCAACAGAGGAGAAGCAAGAGCACGAGGCTTACAACCAGCTGAGCTCTACCAACTCGGCCCTGACCAGTCCCAACCCGTCCATGTACACCCTGGAGACGACGAGCTCACTGGGCGCGGACCTGTCACCTCATCCGAGCAACACACCATCCATGTCCTCGAGCAACCCGCCGCAGCAGCCGGATCCCACTTTCAACCCGCCGTTCTTTAACGACCTGAATCTCAAGGACCGTTCCTTCATGAGGCGGCTGGGTCATTTTGCCAAGAAACACAGCCGCGAAGGCATCTGGGACGCTACCAAGAACCACGTCATGTCTCATTTGGAGTACGGCGGCTGCTTGGCGGATTATCCCGGCCTGAACGCCCGATACAACAAGCTCCGCGCCATGGAGAGCGTCGACCCGCTGCAGCAAATGGGCGACGGCAATGCTTACGGCAACAACGTGAACGGGCCTGCTCTGGCAAGAGTGCGATTCATTAACTACTACACCCTCAGCTCAGGAAGACCCAAGAAGCCAAAGACGCCAGACACGCCCAAGTCCCCCGAGTCTCCAAAGTCCCCCGAGCACCATGCGGCCCCAAGCACGCTACAGGTCGGCTCCCATCTATCCCCGCCGTCTTCTTCGACGCCTAGAATCTCTCTATCGTCCGACGACGGCCAGGAAATGGAACTACTCGAACCGATCCCGATGGAGGACATTGACGAAAAGCTTTCGGCCCTCCACACGGAACAACAGCAGGCACGGTTTGATCACGATGCCGCGGGGAGCTCCTTGAACTCGACCGACGCACTCGACAAGGAAGCGCGCGAACCAAAGGGCAAGGAGAGAGAAGGGTCGGTGCACGGCGATATCGACTCACACGAGATGCTCATCGCCGAAGCGGGACCCGGGCCTGCTTCTGCCGCGGCGGTCGACGAGGCGGAGAACCCCGAGGCTGCGCCGCTCATCGGAGATGTCATACCCGAAGCGGAACTACCACCCATCCCTGACCTGCCCGAACAGCCAACGCCTCCGGATCTGGATAGGTACACGGACAAGGACGCTCGGAAACAGGCCGAGAAGGAAGGCAAGCGCGCGCAAAAGGCGTACGAATCCGCCGTCAAGAGTCGCGACAAGGCTATCAAGGAGCGCCAGAAACTCGTTGAGAAGCGTCACAAAAAGGCAGAAAAGGAGGCGGCCAAAGAGGCGCAGAGGATCGAGAAGGAAAGACAAAAGCTGCAGAAGGAAGAGCAGAAGCGGCGACAACAGGAAGAGATAGCGGCACAGAAAAAGGCCGCTGAAGGAGCGGCATTGCAGCAAAAGGAAGAGACGCACGATGAGAAGGAGGCTCGGAGGCTCGCGGAGGAGGCAAAGAGGATGGAGAGGGAGGCTAGGAGGTTACGGGGGGAGCCGCTCGAGAGTGACACCGAGGATAAGAAGCTGCAGCCCGAGACGGGAAAGGAGGAGGTCGAGGCCGAGATGGCGGCGACCGTCATCGCCGGAGCCGCAGCCGCAGCGCCGGAAAGTGTAGCAACAGCGGCAGCGGCAACGGCAACGAACAAGCGACGACCTCCGATGGTATCACAGTCCTCGTCCGCAGCATCCATCAACACAACGCAGACGGGTGCCACCACAAACACAAACCAATCCAAAGCCGTCGCCGCCAAATCCAAGTCCAAGTCCAACTTTGACAAACCCAAGAAGGAACGCAAGTTCTGCACTCTGCCCAGCAAGAAGAATGGAAAACCCGACGAGACGTGGGTGTCGGTGTACATGGAAGGCATGGACGAGGTCGGCGCCCACTGCGGGCTCTTCCTCCCCGGCCCACATTACGACACGCTCATTGGCGACGTCGGTGAGCGCATCGTGGGATGGGTCCAGGACGATTTGAGCGTCAGGGCCATAATGGAGATGCCTTGATGGTAGGGGGAACCAGACCACCCTGAACTGTAATTTGGCTACTTGGACTTGGGAATGGCGAGGCAGCAGGACTGTCTAGAAGCACCCAATCAAGAGAGGCGAAGCAGGAACTTTCTACATTATTTTTAGTTTCACTCTTCGGCGAGAACATATAACCAATCGAGGTCCACGGCCAACAAGCCTGCAGAAGAATTAATAGGCGAATCACGATTTGATACAATATTTAGTTGTGTGAAGCTACAAGAGGTGACAGTCACCATGATGCAGAGGCTTCTTGATGCCTTCTATTTGAATTACTTTGTGTGTTTTGTTTGTGTTAGTGCTACAACGACGACCCAGCCAAAGCCCCCTTTGCCTATGGGGGAATTTTTTTTCTTCTCGTGCTCTCGCGTCCGGTGGTGTGATGATGGATGGATGGTTTGTGGTGGTCGTGGTAAAATGATCCCGTCCCCTTTCGTAGCAGCCTTTAGAATGCCCCCCTTCCCCCCCTCCCTTGAATCGCGTGGTATTTTTTTCCCCATCCCTTCTTCAGTCGGTCATGTGTTTTCTCGTTTGCCAACCTCGACTGAATGCGTTAGAAATCGAAAAATCAAAAGATAAAAAGTAACAAGAGAGTAAGTTAATCCCCCTGAACGCCCTGCTGGAAGTGGAAAAAATCATCAAAAGGGCAGAAAATGCCCGTCCGGCCCTCGTTCCCCCGTGACCCTCAAGAGCGGTGCTTCCTACGACGCAAGCGTCGCGGTTTCGACCGCCGGCCCTCAAGTTGCCTTCTGGGTGCCTCAAGACCGTCGGGCGAGCGTACATCTGATTCGCAATCTGCTTCGCAACCCAAAAGATCGGTAGCTGCGGCGGCAAGCTCGCAAAACCGCGATATCCAACACGATGGCCAGTCGTGGAAATTGGGATAATGGTATGGGCTCAGCCCTTTTTGCGGACGATTCGGCGATTGCCGGGCTTCGTCGCCGGAGGCGGCTTCTAAGCACCCACGGCGCTGGGGCCGTAGCCTTGCGGACGCATCGTATTCGGGAACGTCTGGCCATTGCCGTCCTGTAAAGAGTCAGCTACAGTTACGGACAGCATGAACAAATCATCGCTAACCTTCTTTCGCCGCTTCTGGCCTCCCCTATCGTCGCCATCCCCCGTAGAGTAGCCGTCGTCGGGGAAGCCTTCACCGTACCCCTCGAAGCTGTTGTCGCCGTAGCCGCGCTTCTTGGTCGTCCGTTGAGGACGGACAGCCCCCTGAGGTCCCTGTTGCTGCTTCCGCGCAAAGGGGTTAGGTGTAGTCGCGGAAGGTGTACCCGGGGCTGTCACCTTGCCACTGAGACCCTGTCTCAAGGCATCGATGCTGCCCGGGGCAAGATCTCCGAGAACTGAGCTGTCCCAATCCTTGACTGGAATCGGGCCCTTGGCCATAGTCGTTGCTCGGTTGAGTATCGACTTGACAGTACCAGACAGACCACTCGCGATCGGGTCTTGCCGCGTGCCCCAGAACTCGGCATCGGGAATCTCCAGCAATTCCCGGAAGCCATGGTAGACCTCCCTCTTCTTATCGCCACTCTCACCGTCCTTTTCCCTCGGAGCATCCCAGTCTTGGGCGACGGAATCGAAGCGGCCGAGAATTCCGAGTTTCTTGATCTGCCCCTTGTACGTCTTCCGTAGAGCGTTCTTCTCACCGTTCGGCTTTTCGCGAGCGACTTCTGCAGCGATGCCCGAGAGATTGAACATCTCGAAGAGGTCTTCCGTGATACGCGGCAGTCTCTCGTGGTGCGCTATGTAGCTCAGTGTTAACCAAATATATTCGACATTGAACCGGCTCAAAATACTAGATAGGCCGTGGGGAAGGGAGGATGACAAAATAGCCTGCCACGAAAACAGGGGGCTTTGAAGGGAGCCTTACGAGTTTGGCAAAGTAGGTATTTCTCTCCGACATCCAGGTGGAGTGCCTCGATACCAGTTTTGCTATCCTCGATGTGGGCTTTCTTCTGCTCTCGATCACCCAAATCTTCGAGTGGGCGCTTGCGTTTATGGGGCGAGTCATCGCCCATGACGATGTCATGCGACATATCGGAGGGCTGCGATGCGCTGCCGTTGACGCTGTGGGCGGGTGTCGGCAGAGTTGTGGCTGTGGACGGGGCCGAGCTGTTCATGCTCGATGTGAGGTCGGAAGTAGCCGGAGAAAACTGGGAAGGGCTTTGAGGGGTTCGAGGGTGGAACGACATGTTGACTTTGCCAGTGGCAGGAAGCCTGGGCCGTCGCTTCGTCACCGTGAGCGTCGTGGTTGTAATCGCCGTGGATCGGTGAGGGTGAGGAGGTCGAAAAGCACGAGGATTTGGCGGCGGCTGCTACCACGACGTCTCCCAGTCGGAAGGCGCGATGAGAAAAAATCACCTTCTCTTCCGAAGAATGCCTTCTAGATCCCTTTCAACCAGATTCCACGATGCGCTCGATGAGAAAGTTCGCTCTGGGCGAGATCAGAGGATGAGGGGGTTGTTGTGGCGAGTCGCGCCAAACCGCCGACGGCTCTCAATCCCCCGATGCAGCGTCATGCACCACTCTCGGCTTCCTCGTGGATCGTTGGCGCCTCGTCGTGGGTGTTAAAAATTTTTCCTGATGACAGTATCCAGCAAATAAACTTGTAGCGAAAGTAATCCGACGGCTAAAAAGGGCTGTCGAGGGTCGGTGGTCGATTTGTGCTGTGGTCTAGCCGTCAAGTCGTGGTGGAGTTGAAGGAAGTGAAGTCTGAATGGCGCAGCGTAGAGTGAAGGGGGCGGACACATGAGCGAGGCAATTTGCTCGCTTAACGGGGTGGCCGCCTGGGCTGGTGCGGTGCTGGGACTGGCTGGGCCGTAGGTTGCGCTGGCGGGCACTGGCAAAGGCGCTGGCTAAGGTAGGGTGAGGTAAGCCTGGGCGGGTTAGGTTCAGAGGGCGGGAGGGAAGCTGGGGGAGGGGGGGAGGGTGTGAGAAGGACGTGAGGTCCCGACGGCGGCGTCGGAAGAGGGAGGGAGTGGGCAAAGCCTCAAAGAGCAATGGTAGTTTGCCGCGGGTGTTGGAGAGAGGAGTGGACGGGACCTTGAGGGAGTGAGACTGACACAGCACAGGGGTGGGAAGCTGCTGTTCTGGGACCGGAGCCAAAGCAAGGCCCTCTCCCACCAGTGGATCGTCAAGGAAACCATGGCCACCGTGCTCCGACACCCGACACCCGATCACTGGGTCCTGACGGCTAGACTTGAGGTGCACCACGCAACCTGAGAGGGGCGTGGCTAGATCAGGCAACCGGCAGGCAGCGTGCCTGACCTGTAAGAAAACTTACCTAAGCAACCAACGTAAGCACTAACCATACCCAGGTCCCAAGGTGCTCTGTACCCACGCCACGACTTGTTCATCACGTGATACTACATCGGCCCCACCTCGCAGAATGGGCCAGGTTCTGCAATTTTTAAAGCTCGAGGCCGCGAGCAGCTTCTCGACCTCCTCTCTTCTTCACAACCAAGACCACCTATTCAAATCATCGCCAGCCTGCAACGATTTCACATCACTTTCTACGCTGCTGGACGATTCCTAAGGATGCGTCGAGAAGAACTCTTTCAATGCCCTTGCTTAAAACAATCGTCAGCGAGGGCCCCTCGTGCGGCTTCCCATGATGCGACGATCACCTGATGCAAGTTTGGACATGCCCTCTTTTGAGGCTCTCTGTTACACACCATGATACAAGTGATGTGATTTTGGCTACCTTAGACTATCCATGGCACATTCGTGGTAGGGTGTCATAATAGGAGACGCGACAGGCGCCTCATCAGGAACACGGCTCCTTCGACTTCAAGAGGTACGCAGCATAGAACATCATGACAAATGAACACAACTTCGGCGATGCGGATGACACCCATGCATCTGGTAATCCGATTGCTCAGCCGCGAGTGCGGCGGCTTCGGCCAATGCACTTGACCGGGTTGGGCCTGCGGAAAACTGGCATATCTGAATCGCTCTGTTATCACAACTTTGGAAGCGCGCGGAATCTTCCAGGTCATGCGGCTAACTGATTTTCCGTCATTCAGGTCCACACAGTGTTCCAACGCGGGCATTGTTGTCTCGGTGTCTCCCAATTCTGACGAGCTATTCGCTCTGGAAACTAGGGGACCGGTATTTTCAATCTTACATTTTGATGATGCAAGGACCTTTGGTTTCCATGAGGATGGTCGAGGAGAGGTCAACCCTGATCGCGAGACAATAGGCAGCTCGAGTTGTATCACATACTGATGTAGCAATTCCATTCGTCTCTCAAAGATGGACAAAGTTATGAGGCCCAAATCATATCCTGTTACAAAGGCTTGGTATTATCATTTCTCTCATATGCAGAATGCTGCCGCCATATCCCTCAAACCCGTCGACCGTAGCAACGCGGAGGACTAAAAAGCAGTCCTAGAATCATATCTTTCCTCAAATCGCATTCCTGTATACCTGCGCTCCCTGGTTCCGGAACATGATTGTATCCCTCCTCTGCATGATCATCAGCGTCCTGTTGAGAGCTTGCTCGCTGTAGCCCTTTTGTTCGACCATTTCGCGTCGCAGACTCGCCAGACTCGTGCCCCATCCTACAGCGAGACGACGCTTGAGTTCTGTCTCCAATCTGCTGACTTCCTCATTGAGCTCCTTGCTTCCCTGGTTGCTGCCCTGGTTGACGGCATCCATCGTGGAACAGAGGAAGAGTCTGATGGCCTCATCTACGTGCTCCTCCATTGCGATGGGAGACAGCGTCAACTTGGCCAGTGATTCGGTGATACGAACGATGGCCTCGAGCTGACGAACCGTAATAGGAATAGAAGACCTTGTGTTGGCTTCCATCTCGGCGGCGTGAACTTGTCTGCGGATGGAAACGAAGTGTGAAGAGAGCTTCTCAGCTGCTTCGGGACTGAGACGAGGAGCCATCCGTCTAGACTCTGTTGTTAGCATGGCTTCAGTGGGTAGGGTAAAACGATGGACGACACTTACGACTTGCAGTAGCTAAGGTACCGCTTCATCTTTTCCACGGGGATCTCAGACTCGACCTGTTCTTCGACGCCTCGCCCGCCCATGTGGATGCCCATGACATGTTTCGCTATTCTCTCATCCTTCTCTCTCGTGTGTTCGTCCTTGACGATGAAGATCATATCGAATCGTGACAAGATGGTGGTCTGGAAGTCAATGTTCTCGCCGGGAGTCTTCATGTCATCGTAACGACCGAAAATTGGGTTGGCCGCAGCGAGCACTGAAGTCCTCGCATTGAGGATTGTAGTGATACCCGCCTTGGCGATGGAGATGGTTTGCTGTTCCATAGCCTCATGGATGGCCACACGGTCCTCATCACGCATCTTGTCGAATTCGTCGATGCAGACGACACCGCCATCGGCTAGGACCATGGCACCTCCCTCGAGATAGAATTCGCGAGTTGAGGAATCACGCTGCACGGAGGCCGTGAGACCAGCTGCTGAAGAGCCCTTTCCGGATGTGTATATGGCGATGGGCGCACACTTCTCCACAAACTTCAAAAGTTGTGACTTGGCGGTACCAGGATCACCAAGGAGCAGAACGTTGATGTCTCCACGGAGTTTCATACCGTCGGGTAGAATCTTCTTCGAGCCGCCGAGAAGTAAGCACAGAATGGCCTTTTTGATATCTACATTGCCGTAGATAGATGGCGCTATGCAGTCCGCCATGATGTTGTACAAGTCGGGCCGCCTGCTCATCTCGAGGAACTCTTGCTCTTCCTCATCGGAGAAGAGAGCCTGGCCCCGTGCGGTCTGGTCCATGTCCGTCTGGATACCCACGGCCCTCAGGTACGGTGTACGGATAGCGACCGCGCCACCAGTGCTTGAGTTCTTGGTGGCCTTGTTCTGGTAAATGGAAAAAATGCCCATAACTGTGCATCTCGAACCAGGAACGACGCGATTGGTTAAGTAGCGATCCGCCGAAATCAAGACGTGTCTCGGGAGTTCACCGACAGGAACCTGATCTGGAGCCTCTTGTAGTTTGATGATTTGCTGGTCGACAAATCTCGACTTCTCGTGTGACACAAAGTATGGATCGAGAGGGCATTTCGGTGTGGGGTCATTGGGTATTCTGTTTCTGCCGCACTGCCTCGGGAGTGTCACGCCAGTGAAGCCTCCTAGCACGGGCAATGTCGTGGAATAGGCGCAATTACGGCATTGTATGGCCAGTTCGGTGGCTTTCGAGGACATGACAGATGCGCCAATAACAATGCCCGGCACTCGAACGAGGCGCGAAATTGTCATGGAGTCTAGGTTGCGGATTGACACATCCTCGGCATTGGAGTGGAGCAGGAGTTGGTGTTCCGGCAAGTCGACCTTCGTCAGTTGAGGATAGACGATCCGGTGTGTACATTTCTTGAGGGCAGCCTCGAACTGGTAACGGAGAAGTCAGTAAAAGGTTAGAGGGCGAGGTCGCACGACGGAGACCTACCAAGGGAATTATTTCGGCGGGCTCTGTCACTAGTCTATGCGCGAGCTCCTCGTTGTAGTTGATGAGGTCGCTAATGTCGACATCGCAGTAGTGCTTTTTGAGGAGAGCATTCTCCTTGAGTTGGTTTCTACGTAAGAGTGTAAGCAAGGTATTGAAGCCGAAAGGGTGCCCAGTAGTAGTCGATCTGACCTGTAGATGTAGTCGTTGTCGTGCCGGAAATGGAGGATGAAATTCTCTAGTTGGGTCTGGGTCTGGACCCTGGTGTCATCGTTCTGGTCGAACGTCGCCGGGAAGACGTGCGATGAGTAAACCGATTGTCTATCCATTGTAGCGTGCAGAGCTGATTTGTGGTTGTTCACGGAGCGATGCGGAGGATTGAGACTGCAAATGTGGATGGAAGGAGGGGCTCTCAGTTGCGCAGGGGAACCAAATTCGACATAACGCGCCCCTTTACCTGACGCGTAAAGTGGTTTATTAGCGCGTCTTTTTTGGAGGTACCTCCGTACCGCTGCATACAGGTAACCTTCCGCTTTATCTTATCACCACGTGATGTATCAGCAGCATTCCCCGGACGGCACTAGCAGTACCTACCTACCTAAGGTATTACGTGGGTACCTTACCTAGGGGGGGCCTTGAGTGCAGGCTATCTCTTGGGAAACGTGGCTCAGCATGCTGAAGCATGCGCAAATACCAGCTGCAATCTGTCGTTTCTTCCTTGATGTTCTGGATTAGCGATAATTATTGCTAGCCATATTTTCTGAACTGCTTTACTTGATGAGAACCTCCCAGCAATGATACCCCGGTAGCCTGGCTACGTGGCCGTCGACCTATCCATTTGTCGGCTTCCCCTGCGACACTCAGCAAACGATCGAGATTCCGACTCAGCGTCGAGCAGCTCGCGTTCCAAGCCATTGCTTGACACCATGTATTCCTCCTCACCAGGCGCCCGCAAGTCCATGGACACTATATCGTCCATGTCCCCTCCGGCCACGCGCACCGAGTTTCCGTTCCACAAGTTGGTTACCTTGCCCAACCCCTTGTTGGCCACGATTGCGCTAACAGCAGCAAGACAAGGACAGGCTCACACTTACTATACCGCGAGAAGAGGCTCAACTGCGAGCTCTATACACTCAATCGGGGGGTCTCTCGACACTTCATCCACAAGCTGGACAAACGCAGTGCTGGAATCTGGTCAAAACGGTATTACTGATGAGCCAGAGATGTCGCCGTAAGTGCTGACAAGTCTCTAGCCATTTCAACCTTGCTGCAGCCGCCCATCGTTCGGACGGGTCTACAGCCTCATACCTCTGCGCCTGCGTCTAGCGCGCATAAACCTCCTACCTTTCGCGATATTCCCCCCGTTACTCTGACAAACATTCCGCACATCGATCCGGCCGAGTTTAAGCCGTACCTGTCGCAAGTTGGCGCCCTCTACGAACAGCTTCGGCGAGTCAAAGAGCAAGATGATGACCGGCCTGGCTCTTCAGGCCGTCGATCGAGCAAACACGACGAGTTTGGGGACTCCATCGACGAGAGCCATCTTAAGCCCGCGGGTCGGCAGCCTGCGAGGCGGAAATCTTCCATTGCATCAATAACGTCGATCTCCTCTCTCGAAGGTCCAGGACTTTTGCGACGATCTAGTTCAGGCTATAGCAGAAAGGGCGCACATGGTCCGCCTCCGTTATCAACGATACCCAATGTATACTTTGATGACGGCTTCCATTTGGAAAACCCGAGGACCTTCGATGTTGTCAGTGAACGATCAGAGGTTGTGCCACCCGCACCAGGAAGCGTAGACAATAAAAATGACGGCAACGGCAATATTGTGGCTCCGCGGAAGGCGCTGGCTACCAACGCCATTCTACAGGAGAAACTCTCCTGGTACATGGATACCATCGAGGTTCATTTGATTAATTCTATATCAACAGCGTCGACGACCTTTTTCACTGCACTTGGCTCTTTGCGGGAACTACATTCGGAGGCCGCGGAGTCGGTAGATCGGATCAAGGCACTTCGGAAGGAACTCGAAGCGCTGGACGAGGAGATCGCCACCAAAGGGTTGAACATTGTTCAGAAGCGCCGGAGGAGAGAAAACGTGCAGGCTCTCAATGACGCGGTTCTTCAACTGAAACATATCGTTGAGGGTGTTGCATCGTGCGAGGCGCTAGTGAATGCTGGCGAGGTCGACAAGGCTTTGATTAATATTGACACACTCGACCTGCTGATAGCTGGTGAGCATGACGAGTCGCCCGAGGCTGAACCTGCAATACTTCCACTGGCACGGATGAGGGATCTGAGAGGAGCAACGGCTCTGCAAAGCGTCAACGACGACCTGCAACAGCTACGGATCCGAATCGGAAAAGCCTACGAGTCCAAGTTCCAGAGCTTGTTGCTGGCTGATCTGCGGAGGCATGTCGAGTCCGTCCAGAGCCGGGAAGTTCTCCTCCGTTGGGGCAGCTCATCACTGCGGGCAAGGGGAGGCGCGTCCAGAGAGTCTGCCGGCCCTCCGGCTTATCTTGCCTCAACACAAGAGCTGCGCAAAGCAATCATGCCAAATCTTCATGGTCTGCACAGGGCTCACCACATATCCGCTGCAATTGCAGCTTATCGGGAAGTTGTTCTACGTGAGATCAAAAACCTCATCAGGAGACCGCTGCCCAGCTCCAATGATGAAGACAATGAGTCGATGATGTCTGCCTCGACCATGAGCGGCGGAAAACATCTCTCGAATCAGGAGAAGTCGTCAATTTTGTCAAGGAACCTCAGAGCACTGGACCCCAAGGATGCCGAGGACTTACTGAAAACGATATACATTGGCGTAACCGAAACCCTTCGCCGGTTAACTACCCAGGTCAAGGTGCTTCTCGATATTGCAAGTTGTCTTACGGAGGAAGCAACCGCTGCCGGTCTGAAGTCGCCGCCTATTCGCTCCCCGCTCGCTAGTCCAACGCCGTTCGACCGGGAGTTTCCTCGATTCGATGAGTCTCCCAGCTTCGAGGTCCAAGAAGAGATTCACAAGGCAATGGACATTGGCAATATGGTTGGACAAGCCGTTGATGTTGCGCAAGATAAGATTGTCAGGGTGTTGAAAGTTCGATCGGAGCAGAGCACCCACCTGAGCCTGTCCTGGTTTCTTCGCTATTTCACCCTCAACCTGTTCTTCGCCAACGAATGTGAAGCGATTGCAGGACGCAGCGGCACGGCACTCAAGACCTTGGTCAATGGTCATATCAAGGAATTCGTGCAGCAACACGGCGACGCCGAGAAACAGAAGCTTGCTCAAGGCATGGAATCCGATCAGTGGAGCGCAAAGGATTTTGACGAGAAGAACAAAGCTCTCCTGGATCAAATCCTTGAAAGCAGTACCAAGGATGCTGCGGCATGGTCTGAGGGAACGAAGATCTGGGAGGAGAATCCTGACGACGTTGTGTCGAATGGAAGCGCAGCGCCGCCTCCCGAGACGAACGGCACCAGTGGGAAAGAAAAGGCGCGTGTTGCAGAGATTGAGAGCGAAACATTCTTGCTCCCCAACTCTGCCATACTGGGTCTCGAGGGTGTCTCGCACTTCATGCACCTCATCGGCAGCATTCCGTCCATGGCCAGCGACGTCGCCAGTTCCCTGATTACCTATCTGCAGCTTTTCAACTCCCGCTGTACCCAACTCATCCTCGGTGCAGGCGCTACTCGATCTGCCGGTCTCAAGAACATCACGACCAGGCACTTGGCATTGGCGTCCCAGGCTCTGTCGTTCATTGCGACCTTGATACCCCACATTCGGGAGTTTGTGCGGCGGCACGCCGGCTCTGGAGCCGGTGTTTCTAGTTTGATGGGAGAATTCGACAAGGTTAGGCGCCTGTTCCAAGAACATCAGAATAGTATATACGACAAGCTGGTTGAGATCATGAGCGGTCGCGCGTCGCAGCATTCAAAAGCTATGAGGACGATTGACTGGGATCACGACGGAAGCCAGTCGACGCATCCGTACATGGAGACATTGGCAAAGGAAACCACGACTCTGCACCGCGTGTTGACCAAGCACCTACCCGAAACCTCGGTACAAGTAATCATGGGACCAGTCTTTGCAAGCTACAAGGATCAGTTTGGCAAGGTCTTTCAGATTGCGGACCCGAAGACGGTCATTGGTCGCGATAGGTAAGACGCACCCTTCCCGCCCTTGAGTGCTGCGAGGGATTGATCGCTAACATGGACGACAAAAAGCATGCTTCGAGACGTGGATTTCTTCACAACAAAGCTGGGCAAGCTTGACGGGTTCGGGGATGCGGGCGACTACTTGAAGAGCGTCATCAATGCCAAGGAAATCAAGAGCGCCGTCGCGTCTCCGCCGTCCGAGACGCAGGCGGCGGACGGAGGATCGGAGACGACTGCGTCGGCCAGGAACTCGACTGCCGAGCCGGAGAGCAGGCAGAGCGCCGAGGCGTCGGGCAAGACGGAGTCGCCGCCCCCCGGGGTTGACGAGGAGACTAAGCAGGCACCATAATGTTTGTACTTGAGAGCGAAGACGGGAGAGGGAAGAAGAGGGTGTATGTCACTGTCAAGGGGGGGGCTAGCATAAGGTACCGCGGGGTTCAAGAGAAGATGCGGTCAAATGAAGTTTGTACGTGCAGGCGAGAGTTGTCCATCCATGTGCTTCCTTGGCTCAATCCCGTTCTTCCCTTCCCCGCCCCGCAGGTTGCACACGTCCGGGTAAGCGAGAGTCCCTCCCGAGGGAGCACAATGCTGTAAGGCTAGAAAAGAAGCGTTTGCATCGACCCGGGTGGTCAGGGAAGAGCTTGCGCGTCGTTGCAGGAATGCAGGAATGCAGGAGTGAGTATCTCGTTGTAAGTTTTTAGTGCGACTTGTCCAGGACGATCACGGGTCTATTCAGACGCCAAATGTTGAAACGGAACCGATTAACCGGTGCCTATCTCTCCCTCACGGCTTCATACAGCCGAAGATGATGCCTCCTTTTCTTTTCCCCCTCAATTGGTCTCGGATCGGGTTATGGCAACAAGTGGCGCCGGATGACGACTGTCGATGGCGGCTTTGGCAGCTCTGCTGACGTTGCCTTTTGGGGGGAGGGGGGGTAACAACCAACCCCCTTTGAACTTCGAATAGTTGTCTTTATTTCCAGACCCCCCTGGGCCACGTCGCCTTCGTCCATCCAATCCCTCCATACATGATCCCATCTCTCCCCATCGGTGTCCTTCCCACCCCCACCTTCGAGTCGAAACGCAACCAGGGCGGCTTAGTGGTTCAGAGAGGTGGCGCGACGTTGCGCGTGTCTTGAAACGAAAGCCGCTTTTCTCCAGTCAGGGGGTAGGCGCCAGCGCCCGTTGAGACCCGAGGGCCCGTCCGTCCGTCCATCCGTCCGTTCGTTGGTTGGTTCGTCCCAAGACACGGGACGGAAACGAAAGAAGAAAACAAAAATAAAGAAAAGCACCTGCAAGGCCCGGGGGTGAACGGACGTAGTATTCCTCAAAGGGTCTGGGAACGTTGAAACTTGATGTTTGCTTTTCCCCATTCCCTCTTTCTGCTTCTCCCTCTCCCCTGTACGGGGTAGTGTAGGTCCTTTGAGGTTGGGCCAAGGGTTCAGGCTTCCTCCGTGCGGGGGCGCGCCCTCTTTTCCAAGGTTTTTGTTTTCTGTGCTATAGTAGGAGCGAAAAGGCCTGTTGGCACAGACTTCGTTCTTGTGAACAGACATGCCATCCCAGCGAGGACTCCCGGACAGATTTAACCCCTTTCATTTCAACTTATCTTGTTTATCAACACACACGAGACGACGAGAGGCAGCCCGGGAAACTGAACAAGACGAAAAATAACAGCAACTGAGAGATGTGTGAGGATTGGTAAGCCTGGCAACGATGTTGTGACGCTTAAACGTTTTGATTGTTTTTCATTTCTAGTTCATTTGACGAAACTTTGCCCTAGTAAATACAAGAAAGTTTTGTATGCAACAAAAAAAGTTTCTAAATGTGTCTGAAGGAGTGACTAGAATGGTTTGTGAGCCCCCACAGCTAGGGAAATGATACCCCCCCAAAAAGAGATTCCTTTCCAAAGCTGTGTGTTAGTGAAGCCAACAAGAACGAGACCTGACCATGATCCGCCCCCATTAGAGAGCGAATCTCTTCTGAGCCGAAGAGGTCTCTCTCGCGAGGGTATAGAGTAGAAACGCCTAGATTGCTCCATTTGCTCTGTTCTCTCTTACTTGTACGCCCCGGGTCTGGTAAAAAAAAAATTCCAAAAAATGACTCTTTATCCAAAAACTAACCTCCCCTATCCCCCGCTAAGCCCACATGCGTGGCCGCGCTCCTTGTGATGGGGTATCTGTTTGTTTGTTTTTGCAAGAGAAAATAACAGATGATGCTGGAGCTTTTTAAAAGAGTCCGTTCTCATTGTTAGAGGTCATAAAGTCGTAGCGCACAGCGCGAGCGCGCGGGTTTAGCCGATGATGTTATCGGCGCCGCGGCGAACCTTTTTCTCCTAAAAGTAGCAAGAAAGGGAGGCGAAGATTGAGTTATCCCGAGCGCTTATTTGCCGAGAACGAAATCATGCTTGTAGCTGGGGGACTCGTGATGGTCGTCAACGTCGCGGCGGGAGGTTACGCCGTTGTTGCCCAGAGTGCAGATGAGATCGGTCTCGGAGGTGACCTTGGTCTGAACGTCGTCGGGGAGGTAGTAGGCGTTGTTGCAGGGCCACACGTGGCAGCCGGAGACAGGTTCCTGTACGAGGGAGGGAAAAATCGTCTGGATGCCGTTGTGGTCAAGGGCATTGATAATGGCGGAGACGTCAAAGTAGGTCAGGCTATTCCAGCCGTTGAAGGCGACCTCACCGATTATGCCGGTGACGTTCTCGGAACCATCAGAGACAGGGTGAAAGTTGCCGATCCAAGCGAAGGGGATGTGGACCGTGACGTTGCTGCCGGCCGGGACGTAGACGGGTTCGACCGGGGGGAGACCGGCGTTAGCGGTGAAGTAGACGGTGCGAGCGACATCGTCCAGGGACTGGAAGGTAACGGTATTGGCGGCAACGAGAGCGGCCGAGCCGAGTAGAGTGAGGAGGTTGAACTGCATTTTGAGTCGTAGAAAGGGGTTTGTTTGGGTATAAGTGCCGGAGGGCGGTATGTCGAGTTGAAAGTGAGTTTGAAAGGGTTCCGTAAAACGTTGTCAACAACGGTTGTACCGGTTCAAGACGGTTTGAAGATGGTTCTTTGATAAGCGTCTAGCTAATCTTGTTGAGAACTTAGTTGCCCTGGATGGGTTTCGTGGTGATGGACTCGAGCTTGATTTGTGAGATTGTTTCTGAACGGACCGGGGCCGTTGAGTGGATGAGAGCTTTCAAAGGAGTGAAAAGCTTCGTTTGTGTGTGAAAGGAATGCTGCTGTCTGAAAAGACAAAGTGTGAGGCTCGGCCACTGGAAGGATAGTGATGCGGGATGGAGAATCAAAACCGGGGCGCGGGAAGAGCTCGTGGGAACCGGAGCGTACTTATACACATGTCAGAAGGATGCGGGAGAAAAGCCTGGATAGGGCCTGCTCATGAGATGGCAGTGGAGAGCGTAGCCAGAGGCGTCCAGGAGTCAAGGACGTGGGAATACCGCGGTGGGGACATCAGCCCGAGGGTGTTTCCCAGAGTTACATGGAGCAGCCTCCATCGGAGAGTGGACTGGGATACTTGGGCGCCATGATTGTATCTTGTACAAGTCGTTGTAACTTGTCAAATGTGATTGGACGTGTCCGTGGAACTAATGGCCTCATCAAACTCAGAGTTTTCGGTCTGGACCAGCACGTCTGCCATCCTTTTCGGCTTGAGGGCACTAGACAGGGTTTGAGCATAACGTCTCCTGGTTCTAGGCAAGTGGTTTATGGACCGTCTGGAGCTGGAACAGGGGCAAGCCACCCAAGATGTTTTCAGAAACATCTCTAATGGTTCTCGTTCTGTCAGGCTTATTTCCAGTAATTTCGCGCCTATTTCTGGAGTTCCAGGCTGTGTCTAGAGTTCCTTTTCGTTTCTAGCGTCAGGGCGCCCTCCCTCGGGAATTGGCTGTGCGGCAGGAGCACGGAATCGACGCGGCAGTGTGTGCGGGTACCTGGGGCTAAAGAAACATCCACAGACTGGGCAGCAGGCTGTCGAGGGATTTTGGGGGCCAGGGTGACGAGGGACAAGGCGTAGGTATTTCGGTACACCGACGTCTGCAGGCTGCGAATGCGTGCTGGCAACAGTATCGCGGACGTCAGCTCTTGGTGCGGGTTTTGTTTTTGCCAACCTGCATGTGCGTCAGCTTTCCGGAAGTCTGTTGAAGAGTTTGATTGGCCGGTTGGCTGCTAATTGTGCCTGGTACCTGACACTAAGAAACCTCTCCGCGTGGCGTACCCTGACAGGTTGGAGAGAACAAGTGGTAGAACGCGCGATTCGAGCCAGGCCGGCGCTCCAGCACACAAATTAGCGCCGCGGCTCATGATTCGTAGCTGGTCAAGTCCATTTCGGCCCATGAGGGGGGCTTCCCTTGGAGACTGGGACTGAGTTGACTGAGGAGCGGCCTACCCCCTCCCCCCCTCCCTCCCCCTTCCCCCCTGGCCCTGAAGCTTTGGCCCTAGAGCTCTGGCCCTAAAGCTCTGGCCCCTGGTCGAGCGACGGATTGGTGAGAAGACTGGGTACGATGTGCCGGTCAGTACCGAGTGAACACCCCTGCCATGGGATGCCGGGTTACGCAGCCGGACGGAAGTTGGGAGGGAGTGCACGGGAGAGCCGTGCTGGCTATGCCTTTTGGGTGAACGCCGAGACGGCAGCGCGTGGCTTCAGATCCCGCCGCACCGGTTCACCTGTACTAGAGAATGACAGGAACGGCCGATCAATGTGATGAAATGCAGGTGATGGCCCAAGAAACCAGACGACAGCAACGACTTGAGCCGATGCTCGTGAAGATGAGATGACGGCCTCGCTGGCGATGCAGACAGAGACCAGAGCGCTCACTGGAGTCTGGAGCAGGGAGGCCAAGACTCACTCAGCAAGGAAAAAGCAAACACAGTGGCATCAGTGGTTGGACAACAACCATCTCGGTTGGCAATCCTTCAGACTCCTGTGACGGAAGCGATGCCACGACGCCGGGAAATGCCTCTCTGGCCCTGGCAGACTCCATCGGCGAGGAATCGTTGCTGGCCAGAAGGACTTGGCGAGGTGCATCCGAGAGTGTCCAGGAGGGGGGAGGGGGAAGAAACTTCAAGGAAGAAGCGGCAGACTGGAGGCTCGGAGCTTGGTGGGCGAATCGGGGAGGGAGGTTCAGCTCAAAGGTGTCGACCTGGACCGCTGGTGTGAAGTTGGAACGGGGAACAAGACACGAGGGCAACAGGGTGTGAAGTGGAGGGAAAGTGGGTAGTGCCTGTCGATCACAGCCCGAGTGTGCGGTATCCCGTGCACTGTGGGTGAGCTGTACTGGGGACTTGGAATATGTCGTCGGAATGATACAAAACACATGGCAGCTCCGTCTTGACTGCTAACAATGTCTAGGCACAAGGCAGTTCTCAATACTTGGCGGAGGTCTCCGGACACTGCCCCGACGTCTGTGGTCTGCCCCCCTCCCCCCTCCTCACCTGCCGCTGCCAGGAACAAGTTTATTCACGCAGTCCCGTTGTCCATGCGGTGTCTGTGCCTGCATATCTCGTTGGCCTGAATTATGAGGTACACCAAACGGACCTTTTGATTTTTCAAAAAAGTTTCTTCCGATGATTCTGCCTCAGCCTGAGTCATCCTAAGTGCCTCAGGCCTGCAGGGCGACGCAGCCTAATGCGTAGGTCCAACGCCACCATGTTGCGACTGCAGTTGACGACTCGAATATCGCCGAGGTATCCATTTTGCGGCCTATGATGGACCTTGTTGACTAATAGTACCAAAGTACTCGATTGAGGTACTCGATACAAGCAGACGCAATAGACGCAAGAAGAGCAAGAGGAAAACGCCGTAATGATGAAATTGCCAATTGATGACAGCCAATATTGAATAATTTTCGATAAGGCTGGGTTTGCAAGGTACCTTGGGTGGATTAAGGTGAAATCTAAGGTGCAGTTTAAGGTGAGAGATGTGCTGCAAATCTCTCTTGCCGTCAGATCGGTTGCTCGTCTGTGTTGTTTACGCTGGAGCATCTCCCCGACTTAGTCTCAGGCACACGTGCTTGTTCCTGGGATGCCGTGGCCGTGTGGTAAGCAACGAGCAAGCAAGCTTTAGCTGCTCGGTGCTGCTGTCCATTGTTTCTACATAGTATTATCTGGGCTCGTCTGTGATGGTTGCATTAGCATGTCGCATATACTTGGCGGCCCGTTGAGATAATCATTAGGACGGGGCCGTTCTCGACCGCAACTGATTCCACTGATCATCGCTCACTTTCCCGACAGCTATGCACCGCCGAAGAAATACGTACTGGCGACGGAGGGCCTGCAGCAACGGCTTGAGACTGCCAACAATGCCCCTGCCTCAACTGCCACGACTGCTTGGGCTGCACAGTTGGTGGAAGCCGGAGCGCAGGCCGCAAGCATCGTGGCTGGTACGTGCCTCCTCCGAGGAACGTGCAGAGGTAGGTAGGAAGGTAGGTAGGTACCTCACCTTACCTTAAGGTAGGAAGGGGGTGTGAGTCCCAAGTCCTAAGGAACCGTCAAGTGCCAAGCCAACTCAAAACGGAAGGTAGGTCCGATCGAGAACGGGGATTCTGCGGGTCCTTGTTCAGCAAAGTTCTGTCCAATGCAGGAACCGTCGATGTCGGTTCAGGTATCTCCCCAGGCGGAAGTTGGAACCTTCGTCTTCCACTTTGATGCATCCCGGTTCTCCAGTCTCTTCAGATTCTTCATCTTGCTTTATTACGGATCTTCCGTTTGCGCCTTTGCTTGCCAACTAATTTCTCGGCCGGTTCCCTACTGGCTGTTGGTCTCGGACACTTGGTGTCGGAATTCCCTCACACCATCATCGCCAGAGTGTTTCTCCACTGGATTCCTGTCGCAGTCCGTGTCTGTCAGGTCGGTCGAACACAGCAGTCTGGATTCTGGCGTCGGGTTGCCCCAGCAGCCCCGGCAGCCCCCCAAGCAGCATCACCATCCGGCCAGCCTTGGAAGCGGATTCAGTGTCGCAAGAGCTTGCCGAAATGCTCTATGCTCTTTGCGAAGACGAGATCGGGGACAAGCTGTGACCTCATTGTGCCCGTCAATTCCGCCCTCTGCCCGAGTGGGTTCTACATCCCCCCCCCCATCCGCAGGCCATTTCCACAACAGATCCCAGTTTGCCATCTACAGACTACCAAGAAGTGCTCACAGCTTTTTGCTTCCACACAAACTGCGGGGAAAGAAAACCTTTCACCTTAGGTCTTCTGGGTTGTGGGTGTCTCGCCTGCCTGCTCACCGCGCGCGTCACCGGTGTCCCAATGGCGAACACTTTGCGACCGAGGTCTGTCCGGGGCCACTCCGTTGGACCCGAAGCTGTCACTTACTGGCACAAAAGAAATTTGGACGACCGTTGAATCAAACACCATGAACCCTGTACCTTGAAGTAAGAACGCAACAGAGCGTCAGAGCCGAGTACCAACGACTTTGACAGCAGGACCCCCGCAAGCCCGTCACTGTATGGTGGAAGGGGAATTTCCCTGCTTTAAGCGGCCGCTCCTCGATCAGGTTTGCAGGACCTTTAGCACTCTCAGCCTGAATGTGGCGAGCACCAGGATCGTCTGCTGCTTTGATAATTGCCCTATCCACTCGGATCCTTTGTGGCGGGTTGTTGTCTACACCGTTTCGATCCACCCTCAACCATGATTCACCCGGCAGTCGTTGTGCTGGGTTTGGGTAGACGTTGAAGGTCGATGCTACTCATTCAGAGGCCGGCGCGCGGCACCGTTCGACACACGAACAGCAGCATCATGCGATGTGATAAGCTGCATGCCAAGTGGTATTGCTTCTACAGCTACAGTTGCAACGGGCGCTGCCTGAAGAGGATATGGAAGCTGTGTTGGTGCGGATCTTACCACTCGCACACCCATTTCGCTCGTCACTCCCATCGTCAGTCTCCTTTCTGTTCATGTACGAGGAACTGCAAGAATCTGACTGCATGTCATTCATTTTCCCTGATCTCATTCAGAATGTCAGCGGTTTTCGAGATATATCGACGGAATCCTCGGGACGTGGCTTACACCAAGGAAGCACCCCGGAAACTCCTCGAAGAAGCCAACTACGAGTGCTGGCCATCTGCGCAAGCGCTGACGGATAATTCCTTTCTACCATACATACCACTGTGTTAGTCAGCTCGTCTGGTCGGGAATTCGCAAACATCTCGAATGCGCCAAACACAACCTCGTCGGCCACGACGTTCTCATGCGTCGGAATGGTCTCAGTCAAATCCCGAGGCTATTCATCGAACCAATCGAACCAGTAGGTCAATGATGGACACCTTAATGGCCAACAGGCGGGCAGCATCCCCTTGCGGCTGGGCCACAGACCCGCGAACACGAGGCGTCTTTCTTCTGCGAAGACACTTCCTACTTGATAGGTTTCTTTGATGGAGATTGGCTCCCGCAGTCGAAGCTGCTATTTTTGAGATATTATCACTCGTGTTTTGACGATGCATATACAAAACCAGAGGCATAGTGGTTGACGACACGAGCCGTCACCGCTCGACCCTACCATCGCATAATCACTTGCCCAAAACGATTCCAATAAAGTGACCGGCCCAATGGGAAGACAAATCCATGACCCAAATTCTCAACCCATCTCTGCTGTTCTGCCAGCCAAAATGATGGCGCCATCCCCAACCAGGCATGGCAGGGCAAGACCGCCTCGTATCTTCGTCGTCCGCCCCGTCGGGACGGAGTCACATTCCTGCCTCATGGCCACATCTGGCACGGCAATGCCCGCCGCCTGCAAGGTGTGTACAGTCATCAGCACCAGTTGCCCATCAAAATCGAGACGCAAAGGACCGTTTCGGGGATGGAGGGAGGGCAACGGTTCGCCCGGCTCAGCAAGGGCGGCGATGCCCGGCAAGAGCGTTTTCACGGCGAGGCACACATCCCAGACCGTGTACGCATCTGTTCCAAAACAGTCTGCACGATGAATCTAAACATGCAGGACGACCCCGTCCCCGCGATACATAAGGTGAGCGTTCGCCTAGCTTGGCTGGATTCTGTTGTTCCGTATACCATCGGTCACAACCTACCCATCCGCTTCTCATATTTCCTCGGCTCACGGCGTGCCTTTGGCAAAGTACATTCACTTCTTTCAGAGACACTCGCTTTCACTTCGCAATGAGGTTTCTCCAGCTGTTGTCGGCAGCGGGGCTCGCAGCCTATGCGCAGGCTTGGGGGACCGGTATCAGCACCGCTTATACGACAGTTGTGACAACGGCGTACGAGACGTACTGTCCAGTGAGTAGGCATCAAATACGGAAGATCTTACGACGTGATAGAGACGAGAATGCGAGACTGACTTGAATGTAGTCGCCCACTACCTTTGTCCACCATAACGTGACTTACACGGCGACCACGGCAACGACACTCACCATCACGAGTAGGTTGACGAGACTCTGTTGATTTGTACTACCGTACTGACCTGAAGAAAAGACTGTCCTTGCACCATCACCACCAGGCAGCCTCCACCGTACACCACAACCAAGACGATCTACCCGCCGCCCGTCAACACCACCTCTTTCCCACCAGAGGCCAGCACGAGTATCAAGACGATCAAGACGAACAAGCACACCCCGCCTCCCAAGCCAACCTACCACAACACCACCGTGGTCGAGCACACTCCCAAACCTCCCAAGCCTACGGAACACCCATCTCATTCGGAGGAGACCCCCCAGCCTTCCAAACCTACCGGGCACTACCACCCCAACAGCACCTCGATCGTCGTCGTCGTGATCACGCCGTCCGCCGAGACGATAATCGCCAGTATCACCCACGTCACCCCCGTCACTAACCTACCCACCAAGACGCCCGTCGGGCCGACGACCACCAGACCCGTCACAGTTCCCGCGAACGCGGCTGGCACGGTCGGTGCCAGTGCCGGCGCGGCTTTGGTTGCTGTACTATTTTCTTTACTGATTTGATCACATGTTCTGGTTTGGAGAGTACCCAAGGCGAGTTGGGGCAAGGATGCTCTTCAGACGAATGGGCTTTTTACTTTCTCCACCTTCATTTACGGCCGGCAAAAGTTGGGGGAGGGGGAGTTGAATATACCGGATAATCAGCTTTGTTCTTTACGATACCCTTGGCAACTTTTGAAAATTTAGACGCAATGGCGGTCATCTGTCGGGAGTACGGGGGTTGTTTTGCCATATCGGGTTACAAACAGTCATTACGAAATAACGATAATCATATAAAGAGGGAAATGCTCAACAGGCGAACTTCCACCAGCAACAAACAGTCCTTTACAGCAAGCAACTCAAAGTCAACTTCACCTCGATAGGTGATTTTTGTGGCTCATACGGGACCTGATACGGCTGATAAAACGACAATGCCCATCCTTCATGTCCATCATGTCCGCCAAGACCAATAGTTGAACTTCTCGCAGCTGACCGCATACACCCACTCACAAGCAAAGGACAACCCGCCCATCCCCCCCCCCCTCCTTTGTATGAACCATGCATACCCTTTTACTGTCGCGCTAGCGTGGGCCCACCCAACTCTGTGTACAGGGCACACACCCCAACACACACCCCACCCCCCACACCCCCCCCCCCCCCCCCCCCCCCCTTCTATGCACACGACGTACCCCTTTTGCGTGTTTTTATATATGTGCACACGCACACGTAGGGATAGAGACACACACACACACACACACACACACACACACACACACACACACACACACACACACACACACACACACACACACACACACACACACGAAAAGAAGCTTCTTGAGCAATTGAGGCCCGGCCTCGTGGCCGGGGCAGAATGTCTGCTGCGCCGGAGGGAAGCATCAAACAGCGCAAAGACTTTCATCGCCCGTGCTGACGGGAGCTTGCCTTGCGTCCAAAGCAGAAAGAAGAAAAAAAAGGTTCGTGAAGTATACGAAGCGGGCGTGGCGTGGGTAGGGGTTTAAAGCGGATGGTGGGCTCGTATTCCGCGCCCCTTCTCCGCTCCCCCTCACGTCACTTGACCTCTATCGACCTAGGTATTGGATGGGATTTCACTTCCCCCATCTCAAGCGATTTTTAGTGATTTTCTCTCCCGCCCGCCCGGTAACGTCTAATACGGTGTATCCCGCAATGCCAAGTGCGAACCTTGGCGAAACGTTGTCTTGGCGCTGCCGGGGTATTTGGCCCGATCGTGAGGCTATCTGGGGGTCTCGAAGTCGTTCTGTGTGTGAGGGCAGAGATGGAGGGGAAACGTGGAGTCAATGGAAGGGGAGGGTGCCGCGGGGTCCCGCGATGCGCAAGGTATTAACCTGCCTCACTCGCACTCATGCAGGAGAAAGGAACATGCATAATCGTAGGGTCCCTAGGACGTGTGGTATCTCATTATCGTACGCCCCGATACTTGAACAATCATCATACGAGGAGTCCTTCCTGCCCCTCTTTTCTTCGCCATGTCTATCCGCGGACGCCTGATATACATGAATGCAATGCAGTTGCGTGGTGTCATCGACCTATCGTGCGGCGCGCCCATCGTCCTCAATAACCTTGGCCGCGTCAAGAAAGCATTACGCCAACGTGATGGCATTGGCCCTCTTACAGTTTGAGCAGTTCCCTAGAGCCAGAAGGATAGCTGTCATGGTTCTAGGCCGCAAGAGAACGGGGCTACCGTCTGCGTCCAGAGGGTATCACCCTCCTGATGCCATCCAGGAGCCCAAAGAATGCCGAGGGTACTAAGCACAAACTTCAAGGCTCGTAGGTCATGGCCGCCAGGGCAGCATTGCATGTGCCGCCTTGGTCGTACCAGACTCAGGGACTGATGCCTACTTCCGCGTTCCTTATACGCGCTCTGGCTTCTCGCACCAGAGCCTTGGCCTCCTCGACCTCGAAGCCGTCTTGCGTCAGTTCAGTTCCCAGTCGGTTGGCCGTCTTGTAGTCCGCTGTCCGCATGGCGTGCTTTGCGAGCCACATTCGAGCCTTGCTCGTCGATGCCGTGACACCCGTTCCCTCGTTCCCGCCCTCCTTGCGGCCGTCTCCGTTACCTTCGTCGTCGGATGCGCCTGGCGAGTCGTTGTGTATGGCGATCGAATCATTGAGGACGTTGTCGGCGGCTTCCCCGCCCTCTTGGGCGAGACAAAGCTCCATGTAGGCTTTTGATTCTTCCTCTTCGCCAAGCTGGTCGTACATGCTTGCAATCTGGAATAGCAGCTCCGGATCCAGATGGCCCGTCGCACCTCGGCCATTGAGAAGATCCCCTCCACTTCCGAAACTGCTTCCGACGTCGTAGTATGCGTCTGCTAGCAAAGCTCTCTTCAGCGCCTTGATGCCGTCTTGGTCCCGGCCCATCTTTTGCAAACATGAGCCGACGGCAAGCCACATCTTGCCATCCCAAGGCCTCAGCCCAGCTGCTTTTTTGTAATACCACAGACTGTAGGTGTGCATTTCCAACATTTCATACGTCTGGCCGAGGCCGTACCAAGCTCGGTAATCCCGGCGGTTGACGTCGACAGCGCGTCGGTATGACTCTATTGCGGCATGGGTGTTCTTCAACTCTACGTACTCGTGGCCCATGAGTGTCCACGCTGACAGGCACGTTCGGTCGAGTGTCAGTGCTCGGCGGAAGTACTGCACTGCCTTTTCGTGCATGGACAGCAGTGAATAGTAGTTTCCTACCACCACGCAGGACTCCGGCCGGAACTTGTCGATACTCGAGCAGAGATGCGCAAGGAACGCGAGTTTCGGCCTCAGGTTCATGACGTAGAGGATGTTGGAGTAGTGGTCTAGTGAATCTAGCCGGTGGGGATGGAGTGACAGCAATCGACTAAAATGTTGTTCGGCCGCGACCAGGTCTTTCGAATGATATGACAGCATGGCGTTACATGTAAGAAGGAACGACGAATTTGGGAAGATTCCGAGGAGTGAGTCCAACGAGTTGGCGAGTTCGGGGGTGGCCTGGTAGAGCTCGAGCGATGTGTAGAGATGCCAGATGAAGGAGAGGATGTTTTGCGGGAGATGCTCGGCAATCCGACTCAACTGCGTGCTTGTCAGCTCTTGTTGTTCTTGGACCTGTCAACAGGACCGAGGACTTACATCGTCTATCCGGGATATGAGTTGGGTCATCTCCAGCCAGCAGCCCCAATTCATGGGGTAGAGGTGAACGCTTCGGACAAAGTAGTCCATCGCCTTGTCCTCGTTCTTCTCCTTTGCGAGAACCATGCCATATCTTATCCACGGTAAGCATTTATACGCGAGGATATGAGAGACAGAGGTATATGCCGTCGACTCACAGGTACTCCAGCCAGCCCTGGCTGCCGAGGACGTCCCCGTCGTCCGTCGTCCGCTCATCGAACCAGTTGCTGAGGAACCGGCTGACGGCGTTTAACTGCTTGTTGACGATGTTGCCCAGGTCCTGGGGGCCCATGACCATCTCCGAGTCCTCGTCCTTACGTTTTTCCCCGGACATGAACTTTGCGTACAGGGCGAGGAACAGGCTCTTCTGACTGAGCCTGGGGAGCTCGGTGCTGCTGCCGCCGGCTGCTCTCGCTGTCTCGGCGTCCCCTCGCGTCTTTGTCTTTCCCTTCCCCTTGGACGGCCCTGATGGACCGTCTACGTTGGAGCTCAAAACACCAGAGAGTACGGAATCGGGCAGGAAGACGGCGGCGCAACGATCAAACTCCCGTGAGTCGAAGAGGGTCTTGGCGAGAAGGTATTTGTTGATCTCCTTGGCTTCGAGCAGGGCTTCTTCGGGGTCGGCGTTCACCGTGAAGACTGTCGGGACGTACTGGGCGTCGGTGTCGGCGTCGGCTGGTTCGGCATCGCTCGAAGGCTCGGGGATGGCGTTAAGAAGCTCTGCGGCCCTGGGATCGAGGTCAGCCGTGGAGTCTCTCGCAAGGGTCTTCGGGGAGCTTGCCATTTCGCAGAGGAGTACAGGCATCGCTCAGAGCACTTGACGACCGCATCCTGAAGGGATTCTCGGAGCTGCGACAGCTCATTCTCATTGAGTGACATCTCTGCGCATCCTCGGGCAGAGAGCGAAAAGCTGAGTCGGTTGGTCCCGCGCTTCTTGTCGCATTCGTCCCCAAGCTGTAAGAAACCGTAGCAACGTCCAATTGAGTATCTACACCCCACAGAACAATCCCGCCTAGAAGTCACTATCGACAGCCCCAGAGCGCAAGGCGAAGGCTGCGAGACGAAATACGAAGATGCAGGCTTGCTGGAGTTGGCGATGCGAGTGTTGTGTTTCCTTGTCCTGACGTAGTAAGGCTCAACGGCAGAAAAGGATGCGGTTCACCAGATTCCCTCCACGCGCCGGGCGCGACGACGCTAAAGTGACCTGCGGTGTACCTGACCACCACGGTGAGCAACGCAGGAAGCACAGTAAACCTTAGGTAAGGTGACTGGGACCCCGCCGCGACCGCGGAACGGAAGTCAATTGGACGTCGCCCGTGTGTCGTTGACGACGCCTGGGGCGCCTGTCATCCTTAGACCCCACTTATCCCGGCAACATCAGGGACCGTATAGGAAATCACCCCCCACCGCCTGCCAAAATAGCAACTGAAGATCGGATGAGGGGTACACTTTCACCTGTACGAGTTGGTCCTAATTTGACGCGGGCGCAATAATTTCGGATTGCCATCGCAAGCTTGCGTAAATTTCCCAACGATCCCTCTCTCCTTTTGTTCGTCCACTTTGTCTCCTTGTTGTTCCGCTCCCCACTCCCCTCTCCCCACGAATACCTCACCCTCCTTCTTCGCTCTCGTCGCTAACCTACCACTCGAACGCCTCCAAAAGACCGTTGCAATATATACCCCTAATCCAGCCACCACCCGACCAACCCACCTCGCCGCGCCGGCCTCAGACCACACCGCAAATCAGGACAAGATGGCCAAGAAAACGACCCTTACCGAGTTCGAGTCAATCTTCCCCAAGCTTGAGGAGGTCCTCCTCAAGCATGCGCAAAAGTACAAGCTTCCCAAGGAGGAGCTGGCATGGTACAAGAAGGCAAGCAATTAGCCACAACGACTCCGACAATCGCACCACTGCCGCCACTGCCGCCACTGCCTCCTCTACTACCATTATCGCTGTGTACCCTTGTACCATTGTGATTCAATGGCTGGTTCTGAGGATGTGCGTAAAAGCATGTGTGTGAGCGCGTGGGCGGTGAACCTCTTATTCCGAGAGGAAGGGGAAACCCACAAATGCAAGAGAACACCAAAAGATTAACAGCTTTGCTTGCGCCACAGAGTCTCGAAATCAACACCCTCGGCGGAAAATGCAACCGTGGCATGTCGGTCCCAGATTCGGTCTCCCTCCTCCTCGACAAGCCCCTCAACGAGGAAGAGTACTTCCAAGCTGCCACCCTCGGCTGGATGACGGAGCTCCTCCAGGCCTTCTTCCTCGTTTCGGACGACATCATGGACACCAGCATCACCCGCCGCGGCAAACCCTGCTGGTACCGCCAAGAAGGGGTAGGCATGGTCGCCATCAACGACGCCTTCATGCTCGAGGCCGCAATCTACACCCTCCTCAAGAAATTCTTCCGCGAGCACGCCAGCTACGTCGACCTCCTCGAGCTCTTCCACGAAGTTACCTTCCAGACCGAGCTCGGCCAGCTCTGCGACCTCCTCACGGCCCCCGAGGAAAAGGTCAACCTCGACAACTTCTCCATGGAGAAGTACCGCTTCATCGTCGTCTACAAGACGGCCTACTACTCCTTCTACCTCCCCGTCGCCCTCGCCCTCCACTGCCTCAACATCGCCACCCCCAAGAACCTGAAACAGGCAGAGGACATCCTCATCCCCCTGGGTGAGTACTTCCAGATCCAGGACGACTACCTTGACAACTTTGGCCTGCCCGAGCACATTGGCAAGATTGGCACCGACATCATGGACAACAAGTGCAGCTGGCTCGTCAACCAGGCCCTCGCCATTGCCACCCCCGAGCAGCGCAAGATCCTCGAGGACAATTACGGCCAAAAGGACAAGCAAAAGGAAGCCGTCATCAAGAAGCTGTTCGACGACATGGAGCTCAAGCGCCGCTTCGAGGAATTCGAGGAGAAGCGCGCTGGCGAGATCAAGGACATGATTAACAACATTGACGAGAGCGAGGGCCTCAAGAAGGGCATCTTTGAAATCTTCCTGGCCAAGATCTACAAGCGCTCCAAATAAATTACATCTATAGCAACTACTAATGCGGGCGCGCGTGTGTGTGTGCGCGCGTTTGGCGGCAACATGTTACAAAGTTAGGAGCGGATTCTGCATGTGGCATTCAAGGCAATAATAGAAGCACGAAAAAAAAAGACAAAGATAGATACCTGAGTCCAATGGATTGACGATAATGACACATCCGAACAACAGAGCCGTTAGAATCATGCAATATCTGTATTAAAAGTAAACAAAGGGAAAAAAAAGTCACTAGTCTGATAGATAAACTAGACGACACAACTCAAAATTCCACCTCCTTGGTGCCCCTACAAGAGCTTTTTATGTGACTGATATGCTTGTCAAGTCAACATCCGGGTATCTTACATGTTAAATGACACCCCCTCCCCCCTTATGCGCCTAAATCGCGTCCACGACAAGATCTGCTTGCTGCTTCCTTTTTCTCTCTCTTTCGATTCTTGGTTTTACAAATGTGGCACTTTTAATTTTCTGCAACGCCGCCATCCGCTCTCTTGTCATCCCTCAGTGCCTGACGGTACCACTCCTGCCAAGACCCTGCGACGCACCCTGCGACATGCGAGGCTTCGTATCGCGGCCCCTCTCACGTTCCACAAAGTTGATGAGCGGAACGTCCTCGTCGTCCCGCCTCGACGATTGTCTGGGCATAGACGGCACGGGAGGCTGTTGCTGCTCATTGGAGACCACGCGACGTACGGCACCGCCGCCTGCCGTGGACCGACTCCTCGGCCTCGACGCCGCTGACTGCGACGCCATGCGCTGGGGAGGGTACGCCTTTGCCGTGCCCATGCGCGTGACGGTCGGCAGCTGCGGTCCCAGGTGCCCGTCTGGCAGCTCCAGGCCCGTCGCCATCTCAATCAGGGGCTTTCCGGTGGGCACCCGTACACCGCGGCCTTGGCCGTCTCGCCAGGCTGCGGGCAGGTCAGGCACCCTGGGCGTGAGGTCGACGAGAGGCTGCGGCATCTCTCGTTTCCCTGAAGACGACCCGCCGTCCGATGTCTTTGGACGCGACGAAGTCGTCGGACGAGCGACGGGCGGCCGTGATCGACTCCGCGGTTGGGGCAGGGAGTCTGCAGCCGTCGGCCGAGACGAACGCACCGTGCCTCTTCTCTGTGGCATCCCGTTGTTGTCGGGCTCTGAGAAATGGCTGAGCAGCGAAGGCCCGCCGGTGAATGGGCTCTCCACCGCGTATTGTTGATGTTCTGCGGTAGCAGCAGCCTTCTCTGCTTGTTGCTTGCGTCCCTCGTAACCGTGGCCCAGCAGGCCGCCGGACTTGAATTCGGCCTTGGCAAAGGGGTCGATAAGTCGCTTTGTGAGAGGCTGTGACAGGTTCGGCGTCGTTCTGGATCGAGAGACAACTTTTTGAGACTGGGTGTGCCTGGGTGTGGAGTGATGATCCGCCGGTCGTGCCGTCGGTTTGTTGTCCAAGTCCTTCCCAAAGTCGTCAATCGGTTTTTCGAATCTGTCCATATCTAGGAGCGGGGAGAAAGTCCCGATGGTATAGGGCGTCTCGTCGTTCGACACCCTAGGCCGGTGTAAGGTGCCGCTTCGTGTAAGGCCGCCCGCTTTTGTTGCGCTTCTTCCGGTACTGCTGTGCGTAGACGACTTTTTCTTGTTCAGATCAACTACTTTATTCGCAATGTACCAGCTGCGCCATCCCTGGATGATCCTTTGGAAGTCTTCCGCGAGCCTGGTGTCGTCCGTGGCGAAGAAGTGGATGAAGTTTTCCGTGTTCTGGAACACGGTGGATTTCTGCTGACTCTTGACGGCAAAACAGTTCTTCTTTGGAGCTCTAATCTGCTTCAACATGTCCTTTTCGGTGACCGTGTATAGGTCGAAGTCGGAAAGATGGCAGAGCGAAACGGCGTCCTTGTCCGACAATCTGGCATCCTTCTTCTTGGCAGAAAAGACCTGCCCAGTCTCCAGGAGTGTGATGTAGCGTTTGTTCCATTTACCAGGTCGCTGAGAGTGGTATAGCGCAAAGTTGATGAGACCTGGGGGCGGATCGATGGTGCGGGGCACACCTTCGAGGTTCAGGTCGGGGTTCTTATCCGTGGATTCACCCGGTACGATGAGCAGGCAGTGCTGGGTATCGCGGTCCCAGGAGTTCATCACAAGAGCCACGGGCTCGTAGCGTCTCAGCCGGCGTTCCAGTCCAAAGGCGAAGTAGCACTCGAGCACGACGCTGGTTTGCGGATTGATATTGTGGGTCATGAGGTTGGCGGCCGAGTATAGAATCTCATTTGGCGTAGTATCGGGGGTCACTGGAAGACTGATTGACGACTGCATGCAGCGTATCGTCACTCGCTAGCAGGGAGCATTAGCAAAAATATGAGGGTCAGGGTTATGGCCAGGGTTGGCAGAAGAAAAGACTCACGCGTTCTCCGGCATTGCTGGCAGAGGTCGGGGCATCTGTCTGGGGGACGATGCCGCCGCCACCGGCTTGTATGAAGCGGGAAGGATCCATGACGCTCACGGGCCTGTGGTCGAGGGTGAGGGGCTGGAAATATTGAGAGGGGGCCTTTGTGAGAGTCGTGGCAGCGTCGGACTTGCGACCCTTTCTCAAGAAGAAGGTAAACTTGTCGACAATGGGGCTCCGGACGCGGGAGGATGGTGCGTCGGGCACGGCAGCCAATTGAGCCTGGAGTCGTGCGAGGTCCTTTGCCTTTTGATCTGCCAAGATGCGATCGGTCTCTGCCTCGAGTCGGGCAACCTCTTGGGCCCAGCGAGCAGCGTCCTCCTCTTCCTGTTCCTTGCGACGTCGGTGCTCCTCTTCTTCCTCGGCAAGCAGTTGCTGGTGGTGTTGGTGGCGCCAGTGCTGTCGATCCTCCTCTTGATGGGCAAGCTGCTGGTCACCCTGGGGGTTGCGGATAAGGTCCTCCTTGTTGTTGAAGTCGTTGTTGTCGGAGACAGGTTGGAGGGCGAGCTTGGTGATGATTTGAGAGCGAGCGTGTTCAGCCCTGGCAGCGAGCTTCAGGTCGGCGCATGACGAGTGGGAAGAAATCAAGACTGGGTTGTGTGAACGAGGGCGCAGATGGGGACCGGGAGGCGGGACGAGGTCGCGTGCTCGGGTATGATGTGCCTGGGCTCGGGCGTGGGCTTGGCCTTGAGCCGGGAAGGGCAACGGAAGCAGACCCAATCCCAATCCAGGAGATGGTTGTGGTGGATGAGGTGAGTGTGTTTGTGGTGGAGGAGGAGGAGGAGGGCGATGCGGTATTGGCGGCGGTGGTGTAACTGGTGCAAGTGGTGTCGTTCCTAGCGCTCCCTGACCTGGCGCTGGCGCAAGTGCAAATGCGCGGGCGACTGCGACTGCGGGTGGTGGTGTTGGTGTTGGTGGTACACTCTGGTTCGGTTTGGGTGCCGCAGACCAAGAGGCAGACGCACCAGCAGCGGACCCCGACGCTGGTGGTAATAACGCTGATGCTGCAGACGGGGCCGGCGGACAGGGGCCAAGGGTGTACAAAGGGGCTGCCTGGGTGGAGAAAACCCCTGGGGCTGGGGACCTGGATCCGGAATAGGACCGCGCTAGGGAGAACAGGGAGCCGGGCTCGCTTGGGGGTCTGCCAGGTCTGGGGCCGCATGCGTCTGTTCCACCAGCTGTTGTCGCACTGGCACTGATGCTCGCACCACCCGCAGGAGATGATCTGGTGGTAGTTGGGGACGAAGAAGGCGGCGAAGAAGAAAAAAAGGGAGGAGAGGAGCTTCCATGCAAGGGGCTGTCGTCCAGGTCAAGGTCCGTCGTGTCGGGGGCCGTCTTGGGTCGCCGTCGATTGGGGTAGCTGAAGCGCACAGGGGACTCGGGGGGGGCTGGGACCACGATTCTTTTCCCACTGCCAACCGCACCATCTCCAAAACCAACACCAACACCAGGACCCAGTCCACCACCCCCACGACAATAGTAACTCGCACCACGACGTCTACCTCCTGCTGATGCATCGCCCACGGAGGAGCTTTCAAAATCAAACGGAGAAAATCCTTCGTCGATGCCGGTACTGGCCAAGAGATCGGGCCACTGCCATTGCATCGTCAACTGCGGTGCTCCAGACGGTGTCTGCGGCGGCGGCGTCGACAGCAACGGCGCCGTGCGCCTCTTCCTCGCCGATGAAGCCGGTGTTTGCTGCTGCTGATGACGATGCGGCGATACGGATGTCTGCGTCGTGTGCCCATCATCACCAAGGTCCTCCTCATCCACAGCAATCCCGATACCGAGGCCCAGGGCGATGCTCGTCGCCGTGCCCGTCTCGGTCGTGGCATTCGACACCGTATCGTCGTCCTGGAAAATGTCCACCTCCCAGTCCCGCCAGTTGCGCCCAAAGTCCAGCATGCTCTTGTGCTCCCGCACGCTCCTGTACCGCGTGAACCTCCCGGCGGTGACGCTCTGGCCCCGTCGAGGTGGATGCGGCGCGGGCGATTTCGGTGGCCCTGGGCCTGCCGACATGGTCCGATTAATTCGCGGCATCCCTTCCATGTTAATATTCTTACTAGGTTTTTTTCTTTTTACGGATCCCTGGGCGGGTGCGTGGTTTGTGTCTTGTTTCGTTTCCGAGCCTCTCCTTCTCGATAGCGTCGTCCCAAATGGATGCGTCGTCCTCTTCTTTCCCTGATTGTTTGGCCGATGTGATGCCAGACGGGTCAATCAACCCCGGATTCTCGTCCAATGGTGTCGATAGTGGCGGCTGCGGCCCAGTCCACTGGAACCCTCTAAGCTGATCCCCCAGCCCAGCAGGGAACACTTGAACGTTATCTTGCAGCCTTTGCCCTTTTTCCCTCCTCTTTTGATTGCTGCCCCAGGACCCTGCAGATCTTTCTGCAAGTGATAGATGAATGATTGAGATAGGGCTGGTCGGTCCCGACAAAACCTTTTTTTTTTTTTTTTTTTTCCCCCGGTTCCCTCGGTTCCCGGGAAAAGAGAGCCTTCGGCGGGGGTTCGCAAAAAAGGTAAAAGTAAAAATAATATATGATTTAATACTGATTAGATTAGGTGGCTACAATAGCAGCACTTTGAGGCAATTAGCAAAAGTAGACGACGATTAGCAGAACACAGTTTGTTGACGTGTTGCACAAATGACGGCCTTGATGCAGCAACCAAAACCAGGGATGCCGAAGAGCAAAAAAAGGAGTCAAGATGGAAAAGGGGAAAAGAAATGTGGCGAGACTTCCCTCTTCCCATAAGTCAGGGTCCTCCAGGACGCACAAGGCAAGGGAGGCTTTTTACATCTCTCCCAGGAATCGCATCATGCTCTCTCTCCAGGTGAGGAACTCTGCACACCACGCGTCGGCGCAAAGGAACCCTGCTTGTGGACGAGGTATGCAGCATACAATGAGGGCGCGACACCGCACGTGCTATGCCGAATGCCAGTCGTCCATCATTCCATTTGCACGCTCATTAATCGGGGCGCATGGCACGACATAGGTACGAGCAAGCACTCTTGGACATTGCATTCCAGACCCCATCTTGACTCCCTCCTTGACGTGTCAGTGTTTACACTTTCCCATGCGATTGACGCGACTTCAGCCTGGGCAAAATCCCCCTGGGCGGTGAGACTGTGTAGCAGTATGCATTTCAGTGCCAGAGAGGAAGTCGTGATTTGAAAATGTTTCACGTTGGTCGTCCTCAGGTATGACACATCACTTGCGATTGCCCTGGGAGCTTCGGGTCAGCTGACATGAACATCCTTTATCAAACTCATATTCACACAACTGTGGCCATGCCATTTCTTCGGTCCCGGGACCCCCAATGGATTGCGCATAACGCGTGCGGTCTATAAGCTGGTCTTGCCTCCTCCGCTCTCAGTAGTCGAAAGGAAAGGTTGCCCAGAAGCTTAGGACGTTTGAATCGATGTACCCCCGATCCTAGAGAAATTCTATATCCTAGGTAGCTATAGCTCATGGTTTCGATTTCTGCAAGCGACCCTCTTGTTCTATTCTTCTTCCCCTCTTCTCTTTTTGATATACATCGACTACTCCTTGATTTGTCCTCAAGAGCCACCAGGTTGAACCTTTGGAACCTCTGCTCCTTGATCGAATATTTACGATTTAATATGCTTCGTGCGGGAAATCGGCCGGGGTTGGACAGCACATCATATCCTCGGCCAAAAAAAGCCTCACACCGGCTCTCGCGCAAAGCCTCCGCTTTCGACATGACATTGCAGGCTTCCTGAGATGATGAACTTGTGAGGTTCGAATGTGTGCGCCTGAACTGCCCTGATGTACAAATTACCCAGGAACGCACAAAGCCGAGGTTCAGTGTCGGAAAGCGTGCACCTCACGCCTCCACCACCCGATGAAGTCGCTCGTCGACACGTCGATACCCAGATCCCTCAGAGCCCGCGTGCTGAGATGACAGTCGTACGGCCGCTGGACGCTCGCGTTCGGGTCGTTGCCCTCCGTGTTGGCAATGATTCCGTCCATGGAGAGGTCCATGATGTCTGCAAACTTTTGGCAAATCTCGTACTTTGTCATCTTGTCCTCGCTGGAGAACTGGAGGACCTTGGGGAACGAGCTGCGGTCGTCGGCCTCGAGGTATTTGCCGGCGATATCTGTAGCACCAGTCAGTTATTTACACAAGAGCCCCCTTGAGATGGTAATGCCCCCTACCGTGACACACGCGCCCGACATCCTCAGTGTTTGTCGGGTACCGAATGGCCCAGTGATCCATCTTCACCTTGGAGCCCCCGTCCTGCGTCTTCCACAAGGTGTCCATGAGCACGTTCGTCGCGCTCTCCGCGGGCGTATCCGCCTTGCCGTACAGGACGGGGACGCGGAGGACGAGGCCCAGCCCTGCACGGCCGGCGGCCTCGTACTCCTCCAGGACCGCGCGCTCGCCGTCCAGCTTGGTCTGGCCGTAGAGGTTGGTGGGCCCCGTCTGCGCGTCAGCCTCGTAGGGGGCTTCCCCGGGCTTACCCGAGAAGACGTAGTCGGTCGAGATGTAGATGAGCAAGGTTGAGCGGGCAGCGCAGAGCTTGGCGAGGGACTGCGTGGCCGCGACGTTGAGGGCGCGGGCGGCGTCCGGGTCGCTGTCTACCTTGTCGGGGAATCTCTGGGCGGCGCCTGTTGTTTCCGTCATGTGAGTCTCTGCTGATTTGGTCTCATGAGGAGACGTTGATAGACATACAGTGCACGACTACTTGAGGCCTAGCATGATGTGTTAGTAAGGTACGGGTGACCCAACATAAGGGCAGGCTTACTTGGATTCATCGAGAAACTTTTCAACTTGCGAGGTGTTGCCGAGGTCGACTTTGAAGACGGATACGCCATCGGCGCGAGAGTATCCCGTACCCTTGACGTCCCAACTCCGGAGGTCAAACGCCCGCGCGACCTGTCTTCCGAGAAGACCAGTGGCCCCGGTCACGACCACGTCTTTGCCCGCCATGTTGTTGAACTTTAGGTGTTCTTGGTGGAAGATTTCAGTGCGTAATCAGCAGTAGAGTCCTTCCAGCTCCTCGGTGATTTCTTAGTGAAAGGCCGCGTCTTGTCAAATGTCGAACAATTGGCGTTGGACAATATGCAAAGCTCTGGTACTTTACCGTCGACTACCCCGCGGTGGGGTCTGTGCCACCGACCGTTGGGAAACTCAATTGGGTCTACTCGCATAATTACATCATCTTCACCTAATGCATATTCCAGCTAATACACTGCGTCTACTCTGTGCGAGTAGATTTGATCCCGTGGGGCGAGACACGGATTCGACAGTCTCGCCAATGCATTGTTCACCCTCCTTTCTTCCTTTAGACAAACATGTTCAATCAAACGTTAGGCGACAGGCAGACCGGGTAGTTCCGTCGACCTCATCTCATCAAGATGGAATGATCGGGTCCAGCCCGTGACTGACTCGACGTTTCCAAACAAGGCTCTCTCTCGCCTCGACTTCTGGAATCGTCCCCAATTTGAATAATACCCCGACCGGTATGCGTTTGCGCGACGCCTCATGCCGAGAGATTCGGCGGCAGACCAGGAAAGGCGCACGCAGCTCCTTTCAGCGGTATTCGTCGTCTCGTCTAGCCCCAAAAGGGCCCCTCAGCTGGCGGACCGGCCACGGCTGAAAAAATGACGTTATCTCTCAAGGTCGAGTCATGGATGTAGTATTCACACAATATCTGCCTACACCGTAAGAAGTGCTGGGCTCGCATTCTCGAGCTAGTTACCTACATCTTTCCTCCCAGCGTCGGCGTTTGATACCTCCCCGGGGAAATCATTTTTGGAGAGGTTCGAGCGACTAGAACCAATCGAGCCAAGGGCCGGAGCCAATCACGTCCCTCTACCCGAGCTTTGCGCTCTACGTTTTCCGTGCCGCATCTGCTGGACGTACGCATAGTAGCTCAAAAGCATGCACAGGGAGGACCCTCGCCAAGCCCGCACGCGATCGTCCGACCCATCTTCTCTTCGAGTATGGCTTGCGTAGCGGGGGAGCCTACCCCCGTTACGAAAGAGAAGATTTGAGTAGCTTTTTATTACGAAGGGGATCGAAGAAAGGTAAGAAACCCAGTCAGCGAACCCGCGTGGCTGTTCCTGGTCATCGAAGCCTGATACGAGCACTTCGGAGAACATACGGCACTAGCTCATGCAAAGCACCGGAAGAGAAGGCAGTAGTGCCGCGAACGCGCAGAACTCAAATGGTCAACTACCATCAAAAGCGCGGACGATGAAGAATCTCGCAGGATTGCACCATGACTCCCTCCCTCCCAAAAAATTATATAGAGAGAGTGTGAGAACAAGGGCGTAATGCCGCGACTCGGTCCGGCATGCGCAATATCACTAGAAACATTCTTCAGACTCGGGCGTGGTTCTCTCGCCGGCCCAGATTTCTCCGCTCCGAATGGCATCGGGGTCGATGTCCCCACCTATAGAGCGACAAGTCTAGCCGCTTCGTATGTACGCACACAACTCACAATGGCGTTACAGGGACTGTCATTGTCGTTTGTGATGGTGGCAGATCATGCGACGCTTTTCGGTGACAGGCGCAAACTTTCCTCAATCTTTTGGCTCCCGTTGTCGCATTCCAAGTCATGCCTCGGAATTTCACTTTGAGCCATTCATGCAGTGGCAAGCGATGAGGTTCCATTGAGCAAGTGTCGAATTAACAAGTTTCCAGGCGGGGGGGGCAAAGTCGTATATTTCTATTCCTTGGGTAATGGCAGTAGCATCGGCTGGTATAACACAGCATCTTAATACATGCAATCCCAGTGAAAGGGTCTCTTTAGTCTCCGGTATCTAGCGGCTCACGAAAAGCTTCTTTATCCGCCACAAGGTCTTGGCAGGACATTTTCGCTCTGCGTGTACTATTCTTGTGTACATGATCGTCAAAAGTCAAAGCTGCATTGGAAAGTAAAAGAGGTTCCCGCCCTCCTTGCTAATAACTTCCCGAGCTGGTCGTAGAATATAGCTTTGCGTCGTACTCCCTGCGGCCGGGAACACCCTCCTTGTCCTTGAGCGCATCTCTCCTTCCACCTTCTTCTCCCCGCGGCGTCGAGTCTCACCGTTCGTCGTACACGACATTCACCTCGGTCGTGCGCATGATGCCGTCGTACGTCATAATCTCCTCCTCGCTCGTTGTCGGCGAGTGGCCCCGGATCTCGGACCGGCCCTTCATGCTCTTGAGCTGGAACGTGTTGTCGTGGTTCGTCGTGTTGGAGCGGCCTCGGGTAGCCGTGGCCGGGCCTGTCGCGCGGGACTTTTTGGTAGGGTCGCCGCTGCGGCCGTAGCCGTCGCGGCCGTTGGAGGAGCTCTTGAGGGAGGCGAAGAACTTGGGGAACCAGCGGAGGAAGAGGCCGCGCAGCGCGGGCGCCGAGGCCGCGATGATGGCCAGATTCGTCTCGACGGCCGAGTAGGTGAAGCGGATGTCGTACGTCGGGTCCTGCTTGTTGATATGGTACGAGACCTCAATCAGCCATGCCAGGCGGAGGACGCTGACGGCGGTGACACTGGGAAGGGCGTGTTAAAAAAAAAGGAGGTTTCCGGCCAGGGCCAAGGTTAAGTTCCGCTTTCTTGTACTTACACAACTCCAAGGCCAAATACGCCAAGGAGCGCCATCTTCACGCGGAGAGGCATCTTGAGCCCGAGAAAGATCCAAAAGGGCAGGGCCAGGGCCAGCACGTCGGTAAAGATGGTGAGGCAGACGGTACTGACGTAAAAGGCGGCTGTGTCGATACACTTGCCCTCCGTCGGCGGGTTTCGGCCGGCCTTTTCCCAAAAGTAGCTGATGGGTTGGCACTGGAAGACTACTACCGTGAAGATGGCGATCCCGAGCGCAATGTTGAAGACATTGAGCGCGTGGATGGCGTAGCGGATCGATCTCTTCTGGCCGCTCAGCCGCAGAAGGAACAGCAGCACCGACGTCTTGACGATGGCCAGGATCGGGTTATACAGCAGCTGAATGATGTAGTCCCAGAGACTGCCCAGCCGGCTGTCGGCCTCTGGGGGAATGTCGCTGACGTGGACGCCGAGGAAGCTCAGCCGCATGCCCATGTACGATGCCGCCGTTTCGGCCATGGAATCTGCCTGAAAGGGGTCACGGTGAGCTACAGCCTAGAGACAGATATTCTAGCTTTCGAGCTTACCATGGCAAAACATATCAAACCATCGTCTGGAGCGCACAAAGTTAGCCACGACTCATTAGGACAAGGAGTTCGACTCGTATGGAAATTCGATTTGGTCAAAGTCATGTCTTGGATTTCCTTACCCCAGCCAAACTGTTTGGTCGTGACTCGACTATATACCCGTAGGCCTACCACGACGAGGGCAATCGCTGGGAAAAAAAACAGTATAAAGAAACCGACATGCTGCAAAGACGAGTAAGGATACGGGTAGTCGTCGGTGATGGGGGGCAGCGCCGAAGACGTGCTACTCGTGTCCCTCAGCTGAGCTGCGTGAACTAGAGCCGCAACGGCTTGTGACATGCTGATGTCCTTGATCGCGACTAATATTAACTTTGGTCAAGGTTGGCAAGACCACTCCAGGCCCAAGAGAGCCTTGGCTGACGGATGGGGGTTGGATCTGTGAGGCTAGGGCGTGGAAAAGGGTTCGAGAATATAGGATGGGGGCAAGAGTAGAATCTATATGCCGTTGCCCCCCTTGAGCGAGGCTGTAGCTTGCTACGAAAGGAAACGCCCTTTGTTTTTTCTCCTCTCCTCGTCTTAATGTAGTAAAAGCCGTATAGCTAGGGGTGGCCATGGAGGGCAAGATAGGGCAAGGAAGTTCAAGAGAGATTGGCCAAAAAAATGCATCGAGAAAGGTCAACCTCGCTCTCTTCCCAGTCTTATAGCGAGACAGGGCCGGGATACAGGAGAAACGGAATAGCGGCAAGCAGTCCAGTCGAGGGCCTCTAAGCCTAGTGATCTTTGCGTCTGTCTATACAGCTCTTTACACTAGCTGTGGCGGCCCCGGCTTTCCAAAACAGATCCTGTTACCAGTCATATGGTTGTGGCAGTGGGAACGAAACTGGAGCTTTTCGAGAGGACGAGGTGGCAGTCCCTACACCACCAGGATTTCCCAAGCCCCCTTGCTCCTGCTGCTTTACATCTGGCAAGGATGTCTTTTTGATCGGCAAAGAGCTTGATTCTCTATCCTTGGTCGAACAGTGCAGTGTGAAGGAGGATGGGCCAGCCCTGGCAACGTGTCGAGGAAGAGCCCGGAAATTTGGGAACTTCTTCCACACATCCGGCCGTCGATCTACCTGAACATCTGTCGCAGCTCGGAAAGAAGACTTGATTTCCCTCAATGACAGACGGCGCTTATATTTGCATCCGTCGAGACGACCGAGCGTCAGTGGCGTGATCAGGAAGTAACCGGCCTATCCGGCGTCCATTCCACTTCTTCCATCTTCTTTTTGACAGCTTTCGGGCGGTGGGAGACGGTCTCATGTCTGTGAGTTCCAGTCAACAAGCTTACTTGAGAAAGATGGGGAGAGGGTGGAGGAGGGTCAGCCTGTCCAGCCTGGAGTGTGGGGAGGGGGGCAGGTATGGCCCCCGTCGTGCTGCCCAAGGAGGAAAAGAAGCCGAAGCCGCTCGCATTTGCCCCCTCCTGCTCCATGGCGTGAATTAGTGTAGATTGATAAATGAAGAGCGAATCTTGCTGTATTGTACATAGTGCGAGTACACAGGCGGCCTGCATAGTGGGGTGTGAGTGATGATTGCGAGGGTCGGTTGCTTGCTGGGATCGCCATCTGGTGGGCGTGGAGTTCATCCGGGGTCGTTTTTACTTGGAGACTCTGGGTTATCAAATGATGGCTGAAGATTGACTAGGAGTCACTCGTGGGGCCAGACTGGGGTTGGTGGCTCTAGGCTTTTGTTGTGTGCTTGATAAGTGTAGTGTATCCGCACATCGACACTTGGTATACTACCTATGTAAGTCGAGCTGGGATTTGGTGGTGCAGTGCCAGGATCGTGGCTGACGAATCCACGTCTCCAGGCCGAATCCCGGGACGTAGGGCAGCAGGTTCGGACCAGGTGAAACCAATTCCACACAACACTGAGCTTACGAACCTGGCAGGTTCGTTGCCTGCAAAGGAAGTACGGATACATGTAGGTCCGTAGGAACAGGGGCCCCGCCTCGCTCATCGATGCATCCCCAGGGGGCAACAAGGCGAGAGAGAGAGAGAGAGAGAGAGCGTGATAAAGCATCCATATGTTGCAGAGATTGGCGGATGTGGCTAGACTCTCCCAGGCTCTCTGTAGTCTCCATCTCTCGTTAGGCCGACAATATTGGGTTGGTCGTTGTTGTCAAAGACTGTGTGGTATCTCTGACGAATCTCCTGAAGAAATCCATGCATGCCCCCGGCGGCGCAGCAGATTACACACGCAAAGTCCCATGTCTCTCCCACGTTGACGTGAAGAAGAAGGAAAGACGCAGGTCCCTCCAGTCGGGACGGTCGGGAACGTTGCGACTGCCGTGCTGTCACACCTCATCTCTGCCTGCCTTGCCGCGAACTCGCCGTGGCATGTTGGAGACTTTGATGTTTGGCACCTGACATCGACTTGGCATCCCCAACCGCCGTGGATGGCACCGCCCCCAATAAGGTACCTACCCCAGACCACCTCAGAGCACGCCCAGTTGGGCGCCCAAACCGATAAGATTTCTGAAAACCCCTATCATTACAAAGATCCAAAAGTGGTCCTTGCTTTATAGTGTATGATCACCTCGCGGGAAAACAAGGCACGGCACTCGATGGTTTGATAGGATTTGCAAGCCCGCTGCCCTCCCCGCCCAGCATATATTAATTCGCCCTCAATCTATTTTGCGCGGGACAGGGGTTGCCAACACCCGGGCTAGTCTCCCTCCATGTTATGCAAGCCGACCTAGCGGCAGTCATGGCAACTGAGTATCGGCGTGGGAAAGAGAAAAAAAAAAAAAAAGAGGGAAGATCGGGAGGTTTCGGCGTGAAGTTGATGCTACTGCACCACGCCGCAGGAATTTTCCTGTCAAGTCCTCCTTCTGCTCTGGACAATTTCGGACGAATGTTCGCCGCCGCAGTAACGGTCGTTCATTTCCGTCATGTGGGCGGCCAACGACTCCTACAACATGATGTACGGATATTCGTGAATACCTTATGCACACAACTCAGTAATATCGTCGTGGCAGGCTTAAGCTTTCGTCTCAAAGGGGGGGGAGGGGGGGGAAGGAAAAAAGGGATGACGGGTTCTTCGCGAACCTAAACACGCCGGGAGCAAAACGAAACAGCCGGTTCGTGCTCACAACATGGAAAATCCCTCTCTCATCACCCCTTGGTACATGACTGAATCGCCAGTGAGATAGATGCTGCCCATGTGCTCATCTTTGCGCCAGGAGCGACTGCGCCTTGATTGTGAGGTGACCTCGCTCGTCTTTCCCATGGCCAAACAGGGAGCATTGTGCGAGAAGGTATTTCGGGGACTTTGTGTAATACTGGCTTCAACCTTGCTGTCTCTCTACCAGCCGGACCTGGCAACTGCCTGGGATACCGATACCGCGGAGTAGCTAGCTCCCCCCCATCATCCTTGCGATGAACAATCTTCCGTATGCAAATCTCCCTTACGAATAGGTGCACGCCCGAGCTATGGTTGCGTCGTTATGTGACCGTGTGGACCTAAAGGCGAGTAGCAAAACGGACCAAGTGGAACCTCGTGGAGTGCGAAGAAGCAAAAGAAAAGGAAATACACGAGAAGCTTGGGAGTGTACCAGAAACTCTTTTGAACCGTGAAGAAACTGGGCTGGTCCGTTGCAACTTGGATTGACCTGACTCGCTCAACAGACACTACCTTATCTTACCAAAGTGTACATACTTTGAGTTCAGATAGTTCATCCAGAGTCTCGAAATAGGCAACACAATAAAACATGGACTGACAATTTCTAGCCCGCCTAAACGACTCGATGAGACCAGAACACATTTCGAATGGAATTCCCAAGCTAGACTCTTGCTCCCTTTGACCGTTGACGCGGACGGACATGCCGCGGATCGGTGAACCTACCGACCTACCGACCAACCGACCGCCCGGCCAGCTTGCGCCGGCTCGCAGCAAAACCAACTTACCAAGGGCCGAGTTGGCAACATACACTAGCTACATGCAAGAGCCGGGACCGTGATCCCTGGGGGAAGGTTGCGGGGGGCCATCATCTCGGCCAAGGTGCCAAGATCCAGGCTCCGATGCGCAACGTCCAGCCACTCAACGGACGCGCAGTCTGCACCGGACCCTTGCCAGTGCTGACTCCAAGTGGAGATGGAGTTGCAGACCTGTTGAACCGGTCAGGTCCTGTTCTCTTTGGTGTCATTTGCGACTATGTGAGTGATTTTATGGTTGTCCAATGTTCGTGAGACTTTGTTTTTCTTCTTCTTTTGGACAACCCAGAGCAACGGCTCCGAACATGGCAGCCTTGCCTCCAGGATCCCCCCTATCCCATCATCCCTCACCACTCCACGAGGAGGTCAGCATTGTTCATCTCCCTCGGATGGAGTCTCATATCTTGCGGGAATCGGGATCCCTTCAATGCCTGTTATCAACGAGCACATTTGGCCAGTTCTGGGGCCCTAGGCGAAGAATGCCTGCGGCGCATCCGCTGTTATCAGTTGCTTTGAGCTCTCAGCCGGCAAAATTTGGCTCCTCCTCGTTCTTTGCCCCTTTTCACCCCCCTCATCGGCTGGCTTTCTAAGAGAGAGAAGTCATGGGGCCCGGAAGAGAGCCCTGCAAACATTGCCTCTCGGCCGTGGCTCGTGGATGCTGTGACCTACGTCAATCCGTAATAAGGTAATGCCTCCTAGGCGGTACACCGTATAGCAACACTTTTGCCATCCAGCCCGCACCTGTCCGCTGTCATACCTCGTCATCCATTGTTCGATCCCCTCCTAGATGGCATAGCGAGGCCATTCCCGTCTTGGTTCTATCGTTTGCAAAAGGGTGCCCACTGCTTCGGCCTGTCTCCGTCTCTTCCCAGCATCCAACAGTCCAACGTTCCATTTGCTCATCTCGGTCTCCGCGCGTTCATCCCGCTGCTGCCGTTGGGAGAACCGCGAATCAGATCTGCGAGGTCTTATATTTGAAGCAACTTTGTCCCAACTCCGGTGATCGTCCCCTTCCTACCCTCCATCCGCCCATCAGCAGCACTCGCGTCTGAACCCACGTGGCAACCATGTCTTTGATGCGTTCCCTCTTGGCGGCGGCCCTGCTGTCTGTCAGCCACTTGGCTGCGGCCCAGACGATCGTCATCGACGGCCAAGAAGTCGGTAAGCATGCCACCGGCCGCTCAAGCCAGCAAGAAATAGAGTGACTAACTCGTGCCATAGCTGCCAACACCTCGACAGTCGCCCCGGCTGCCGAAGTTGCTGACGTCTCTATCGCCAGTACTTCCGCCGGTCTCTCGAACGGGGAAAAGGTCCAGCTCACTGATGCCGTCCTCACCAACCTCACAGCGCTCCAACTGTCAAATATCTCCCTGTTTGGATTCGAAGACAAATCCTTGACCGAGAAGAGATCACTTTTTGGCCGATGCAAGACATACCCCGGAGACCTCCTGTACCCGATTGGTCTCGTCTGGGACATCTTCAACCTCCTCCTGGGTGGTGCTCTCACCAAGACCATCCCCGAAGCCTCTGTCTGCTACGACGACTTTGGCAACTATGACCAGGCCAAGTGCGACTTCTTGACCGCCAACTGGGTCAACGGGTCGTACTACCACACCGAGGATCCCACAGCCATCAACGCCGTCCTCTTGGAGGGCATGAACTGCATGCCTCCCACGATCAATGTCGGCGAGACCAACTGCAAGGTTGGCGGCCTGCCCTCCTACGTCGTCGAGGCCACCACCGTCGCCCACATCCAGCTGGCCGTCAACTTTGCCCGCAACCTCAACCTCCGCCTCGTCGTCAAGAACACGGGCCACGACTTCGGCGCCAAGTCCACCGGCTACGGTGCTCTGTCCATCTGGACCCACAAGTTCAAGAACATTGACTTTTACGAGAGCTACCAGCAGGACTCGTACAGCGGTCCGGCTTTCAAGCTCGGCGCCGGCGTCCAGGCGTACGAGATGTACGAGGCTGCCGACAAGTACGGTGTCACCGCCGTCGGCGGTGAGGGCCAGACCGTGGGTGTCATGGGTGGCTACGTCCAGGGCGGCGGACACAGCCCCATGTCCGGTCTGTACGGCATGGCCGCGGACAACGTCCTCTCCTTGGAAGTCGTCACCGCCGACGGCCGCTTCGTGACGGCCAGCGAGTCACAGAACACCGATCTGTTCTGGGCCATCCGCGGCGGCGGCGGCTCGACGTACGGCGTCGTCACCTCTGCCGTCGTCAAGGCGCAGCCCAAAATGAGCATCACCACCATGACGTTTGCCTTCTCCAGCGGCGGTAACTTCACTGCCGACCAGTTCTGGACCGCGCTCCGCTTCTACTTTGACGGCTTCGTCGAGTACGCTGTCGACAACGCCAACTACGGATACTTCCGCATCCAGAACCTCGGCACCTCGTTCGCCTTTGACATGGGCCCTTGGTGGGCTCCCAATATGACAAAAGCCGAGCTCGCTGAGCTCGCGGCTCCCCTCTTCGCCAAGTGGGCCGAGATCGGTCTCGTCGTCGAGCCCGTCTACACCGAGTACGACAACTTCTACTCGGCTTGGAAGAACTCCTTCCCGTTGGAGCCCTGGGGATCCAACGCTATCCGCCAGGCTAGCCGTCTCTTCCCCAGGGCCAACTGGGAAGACGAGACCAAGCTCAACGCCACCTTTGAGGCCATCAAGTCCGTCTCCGAGGAGGGCGGCTACATCGTCGCCTTCAACATGATGGCGGCGCCCAAGACGGGGTACCCCGACAACGCCGTCAACCCGGCGTGGCGCGAGGCCGTCATGCACTGCATCACCGCCGCCCTCTGGGACCCCACCGCCAACGAGACCGTCATCAAGGCGGCCAGCGACAAGCTCACTTTTGACTGGCTCCAGCGCTGGCGTGACGTCTCCCCCGGCGCCGGCGCGTACATGTCCGAGTCGGACTACATCGAGCCCAACTTCACCCAGGCCTTCTGGGGTACAAAGTACAACAAGGCCCTCGAGCTCAAGAAGAAGTACGACCCCAATGACGTCTTTTACGCGCAGAACGGCGTCGGGTCCGAGAGCTGGGAGATGTCGGAGATGATTATGGGCAACTTGCCTTCGCAGAACAGCAAGCTGTGCCGCAAGAAATAGTGGTTTTGTTTGATAGAGCCACTGCGAATGCCCTAGGCGGTGTTTTGACTTCTTTGTATATATTGCCGCTGTACATAGGAGTGGCCAGCGTCATGTGCTGCCTAGACCTTAGAATGTAGATTATTGTTCGATGATCTCAAGACGCATTTGAAATAGAGAACTATACATCCTGGCGGACCTCACCGGACTCAACTTTTGATTTCGTCTAGTAAGCATGATTACGTTTAATGAGAGGAACTGCTGGTTACTCGCTCTCGTTGTTGTAGGACTTTGACGTAGCAGATTGCCACATGAAAGGCTTTTCAGGACTGCTTTGCGTGAGCTTGATGGAAGACCTTACCTTATCAAGCACCTGTGGTCTGGTCGGGCTCGAATGGCTCTAGGAGATACTTCAAGGATATGATTGGTGATTGTGAGAGTTTGAGCTGAGTGGCCATATCCGTATTAGCATTTGGTTGTAGCATGGCGTACCAGGTCCTGGACTCGAGAACGCAGAGTTAGAGATGAAGCGTTTAGTGGCAATGGCTTGAAGAATCAGCCATGAGGATAGAAGAGAAATAAGCTTTTGCTGAAAAAGCAGACAAATGGACAAGGAGAAAGAAGGCCAAATCGAGTCTTGTGTTACTCTTGTAAATCGTTGTCTTCAGGTTGTGATGGAAAGCTGACGGGAGGTGGGCTCCGGGCGAGTGAGCAACGTGGAGGTACGTACTGATCACAACCAGACCCACTTTCACATTCACGCTAGTCCGAATTAGAACAGGCGCATAACCTGCCTTGCGAATTTCAAGGTGACATGTCTCGAATTTCTATCCAAATACAGCTTCACGAAGCCAGCCAACCATCATGGCCTCGATCGCGGCATCTCTGGCCTCGGCCCTCCCGAAACCAAAATACACTGGCGAAGATGAGGAGGCTCCCTCGCGCGCCCTGCAACGCGGTCCGCGAATCGTCGGAGCCGGCCAGCTGGACGAGACGCAAATCGTGCTGAAGCGATCGGGCCCTCCACCGTACCAACAGCGAGCAGGATGGCGACCGCGAGGACCCGAAGACTTTGGCGACGGCGGCGCGTTCCCCGAAATACCGATTGCTCAGTACCCGCTGGACATGGGGAAGAAGGGCGCGACGACCAGCAACGCGCTCGCCATCCAGGTCGACGGCGAGGGCAAGCTCGATTACGGGGCCATTGCGCGTCAGGGCCACGCCGAAAACCGAATTGTTCATACCTCGTTCAAGGATCTGATTCCCCTCCGTCAGCGCGCTGAAGCGGGAGAAATCGACCTGAGCCGGCCGAGTCAAGAGGAGGTGGAAGCGACGGCGGAAAAGACGAAGAATGCACTGGCAGCGCTGGTCAGCGGCGCCGTGGCCGCCCAGAAGCCGAAGACGCTCAGCGTCGGAAAGCGAAACGATCCTACATTTGTGCGGTACACGCCGGCGAATCAGATGGGCGACAATTCAGCCAAGCAAGACCGCATCATGAAGATTGTCGAGCGGCAAAGGGACCCGATGGAGCCTCCCAAGTTCAAGCACAAGAAGATCCCTCGCGGACCGCCTAGTCCGCCTCCTCCCGTCTTGAGATCGCCGCCGCGGAAGCTGACGGCCAAGGACCAGGAGGACTGGCGCATCCCCCCGCCGGTCTCCAACTGGAAGAACCCCAAGGGTTTTACCGTCCCCTTGGACAAGAGATTAGCGGCCGACGGACGCGGACTTCAGGACGTGGCGATCAACGACAAGTTTGCGCAATTTTCCGAAGCGCTGTACGTCGCAGACAGACACGCTCGCGAGGAGGTCAGGCAGCGCGCGGCCATGCAACAGCGCCTGGCAGAGAAGGAGAAGGCGCAAAAGGAAGAGAACCTCAGAATGCTGGCCCAGAAGGCTCGCGAAGAACGGGCCGGTAGCGGCAGACGAGACTCACGATCACGGTCACGGTCACGGTCACGCAGCTACAGCGGCTCAGACTCGGAAGACTCGGAGGGGTCGGAGGACTCCGAGATCCGAGAGAGAGAAAAGGCACGAAAGGAGAGGATGCGCGAGGAGGAGAGAAAGCTTCGTCAGTCACGTATGGGTGCTGAGAGGAGGGTCCAGGTTATGGCGAGAGAGCAAAACCGCGACATTTCGGAAAAGATTGCCCTGGGTCTCGCTAAACCTACGCAGTCCAAGGAGACCATGTATGACTCGAGACTGTTTAACCAGTCGAGCGGCTTCGACAGTGGTTTCAACGAGGACAACCACTATGACAAGCCACTTTTCGCCGCGCAAGAAGTAATCAGCAGCATTTACCGGCCGCGAGCCAATATGGACGACGAGGAAGACGAAGCGGCGGGTGACAAGGAGATGGCCAAGATTCAGAAGACCAGTCGGTTCGGCGAGGCTTTAGGTAGGGGGACGTTCAAGGGCACGGAGGATGTCGAGGTTAGTACAGCGATTCGAAAGAGGGCAAAGGGCAGTGCTAACAAATACTTCACACAGGCGCGAGAGGGACCAGTGCAGTTCGAGAAGGACGCCGGGGACCCTTTCAACGTGGACAAGTTCCTGTCCGAGGTGGAGCAAAATTCGTCGTCCAAGAGGGGATACGGTCTGCAGGACGACGATTCCCGGCAGCCGAAGCGGGCGCGAGTAGAAGAGGATGATGATTAAACAAGGCTGTGGAATTTTTACCAATATGGCCGAACACAGCTTTTGGGAAATTTTTGGGTTTGTTGTACGACATGGCAGGGAATTTTTTTTGGAACTGGCATCGAGATGGGTGTCCTCATTCGGAGCATCGGAAACAGCCACACAAACTGCAAAACTGCAGGGCATAATGCAGAAAAAGCAGAATCAGAATTCGATTGAGCCTAGAGACGTGGTGAAGAAACAGTGGATGCTTGCGTAGACTCGTGGCCTTGTGTTTGAGGGCGAATTATGTCGAGTGGCTTGAAGCCGACTGGGTGAGTTCGCAGCGACGCTGATTGTTTCAAAGAGGGCGAATTCATGCGGACCTTTTCATCGGACTGGTGCAACTCATGCTGTTCAGGACAAAGCCGAGAACCGGACGAGACGGGAGCATTTTGGCATTTGTACTGGCTGGTCTGGGTTGACAGGCCCTTGGGTCGGTAAAACTTGTCAGAGTGGGTGTCGGGCAAGTGACAGTCGTGACCGCCGAGGGGCACGTCGCGAGTTGCCATTGGTCCACTGGCTTCTTGGCCCGGGTGTGTGCAAGATTCAAGATATCAGGCGAGCCCAAGGGGTGAGTTGAGACGAAGATCAGGCAGGGTGGGAAACATGGTGGTAGCTGGAGCATTCGACGGTCCGGGCCTGTATTCAAAGTCCGTAGTTTCTCGGGCAGCCTTAATTGACAGGTTTTTTGATGAAACAGTCATCCACTTGCTCTCGTGGTTTAAGCTCCGAGGCGGAGACTTTTGCCAATGCCTTGGTTGTGAGCCAACCAGCGTTGGATAACGTGACGGTTCATGCTTTCGGGAGGGACGGGAGTTGAAAGGGTGCTTGCGAAGGCGGGTTACCGGGAACTATGAAGTGAGGAGAGTTGGTGTTTTGTTTGAGGCTCTGTGAGACGAGAGGGAGGGAGGAGAGCATCAGAAGGGCAGGAGGAGAGGGAGGGAGAGGGAGAGTTAGAGAATTATGGTAAGCTTAAATCTGTTCAACCACAACGGGGAAAGTTTACAGGGTTTGCAAACAAAGGGTGCAAATATTTAGGCTTCATGTTCGCATCACGAACATACCTTTGCGCCTGCGGCTGGTCGCATGCAGTTCCAATGTTCACTCGACCCCTCTTACTCCCGATGATTAGGCTTACAGATTTTGAAAGGCGTTGATCAGTCCTCTTAATCCTATCTTACAAGGTGATTGGAGGGGCGTTATAGGGGCGGCACGCCGAACCTGATCGGAATTCGAATGGGAGGACTTCCCAGGCGCAGATCAATCACAAAATGGTTCGCCGCACGTCAGCAGTCGATCCTTCAATGCGACTAGCTAGGTACGTGGGCAGGCTGTGACACGTTGACTACCTGGCGGCTGTTCCGTCTATTCTTGCTCCTTCACTCGTTTCTTAATCTCCAGTCCTATTCTACATTCTGAGGATCATGCTCTCGATTAGGTTCTACGAGAAATCCCCTCTGGATGAAGGAAGTACGGGCATGAGACGAGGGCTGATATCTGGCTTTCTTTCCATAGCCCGAAAACCAGGGTCTTGCCAAAGTCCTTCAATAATTCGGGAAAGGATCACCGACATCGGGTCGAAGAATCAAGCAGGAAGAAAGAGGAGACACCCACTCGACATAGTTCTCGGGCGTTTTGACATAAAAAAGGCAACGCATACGACCAAGGTAGCTGCGTGAGCCTCCTCCTGTCGCCAAGCCCTTTAGTGCGGATGTGCCTGGGTTCGGCATCCAAGCCGGGCACCCCTTGATGCGAGAGCCAAGTTTGGCTCCTCCCAACTTCAACATCCCAGATCCAATGCAAGGTGTGTCACGACAACCAGCGAGCGTCGGCGTGCATCCGCTATGGGACGCTATGAAGCATTCATCCTGCCGGGCTGCTTCATCTGACATGGACTCCAACCCTTTTTCTATCTCTTCATCTCGTGCGTCGACGAAGACTTCGGATTCCCGCTCATTTGACACCGACGTCTGCCACCATCGCCCGCGCACCAAAGACAACAACGAGATGCCGTCCGAGAGCCGAGGCAGACCACTGACATTAACACTTGGAGAACGCACTCGCACTCGTTCGCTCTCTCCCATCCAGAGTTCTTCGTCTCGAGACTCCAACATTCGGGCTGAGGGCAGCCCTGCCTCGAACTCTAACGCTGGGCACGCCCTTCCAACTAAAGTATCTCTCTCTCTCGAGTTGTCCATCTCTCTCACTGCGACGCAGGCCGAGCGAGCCCGGCCTCCCATCCAGACCCATGAACCCCAGCTTTGTCTCCAATATCCATCCCATCTATGTTTCTTGTCTTCTTCGATCCCTGCCACGGCAACGCTGCAGGCACCCCACTCTGGATGTGCTGTCGGTGTCCCTCCCCTCCCCTTTCGCCGTTTCCCTAATATCCCGAGGGTTGTCCCTGCCTCGAAGGCATGAACAAGAAGCTTCTTCCCAGACACGACACCCCGCACGCACCGGCCAGCTTGCAGAGACAGCATGACTTTTGACAGGACTTGACTTTTCCAGCAATGCACCTCGGGTCACTACTCCCCAAACTCCGCTCCCAAGACCTGGCCCGTCAAGGTCGGCAGTCAAATATCCTTGCTGCACACACACACGAGCTCGTTAGGCACCTGTTTGTTAACCTGGTGGATGGTTCCCCCTCCTTGGCAAACTCTTCGGTACCGTCGTCCAGTTTATATCCAAGCCCGTACTTGGCGCCGGCGCGGAAGTGTCAGTCGTTCTCATGTTTCTTTATGCTCGACACCGTGACCCCCCCTGACTTATGTGATCTTCAGGGGATCATCCATTCCTCGGACGCACAGCTGAAGCTCAGTTGCAAAGTAGGCTGTTGCTTGCTTGTTGGGCACCGTGTATCATGTCTCTCCCCCCGCGTCGTCGTGGCCTCTTTAGAAAAAGTTGTCTGTCCGTGAGGAACCACGATCGATGCTTATTTCTCCAGGTTTCCCACCTTCCGCTACTTCATGTGTTACCTCCCTTCTACCCTCCCTTCTCCACCGCATTCTCAACGCCTGTAGGTGCCTCTAGGCCGTGATTGTTACCTTCTTCTTTAATATTCTTATTATAATTTCACTTCACGTCTCTGAGAGGACTACGCCGCTTCACCTACACTACCATTACAACTGAACTAGGGAGGAAAAAAGCATGGCCTCTCTTATCACCACTTGAGTCACCTACCTGCTTTGGGCATACCTACTACGCCATAGTAAGCCCGAACCTGGCACACAGCACCAATACGAACATTTTACGCCCGACGCTCCCATTGCCTTTCTCAAATCCCTGACGCCAGAGAGACGGCATCGACGTACCCTGCAGAGGAAACGCCGGGCTGCCACTCCGTCTCCAACTCCTCCACTAGTCGCCATTGGACCGGTTTGGTGGTCCGCCAGCATACGCGTACATAATACCTATGATAGGCGTAGTCGTCACTCTCTGAAAATCGGGGGGGAGGCGTATCAGCTTGAAGAAAAGATGGTTCCAAATCTGGGGCCAAACACATCGCTCGGCTACACCCCGTTTGAGTACTGGAAGGGTCCCAAACCCGTCATTCACAGACCAAAGCGCAAATCTCGAGCCGTCGCCCTCGACCTCGAGCCGTTACTTCCCACCACCCCGGCCCCGAAGTCTAGAGCGGCCGCTAGGTGGCCTGGCCAACGTCCGCCTGCAGGCGTCTTCGTGGCGCAGCCAGGCACATACAGGGTTCCGCCCAACTTGAATCGCAAGAAGCCTTTTGCAGAGATACTCGTTGTGCCGCCAAAGGTGTTAGTCCACCCACTTTTTCGGGATGAGATAAAGACCCCAGACTGGCCCAGAGGCTTCTCCCCATACCCCGATTCCATAACAGACATGAAAAACTCTTACTACAACGGCGGCATCATGGGCGACTACGAATTCTCAAACGAGCGCCTCGGGCGGAAGACTGCGTGGTGGAATTACAGGGCATGGACGAAGCGGATCTGGGCCGGCGTCGGCGGTGCCGTCGTCGTCCTCATTATCATTATCGTTGCCGTCGCCGTCACACAAACCAACAAGAACCGATATCCCGACTACTCCCAGCTGAAGTACCAGCTGAGTGACACATGTACGGAACCGTGCTCGGAGTCGTCGCCCGTCGCACGATCCCCCGGCTGAATGACCTGAACTCGATCTGATGATAACAGACTCCGGAGAGGACTTCTTCGACCGCTTCAACTATTTCAATACATACGATCCTACGGCGGGTGCGGTTCACTACGTGGGCGCCGCCGAGGCCGCAAGCAGGGTATATACATTTTCCCATCTACTACTTCTTATCCTTCACTGGAACCACCGGGCTGAGAACCAAATCCTCGTGAAAAGAACCTCACCTTCGCCACATCATCCACCGCCGTCCTTCGAGTAGATCACACCACTGGCAACACCTCAACGCCCGACGCCTCGACGGGCCGCTTCTCCGTCCGCGTCGAGTCCAAGACGCAGTACGACAAGGGCCTCTTCATCTTCGACGTGAAGCACACCCCCTATGGCTGCGCGAGCTGGCCGGCGCTCTGGTTCTCGGACTCCAGCAACTGGCCGGCCGCCGGCGAGATCGATGTCATGGAGGCCATCAACCAGGGCACCCACGGCAACCAGATGACGCTGCACACGACGTCAGGGTGTGAGATGAGCGTGAAACGCAAGCAGACGGGCTCGACACTGCAGTCGGACTGCAAGAACACGACAAACGGCAACGCGGGGTGTGGCGTCGAAGGCAAACCGTCGACATACGGATCTGCTTTCAATGACGCCGGCGGCGGATACATGGCCATGGAGTGGCGCGACGAGGGCATACGCGTATGGCAGTTTGCGAGGGATGTCATCCCCTCCGACATCACGGCCGCCACGTCGCCTGACCCCAGCACCTGGGGTGAGGCCCTTGCCGACTTCCCCAACACGGCGTGCAACGTGGGCTCTCACTTCAAGAACCAGTCGCTCATTATCAACATTGACGTGTGCGGCACGCTTGTCGAGGCCAAGTTTGCCCACTCTGGGTGCGGCGGGACCAGCTGTTCGGATTTCCAGGCCAACAACCCGGACGCATTTAAGACGGCGTACTGGGAGTTTGGGGCCTTTCACTTTTACACTGCGTCGTGAGTGTGCAGGGTAGATGATCATAACGAAGAAGTGGGAGACCAAGCAGAACCAAGACTAGGGAAGGAAAAAAGAACTATACGAGATGAGATGAACCAAGGATGCCACAAAGGCAGGAATCCTGGTGGCATGTGATCGTGATGGGATCCGATCTATGGCTGTTTGAGTTAGGTGAGAGCCAGCAAGGTTTTCTCGCACATGTTGTTTAGCTTCATTCCCTCCTGGATTGATGCTTGAGATTAGTAGAATAACCTACCAGACCCGGAAAAAAAGTGGGGGAAGGCGGTTGGGGTTTATAATGAAGGAGGAAATAGCACTCGCAGTGCATCCATCAAATTAAACGGCCAGATTCTTTCTACTCTTCTAGACAAGGCCAAATCTATAAATTACAAATCTATTCTTGACGAAATAGTAGTGTCTATCCGCCTCAAACCTGAATAGAATCGTCCCGCCCAGTCGAACCGTCGATGGCGTGCGTACAGCAATGTACACACACCCTACCTCATGGAAAACCCAAAGTGGAGAGAGTTTGTAGCATCTATATCGTCTTCCCCTCCCAAAGAAAAAAATAAACCAGCAGGATGACCATCCGGTAACGCCGTGCAATGCAAAACATCCTCCGTCCACCTTTTTTTGTTGGTACATGTACAGACAGAGGGACGTGGAGTGACTTCCGTACGGTCAAAACAGACCGTCGTCCCTCGAGACGGAAAGCAAAAAGGGGGGAGGGAGGGGGGAGGACAAGACCAAATCGGCTCATCTCAGCCCCCGTAAACATCCCTCCCATGGTCCTCTCATGTCCGTATCGCCTTTTGCAACCCCCCCCCCCCCCCCCCCCCCCCCCCCCCCCCCCCCCCCCCCCCCCCCCCCCCCCCCCCCCCCCCCCCCCCCCCCCCCCCCCCCCCCCCCCACCCCCCCCCTCCTCTCCTCTCCCTCCCCCTCCCCCCCCCCCCCCCCCCCTTTCCCTCCAAACTCACCAACATCCCCTCAACCCCCTCACTCATCGCTGGGCTGCCTCATATAAGCATCAATAGCAGCACTAAACGCCGCAAACGCAACACACCCACCCAACGCAGCCTGCGGCCCGGCATTCTTGGCCAGGATCCCGCCCGTCAGACACCCCGCCGCGACGCCGTTGGCCAAATCGTTCTTGGCCCGCAACCCCTCGATCCCGCACTCGATGCCCGCAAACAGCGCGCCGACTTTGCCAAAGTTCTTGGCCATCCCGTACGATCGCGTGCCCATGTCCTTGAAGCCCACCCGGAGCTGCTGGCGCAGCGGCAGGTCCGCGATCGGCGTCACCGTCGTTTGGCCCGCTGTCGTTGCTGTGTGGAAGGGGGTGTCGTAGGACATCTGTTTTGGAAATAACCCCAGGTCAGTCGAGATGCCCGTTTACGTGGGAAAGAAGAGGAAGAGGGGAGTCGTGGGGAGATGTGGAAAGGGGAGGGTTCAATCGTACAGATGCCATGAACATGCCAAACAATCCTCCCATGCCGAAACCCATGACGCCGGACATGATGCTCTTCGTGAAGCAGTTCTCCATAAAATTGGTCATCTAATGCATGCCGCGTTAGCAGATGGCCGTTCCGTCAAAAGGCCGCCTCCAACGTACAGCCTTCATCTCAGGGTCCGGAGGGCCCAGCGCCGCCGCGGCGCCTGGAGATCCGCCTTGCGACTCTTGGGGAGGCATCGCACCGCCGCCCGGGAAAGCCATTATGTGTGATGTAGAGATTAGGACTGTTGGTTGTGGATTCAAGGAGAGTGCGAATCGATTGGATTACGCCGATGAAGCGTTCGCGACGCGTAGAGTAGAAATGCGCCAGGGTTGATGGATCTTGGATATTTCTGCCAGCAAATACCGCCCCTAATTAGGCACTTGTTCCTGAATGCGCCGATGGCAAATTTATTCCACGGTCTCGCGAGGTACCTCTTATCTTATCGGTGGAGCACGTGCAAGATCCCCCCCCCCCACTCACCCGGTTTGTTCGACTGACCGACCTCCGAGCGGGCCATCCCGAGTTCAAGTGGGGCAAAACGCCGGGTCTTCTCCGGATTCCCACCTGTGCTTCATGGCGGCGGCTTCACTGGCGACTGGGACACCGAGGGGGGCACGGGGTCAACGTCACAAAAGTGCACAACCCTCGTTGCCAATGTATCACGTTATGAATATTCTCCACCTCTTTTGGAAAGCGAGCTACATGGATCCTGGTTTCTATCGGAAGAGCATGTTAATCATAGGCCCGCTGCGATCCTTGCTTGGCATGTCATGAAAATGTCCCTCGACGCAGACAAGCATGAAACGAGACTCGACCTGCTTGCTGCTGTAGACCTTGTAACCACGGAAATAATGCTCCTCCCTGGTATCACCACGGCGCACCGATATCGATTCTGGATGTATCGAACAAAACTCTAAATCCTCTTGATACTACGTTCCGCCAGCATCCAAGACTGCAGAAGACTGGTCCCCCATGAATTACCGCAAAAACAGGTCACCAACGCCGTTTCTCAGCGTTCGCGTCCTGTCAACATGGTCGAGGCCGAGATAATCATCGTCATTCGTCGCAACGTTCCACAACTCGTCATCTATGCATCTGTCAGCAATGCAAAAACCGAGTGGCTGATGCAAATACGTACCATCGTTAAGGTATTGTGGCTTAGAGAAGTGGGACCTCTTCACCACCGCGAACTTGATCTTCTCGAAACTCTTACCCTTGATACCAGTCCGCTTCTCCAAACGCTTCTTGGTATCCAAGAACTTTTCACCCTGTCATATTGTTAGTGTTCTGCAAAGCATCATTTGGGATGCGATACATACCTCAACGAGCATGAACTTGAAAGGTACGCCGTGAACCCTGCTGGGCTCGTTCTGGAAATGGAACACTTGGATAAAGTTGCTCGCCTCTTCGTCGTTGATCTCTTCCTCGGGTACCCGTTCCGCGAAAACATTGGTGTAGTCGTTCATACTAATGACGGGGTAATCACGCTGGAGTTCGCGGTAGAACTTGTGACTGCTGGTTTCGTACACGCGAATGCGGCCTCCCTCAGTCTCGTCGGGAATGGCAGCCTTCTGGACCAAGACTTGAATCAGGTCCTCAATGTTACCGTTCTTGGCCACGAGGAGATCGAATTGTTCCTGGCGTCTGGTCAGCATCTCAAAATACCACCGAATCCTCTGCTGTAACTCACCTCTTTCGTGATGCCTTCACTGAGCCAAGTGATCTTAATGCTCTTCTTGGTATCCAGCTCAGCCAAGCTCATGTCCAATACTTCAAAGTAAAAAGCATCCGTTCGTTGACTAGAGCTCAATTGGTTGTATCCAGAGGGGTTCAGGATGAGTTGCAGGCTTTGGTTGACACCACGCTTGACAGTCGTCTTGGGGTTACCTGTTGCCGAGTTGACGGTCCAGAAGCGGATGTGTGTTGGGTCGACTTCGAGCCTGTCGCCGACGCGGTCTGCAAGAACATCGTAACTGATCTTGGAATTCAAGACCAACTCGAAGGGAGGGAATCTCTCGGCGTTGCAGCGTGTCGGATGCGCGTGGAACTTCACGGTCTTCTTGTTGTGGAGGAAGTCGTAATATTCGCGTGCATCATCGAAACGGTCAGCCTTCTTAGCAGGCTCTTCCGCCGTCTGCTTATCGCCCAAGCCCAAACGCTTCTCGAGGATGTTCCTGTCGCCCTTGCGCTCTGTCGTCTTCTGGAAGCAAATGATGTCGCCGTCCTGCAGTTCCGCGGCCTTGAGAGACTGCTTGGCCTTCAAGGCCTCGATCATTGTCGGCTTGATTTCCTGGAAATAGTCAGCGAAGTCTCAAATTGCACACCATGATTGAAGAGCTTACCTCCCAAAGCGAAATCTTCTCGTCGCCTGGCAGTTTTTCGCCCCATCCCATCCTCTTCATGATGATCGGGACCAGTTCCTCAACCTTCTTCTCCTTGCTGATGTAGACGTGGCCGATGCCATGAAGCGATTGGGCCTCAACATCAAAGTGCTTGAGGAAGATGAGAATGAGGTCGTTCTTCACGACAACGCCATTGAGCTGGCCTTGGTAGGTCGGCCACACTGCCTCGCCCTCTGGCGTAGTCTCTTCTGCCACTTCGGCCCAGACTCTCAAGAACTGATCCCGGTGTGCAGCGGCCCTCTGGAAGCACTCCTCCACCGTAGGTCGCAGATCCATGATGGGCTGGTCGGGGCGGATCGTTTTGTTTTGGCGATTGACCATGATCCAAAGGCGTACCTTTCGAGGGTCTTGCTCGAGGTCCGTCGCGATGGTACCCACCAGATCCTCCATTGTCGAAGCTCTCAGCACACGATACGAGCGAGGCGCCGCATCGCCATCGGCCTGGTCCGCGTCAAACGACGTCAAGTCTGTGCCGCCGTGGTTCTTAAAGGTCTGCTCTGTGATGACCTTCACGCCGATGTAGAGATGTTGCTCCTCCTTTTCCTTACGCTTCGCCTCTCTGAGAGCAGTCTCTTCGTCGAACTTTGAGCGCAGGTGAAGAGGGATGTCCTCCTTGGAGACTGGGCAAAGAATGTTGTTCAGGCGCGACTGGCGGATGTAAACCAGCATGTATGCGCTGTTCTGGCGTACGACTGGGGCCTTTTTCTGAAGAGGTGCCCGCAAGTGGTTGGCGGGGTGCGTTTTGTATTCTCCGCCAAAGTTCTCCTCAAGCACCTCACGCATCGTGGCTCTTGTGACCTTATCATCGTCGTACTTGTAGAACCATCCGTCCTTTTCGGGCTTGATGAATGCGTAGTAGTGGCCAGCGTTCAAGTCACCGCTGTGAACGAGCACGCTGTGAAGCTGGTACGTCCATGACTCTGATTTGTCAGCATCCTCAGTCAGGTACGGTGCTGCGTCAAAGATCTCTGGGAACTCGTATCGATCGTTGATCTTCATCATCGTGTCTCGTTGAATATCGTATTCGAATCGCTTCAGCTGCAAGTGTAAGACGTTGGGGAAGCTCTGGAAAATGACACCCTTGTTGGCATCCTGCAGCTTGAACTCGTCGCCAGCGTAGTACTGGTTCTCGCCGTCCATCTTCTCGACCTGGACGTAGTCCTTGAAACTGTCCAGAAGGTTCTTGTTGCCGCTGACATTGAGCTGGATGTCCCAGAAGTCTTCGACTCGGCTGGACTCGTAGTCGACATTGACGCAGGAGATGTAGGTCTTGATCTTACCACTGAACATCTCCGGGAGCACGTGCTCAGCTGGGGTACCCTTCATCTTCTCTTCCATACGCTCCATCAGCTTTCGCGACAACTCCTGAACATCCTGCTGCTCAAAAATGTGCCGTGTTTCCCAGCCAAAAGATTTGGTCAGCTCATTCGTTCCGACGGCCTGCTCGGAGGTCTGCAGTTGGTAAAAGAGACGTTGCAGAGTGTAGGCGCTGTTGCCCATGCTCTCTTCGTGGTCTGTGGGAATTTCGTAAATGGCCTGCAGAAAGTTAGTTTGGACACAAAAAGCAAATTGCGGGTCTTGCTACTGTACTTTTCGGAAAGCGTTGGTAAAGTACAAAGATTGAAGAAGAGAGTTCAGATAGCAAGTGGCGCCTTGGTTGCGTAGGCCGACGTAGCCTGTTTCCTTCTTTGAGTCGTAGTTGTTGAAGTTGTGCCATAGAACACCCGTTTCGTCTTTGACGAGGCGGAGGTAGGCTGTGATATTGGCAGTCTCGTTCTCGCATAGTGGTCGGCTGCCACCCTCCCAGGGCACGTTGAACATCTTTCTCAGCTCGAGGAACCGGGTGAAGCCCCAGTCTGACTCCTCCTTAGTGAATCGATGGTGCGCCGTGTGGTGGGTGTAAAGAGTCGGGTCGTTCGGGTTCCATAGCACAAGCGCAAACTGCACACAGCAGCTCCAATTCTCGGGGATGTTGGTAGGCTCAAATCCGTGCTCAAGGTAAATCGAGCACTGGTCGACATTGTTACCGTGAGGGAAGAGAAGAATGCGCCTAGGGAAAGTGTAAGCAAAGCTACCGAAGAGGACCATTCCTGAGTATGGAGATGGCGTACCATGGAAAGCCGCCGGCCTGGAAGACGGGGCCATGTTCCTTCTTCGACATTGACCGCCATGCCTCGACAGTCCATGTGTTGACTACGTCTTCGAGCACTTCGGGCTCTTCGTGAAGGTGCGGAAAGATGACATCCTTCATAGCATCGACTACCCCGAGTTAGCCGGCGCGCGGTCTGGAAGGGTTGAGTGTGCCTACAGTCATTTGCCAGAGGCAGGTCCTGCAGCTGTTCGGCCTCATTGTCGAGGTTGTCAGGGTTGATGATGGCGATGGGCTCCTTCTCCGAGTCGGTGCCGCCGACGTACTCGTCAGTGTCCACCACCATCTCGTTCGGCGAGTGGATGTCGTTGTTGTAGCTCTGGAATAATAGACTTGGATCAGCTGAAGTAGCGAGATGATATTGAATACAGTAGGAGGAGAGTAGCTAGGAGGTGATGTGGTGTGGTAGGAATAGAAATAGAGACGGGGGCAGCAAAGAGCTTGGCTGGCCTGATGGCGGGGTATCGATTGTTGCTTGGATTCCAAGCAGTCCAAGCTGAAGCATGGGGGATGGAGGCGATGCAAAGTCGTGGTGATGACGAAGCCCGGCAAGGAAGTGAGGGTAAGAGGGGCAGAAGGAGAGTAGTCGCTTTGTCTAGAAGGCTTACCATGGTCTATGTGCAGCGGGATGAAGGGAAGTGCGAGAGGAGCCGATGCCGTTGCCAGTCAGGGAAAAGCAGCAGACTGGCGATTTGCGCCAGGGCTGCTTCGATGACGGAGTGGGTGCCGCAGAGGCAGGTAGGCGACAAGCGACAGGCGATACAAGGGTGAGCGGCAGGCTGCGTTATGGACCCAGGAAATGGCGGGTGCAACGAGCAATTGTGCCTTTGGAGGATGGAGCAAGTCGTGACAAAATGTTGGTGAGGAAGAGATCTTGCATGAACAAAAGACAAGACCAGGAAGGTGGAGGCGGGCTGGTCCAAGCAGGTGCGGAACCTAGAGACAGGTGCAAGGTCGGTCGGCAAGGTGAGGTGAGGTGAGGTAAGGCAAAGAAGGTGCACTGTAAGGTAAGGTACGTACAGGTGCTGCCGCTGGCAACTGGAAGTGTGGACACGAGGCAGTGGAGAGCACCTCAGTCAATGGATGGGCAGGTTCCTTACCTACTCAGTAGAAGGGTCACAGTCAGCCCGCCCTTTTTCTAGTGAATGGGAGCAGTGAGGTGGCTTTGCACCAGTATCAGAACAGAGCATGCAAACCTAATCTAGGTGATTGTCTATTTGTTAGTCGCTGTGGAGAGATAGATTGGAGGGAGGTGAGGCGCAGTGCAGCATCAGCAGTACCAGACAGACAGGCCCTTGGGAGAGGCCTTCGTGCCAAAGTAGACGGGATTGCTGGAGTGGTTGGGTCTGAGGAGCAGTGAACTGACATGAGTGATGGCGTACGTCAGCTAGATGTGTTAGTGGTTACTATTGAGACTGCGATGTTGTCTTAACAGAACCTGGGGCAAACTAGTAGACAATTGATCCCGTCTGTGTCGTGGACAAGGCGCCCCGCTATCCAGGCTCAGGACCTTTTATGCCGGACAGCTGGGGCAAAGGTGGGCTTGCGTGTAAGGTACTTCACCTGCTGCTCTAGCGCAGCCAGTCAGTGAAGCTGCTCTCCGGCACAAGCTGCACCTACCCAGCCCGAGATGCTCCTTGCCCTTCTGATTGGGGAAGAAAGCCCCCACTCCTCCAATGACGTTTCCGTGACTGAGGTGTGCCAACAGAGCTGGCCCAATCCAGTTTCCTTTCACCTATTTCCCAGACCTGACATTGGTGATGTGATTGATGCCGGCGGGTTTGTCTTTTTAACATCTGATCGACTCAGTTCATCTTAGCCTTGCATGTCAGCCACCATTTCTTAGTTTCCCCCAAACATCCAACTTGGCCAAACAAGGCTGAACCACCAGATAGCCAAACATCCGGGATTCACCATCTTATAATACCAAGGCGGTGTCTAAGATAGCTTTGCAACCGCGTCTCATCGCCTGAAACTTGGATCCAGACGCCTAGTCTCCTTTGGAGATGTGATAGATTTTTGCAAGTTGCGGCAGAGTGGACACTGGACACTGAGTTTATTTTCGCCAAATAACCAGTGATCTCCCTCTGAGCATGGCTCTTTGAGGCCAACAACCTCTGTGTGGTTTGCTCCTCTACGGAGAACTACCAGCTATGAGCAAACTATCCACAAGGTACATCCAATGGGATTCGTGTTTCACTTACGCGGGCAGTCTGAAGAAGTAAATTCGGCCGAAGTGAGCATTGACAGCTTTTGCGCCTGATGCCTTAGTCACTGACTGGTCGCTCAACTCATCCGATATGTGGATGTCCCAAGAGCCTGGCTCTTATGCTGGGCTTCGTTTAGTTTCCGCGTCGGGGACTTCTGGTACATATGTGGTTATTCCACAAGAAAGAATCATCTTTCCTACGGTAAGTCTTGACAATACCATCATCATTGATTCGAGGGGTGCAATTGATGATCAATTCAATCTACAAGGGTTTGGACACTTTTGTCACTTCGTCCCTCTGCTTAATTACCCGTTCTCCAAGTCGTTGCTTTCTACCATGGCCCTTCTGCCATACCGGGGATGACCAGGTCAACATGAAAAGTCAAGTCAAAGAAAGGCGATATAATCCATCTTCTAAAATCAGCCGTCCCTATTTCCGTGAGTAACAAGCCACGCCCTCGCAAACTGAATGTAGTATTTAGCATACTCTGTATCGATTAATATGTAAGGTTCCTTAGTAACCTCCCCACTTTTGCCAGTGTGCCCCTCCATCCGAGTGCAGCACGGCTTCCGAGGCAGATTATATCCCCAGGCCCCTTGGACCCGTGCATTCGCAACAGCGCCCAACGGATGCGTGCTTCTATCCTATCAGAGGTGTCCTCATTTACTCCGCAGACAACCCTCACCGGGAAAATAGAATCACATCCCACCTCAGGTACTCACATAAATTCAGACCGACGCGCCATCGTAGCTTTGCACACCGCCAGGTTGTGTCCCGTTTCAAGTAACAAAACGTCTGCCCATAAATCAGGCACTGGAGGCATAGAACATGTGTTTGAGCCGTCTGTGTTTCCACCATTTGAAACTCTGTCACGGTTAATAGGGCCGTTTGAACGAATCCACAAACTCAGGTGGCAGCTGAGGTAAGCTTCTTTCTCCGGCTCTCCTCATGAACGCTTAACCGCAGCAAACATATTGGTGAAGGGAAATTCTTCACAGTTTCCCGTGCTGTAAATGCTGACCGAACATTGTCATCGGACTAAACCCGCTTCCCAACCTGGCAGAGACGGGAGGGCCAGGCGGGAGGGTGCCACGGGCTCCTCCAGATCAAGCTGGAGCTCGCGCACGGCAGGGCCCCAGAGGGGAGGTGGATCTCTGGCCCCTCGACAGGCCCAATCAGGGCACGTCGTTTCTGGCGCTGGACATATAGAGCCAGGGATGCCCGTTGCGGCAGTCCGCAGCATGGTGCGCCGATTCCGCAGTGTCGGGTAGTTCCAGACCCTGCAAGGTAGCAACCGCCAGCCATTCTCGATGCGAGAGTCATCCAATTTGTCGACCGGTCACGCCCTCGAGACAGCTTCAACAGCTGCCCAACCAGCCCTCGCCATATAACTACTGCCTCAATCAAAATCGCTCATATATCACCCCGTCTTGGGAGCAGTTCCGTCCAAGCAGCTACTGCTCCTCTTGCAACTTCATTGCCCGTTTTATAACAAAAGCTCTTTCTTTTTTTTTTTTTGCCCAACCTCTCATTCGTATGGAATTTACGGCATGGTGTCCATCGCATTGCAGCATGCCGGTAGACGATGCAGACTGACATCGGCCCCTAGGAGGGTATCGCTGCCCACGCCCGGGAGGCTGCGTGAGAACGGCGTCTCGTCATCGCCATGGCGTTCAATGAGCAGTTCCACTTGGAGACCGGTGTCGGTCCTAGACGAGTGCGCCCTTCCCGCCTGTGGGAAAAACGTCACATGCTAAAGACTTCTGCTAGATGGGTTGTGAAAGAGGCCCGCCCGATCAGCTTGCGCCAGCTCATGGTTTTCGGCCGCTCCCTTACTGAATCACGACTCTTGAGCTCTGCGAACTATGTTCGAACTGAGCTGCCGGCTCGGTAGGTTGCCCTTCCCCTGCGTACTACTTCGCCTCGCAAGCGGTCAGGGACTGACGTTGCAATAGATTAGCGCATCGTATCCGAGATATGCAACAACTGCCCTACGTCGTCGTCACGAACCCCCACATTAAAGAAGTCTACGAATTATACAACACTGCATTCGATACCTTTCGCAAGATCAAGGAGATCAAGACCCTGGAGGAAAACGAAAAATTCTGCCAAGTCATCAGCGGGATGCTCAAGGCGCACCTCACTGTCATACCCAAGCTATCCATGGGCATCTTGGAAAGCAGAGGCAGCATGGACGCCAAGGATCTTGACAAATTTATGAATACCGTTTTGCGATCTGTAAGTCTTCGCGAGTCTACGACCCGCTGACTGACGCCTGCATAAACTAACTTACGCCCACGCAGAGAATATCTAGAAGGGTCATTGCAGAGCAGCACCTCGCCCTCACCGAAACCTACCACTCCCCCTGGTTCTCGCCGGGTGCAAAGCTCTCCGAGTCGGAGTTCATCGGCGAGGTCTTTATAAAGTGCATCGCAAAGGACGTCATCGAGCGCTGCACCCGCGCCGTCCAGAGCCTCGCCCGTTCCACCTACGGCCAGGACGTCCAGGTCCCCGAGATCAAGGTCGAGGGCCACCTCGAGTCCAGCTTTCCCTACATCCTGAGCCACCTCGAGTATATCATCGGCGAGCTCCTACGTAACTCCGTCCAGGCCGTCATAGAGCGACGGCAGAGCGGTAAGGCCAAGGACGACGGGAGACCCCCGCCCCCCATCGAAGTGACCATCTGCGAGGCGCAGCACCACGTCATCATCCGCATCTCCGACCAGGGCGGCGGCATCCCGCACGAGGAGCTCCCCTACCTCTGGTCCTTCTCAAAGGGTCCGCAGAGCCAGCGCCGGCTCGAGAACCTCGGCCGCGTCCCCAAGCTGGCCGCCACCATGCAGGAGCTCCACGTCTCGGACGAGCTGGGCCGCGCCGACATGAAGACCCCCACCAACCATCACAACCATAACCACGGCAACTCCCTCGCCTCCATGACGAGCCGGCCGCCTGATCTGCGGTTGGGTATGGGCTTGCCCCTGAGCCGAGTCTACGCCGAGTATTGGGCGGGCAGCCTCGAGCTACACAGCCTCGAAGGGTACGGAGTGGACGCCTTTCTTCAGATTTCGAAGCTGGGCAATAAAAACGAGCAGTTGACTACCAGGGCGACAATGGATGCAGTATAAGTGTTAGAAGCGATTTTCAGACATGGGGCAAAGGCGGCGCAATTGTAACGATACCAACCGGCGACACACAATAGGAAATATTTCGGGGACAGGAGCACATATTACACACAGGTAGCACTTTGATGCAAACACACACATGAAACAGTTGGGATTATAGACGCCTTTCTCATTAATTTTGGTATCATGAAAAGGTGAGCTGGATTACATCGTGACTAAGAAACAGGGGGGGTAACTAAACGGGAAAAAAAGGGGTAACAGGTTGTTTTGGAAAGAAGTGAGCTCCCAACGTAACGTCTATTTCATACCATACCCAGAGGGCATGCTTTGTTTTTTTCTTCCTATTTTCGACTTGTAGTGAAGACTTTAGGCTCAGACAGGCGATTCAGCCAATGAGTCGTCGAACCCATTGTGACGAGCTAGAAGCTAGCATATCCATGATGACGGGTCAAGAAGATGATGTTCCTGTGGGTCGGTGCTTTCGATCCCCGAATAGAAGAAATAAAAGGTAAGTGTCGAGAATCCAGCAAGCACCAATTGCCCAGGAATAAACCGCTCAAAAATCGAGGGGAACCTCTCATGTTCGAATGCCCTTAGCGGCGACCGTGGCTGCGGACGGCGCTTCCCTGCATCTGCTCCAGTTCGGTCTCCAGCTGCTTGATCTGGGCGTGGGTCTGCTCGAGATCCTTGTTGAGGCGGTCACGCTCAGCAATGAGCTTCTGCTCCCACTGGCGGAAGCGCTGCTCCTCGATCTTGACCTGCTCGGTAAAGCGCTTGCGGAGCGCCTCCTCTTCCTCCTTGAACTTGGGGTTGTCGAGCTTCCGAGGACGGGCCTCGCCGAACTTGCGGGTCTCCATTTGTTGGGCGCGGTAGGCCTCGTAGTGAAGCTCCTCGGTGGTGTGGATGAGGTCGAGCATGTGGGTGCGGATGAGGATCGATCGCAGCTTCTTGAAATCGCAGTGGTCCTCGTTCTCGACCTCAGCAACACCCCAAGAGTACTGGCGACCCTTGACGATGCGGCCGTCACCGGTCTTGACATCCTTCTCGGAACCGATGACGGCGAAGGGCATCGCAGCCATCAAGCTGCGGGCGTGCTGAGCAGCGGGCTCGTCATCCTCCTCGACGGGGGGCTGGTAGATCTTGATGCTCTGGGCCTCGATGACGGCGCGGATCTGTAGCACCAAACGGTCAGTCTGTTTCCTCTTCACAACCAAGTCGATTCTAACTTACGCGAGCCTTGAACTTGGCCAGGTCCGCAGGGCTAAGGGTATCAGCCTTGGCGATGACCGGGATCAGGTTCACTCTCGAGCAGAGTCTCTTCATAACCTCGATGTCCAGGGGCTTCAGGGTGTGACCGGTGGGGCGAATGAAGTACAAGCAGGTGTGGACACGGAGGTCGATCTTGTCCTGGCGGCGAGGCTGCTGCTCCTGGAGCATGTAGGACTCGTGCTGGTCGTCGAGGAACTCGATGATGGGCATCCAGGAATCGCGGTTGTTGACATAGTCGCCGAAGCCGGGGGTGTCGATAACGGTCAGGCGAACTGTAAGTCGTGTTAATCGTACGATCGACACATTGGGCGTTGGCACGCAGGAGCCATACCCTTGAAAAACTTCTCCTCCAACTCAGCCTTGGTGATCTCGATCTCGACGGTCTTGTCGACCTGCTTCTGGTGACGGCGCTTGTGGTCGGCATAGTTCTTGATGGTCGTGGAGAACAGTGTGTTGATGAAGGTCGTCTTTCCCAGGCCAGACTCGCCCGCAACCTAATAATTTTGTCAGCATTCCCCTGCCTGGAGTATCATGTACTCCGTCACACGAGAATGGACATACCATAATAGTGAAGGCAGCACCTCGCTTGGCGACAATCTTGTGTCGCTGATTAGGGAGGTTGGCGATACCAATCGGTGAAGCGCTCTCGGCGGCGGCGGGGGCCATTTTGGGTGGTATTGACGACTGAACAGCTCAGAACTCGTTATTTATGCCTATGAAAGGGTCGTTGGCCGCAAATTTCGCAATTGAACGCGCGACTGTTTTCGTGATGTGGTTGCGGTGTGGGCGTGTTGATGGTTGAGTTGGGGAGGTTTGAGCTTGTGCTTCAGGGGAATCAAAAGGTGCCACCTCCAAATTTCCCTTCTGGCCTTCTGGGGTTGGGTGGTGCACATTCATTGGGCAAGTCGCAGGGGACTAATTAAGACCCCCTTTTCCTGCCAATCACTCCCCTCTTACCCCCTGGCACTTTCACCAACAGTTTGTCTAGCCTGGAGAGGACTAGAGCACGGGAATTAGGATGAATGATTCCCCGACCCCGCCAAAAAGTTACAGAGCGGCCTTCAATCGATAAGAAAATCTTGGAGAGAATTTCAGTTGCTTCAAGGTGAGGAAATGGGTGCCAATTGACAATGAAGACCGATTTCAAGGTAAGTAAAGCTGTTATTTTCCGTACCTCGCATGCGATTCTAACCCGGTTTTCAAACTCTAGTTTTCCAATTTGCTCGGCACGGTATACTGCCAGGGCAACCTGCTCTTCAGCCCAGATGGCACCCATTTGTTCTCGCCCGTGGGCAACAGGGTCACTGTCTTCGACCTTGTGAAGTATGTCCTGCCTCGAGAATTGGCGCAACTTGGATGTCTCCGTGCTGATTTTTGATTAGCAACAAATCCCATACCCTGCCCTTTGCGCACCGGAAAAACATCTCGCGAATCGGCCTCACTCCTCGAGGAAACCTGCTGCTGTCCATTGACGAGGATGGCCAGGCCATTCTGACCAACGTCCTCCGCCGAATCCCCATCTACCGATTTTCATTCCGCTCTTCCGTCACCGCCCTCTCCTTTTCCCCTTCCGGACGCCATTTTGTTGTCGGTCTGGGCCGCAAGATCGAGGTCTGGCATGTGCCGTCCACACCAGATGCGAACGCCGAAGGAGAGCTCGAGTTCGCTCCATTTGTGAAACACCACACCCACACACAACATTTTGACGAAGTGCGCAGCATCGAGTGGTCCAGCGACTCGCGATTCTTCCTCAGTACCTCAAAGGACTTGACCGCGAGAATATGGAGTCTCGATCGAGAGGAGGGGTTCGTGCCGACAGTGCTCTCAGGACACAAGCAAGCGGTGGTGGGGGCCTGGTTTTCTGATGACCAGGAAACCATTTACACCGTCAGCAAAGACGGCGCCGTGTTCGATTGGAAATACGTCGGAAAGCCGGTTCAGGACGAAGACGAGATGGTGGACGAGGACGAGGACGACATGCGCTGGAGGATCGTCGACCGACACTACTTTATGCAAAACAGTGCGCATGTCCGATGCGCGACCTTCCACCCAGAGTCCAACCTTCTCGTCGCCGGGTTTTCCAACGGAACATTCGGTCTGTACGAACTGCCCGACTTCAACATGATCCACACCCTGAACATCTCCCAGAACGAGATTGACTTTGTGACGATCAACAAGAGCGGAGAGTGGCTGGCCTTTGGCGCTTCGAAGCTGGGGCAGCTGCTGGTGTGGGAGTGGCAATCCGAGTCGTACATCTTGAAGCAGCAAGGCCACTTTGACTCCATGAACAATTTGGTCTACTCCCCCGACGGACAACGCATCGTCACCATCGCCGACGACGGCAAGATCAAGGTTTGGGATACCGAATCAGGTTTCTGCATCGTTACCTTTACCGAGCACACGAGTGGTGTGACGGCCTGCGAGTTCTCGAAGAAGGGCAACGTTCTATTCACATCAAGTCTGGACGGCTCCGTGAGAGCTTGGGATCTCATCAGATACAGAAACTTCCGCACATTCACGGCGCCAACAAGGTTGTCATGGTCATGCATGGCTGTTGACCCCAGCGGTGAGGTCGTCGCAGCTGGATCTCTGGACTCTTTTGACATCCACATCTGGTCCGTGCAAACGGGACAGCTTTTGGATCAGCTCACCGGACACGAGGGTCCCGTGTCGGCCCTGGCCTTCACACCAAACGGCAACTCCCTCGTCAGTGGCAGTTGGGACCGCACCGCAAGAATTTGGTCCATTTTCAGCAGAACGCAGACTAGCGAGCCTTTACAGCTGCAGGCCGATATTCTCGACATTGATGTACGCCCCGATTCGTTGCAGCTGGCCATCTCGACTTTGGATGGCCAGCTTTCTTTCTGGTCCATCACCGATGCCGAGCAGGTGTCTGGACTGGATGGTCGTCGTGACGTCTCTGGCGGACGCAAGCTCACCGACCGGCGGACGGCTGCCAACGTGGCGGGAACAAAGAGCTTCAACACCATTCGATACAGCACAGACGGAAGCTGCTTGCTTGCCGGTGGTAACAGCAAGTACATCTGCCTGTACTCTGTTCATACAATGGTTCTCCTGAAGAAGTACACCGTCAGCGTCAACCTGTCTCTGTCCGGAACGCAAGAGTTCCTCAACAGCAAGCTCCTCACTGAGGCCGGCCCTGGTGGTCTGATTGACGACCAGGGCGAGGCCTCGGACCCCGAGAACAGGAGAGACGACTCCCTTCCGGGTTCCAAGCGCGGCGACCCTTCCGCGAGGAAGAGGATGCCAGAGGTCCGCGTCTCGGGCGTGGCATTCACGCCCACCGGCACGGCTTTCTGCGCCGCCACCACGGAAGGCCTGCTCATCTACAGCCTCGACAACCTCATGCAGTTCGACCCCTTTGATCTCAACATGGAGATTACTCCCGCGTCCACGCTCGCCGTCCTGGAAAACGAAAAGGACTACCTCAAGGCCTTGGTTATGGCCTTCCGCCTCAACGAAGCCGGCCTCATCAAGCGCGTCTTCCTCTCAATACCGCACACGGACATCGCCCTGGTCGTCCAGGAAACGCCCATCGTCTACGTCCCCAGGTTACTGCGCTTCGTCGCGGCCCAGACGGAGGAGACACCGCACATTGAGTTCTGCCTCCTCTGGGTAAAGGCGCTGGTGGACAAACACGGCGCCTGGCTCACGCAGCACAGGGGTAAAGTGGACGTCGAGCTGAGAATCGTAGCGAGAGCCGTCTCGAGGATGCGCGACGAGATCAGGAGGCTCGCGGACGATAACGTGTACATGGTGGATTATCTCTTGGGTCAGGCCAACGAAAAGGAAACGAGCGGTGTAAAAATGCTGGATCTGGCCGCGTTCGACGCCCCCGCCAAGACTTTGGCGATTGGAGACGCGGATGAAGGCCAGAGCGATTCCGATGGAGATGAGTGGATTGGGCTAGAATAAAAACATAGATGTTATTACAATGTATACCCCCGTTTTGTCAAGCCGCCAACGATTGCTTCCCCTGCGCTCAGGTCGTCGGCATCTTCTCCCTTACAACCTCGACGTGTTCCAATCGCCGTCGGCTAGCCAATCGCGAGCAGGAATGTCCTGAATATAACGTTAGTACCATGAATGTTCCATCAATGGTAGATGTTTTCTTCTTACCTTCCACGCATCTGGGAAGCCCGCTGAGCGAGCCCACCTTGTCTCATCGTGCTCTGTGCCGTCTAGCAACATGTAGGTGAGGTTGAGCCACTCATCGCCCTTGATTCTGATCCAGGGTTTCTCGTCATACTTTGATAAAAGCTCATGGCAAATCCCGAGGGATCTGACCACTTTGATGGTGTGGCCATCGTCAGCGATATTATAGAACCTTGGAAGGAGGTCTGTGTCATCAGTCAGCCACAGTTCTGAGTGCGTCGAAGAGGGCACCTTACCAGTCAGCTTGGGGACCAAGCTCTTGCCCTGATCTGTATCCTTTGGCCTGTACGACTTGATATCCTCCACACGCAGCGGCGGACACCCGCGCGACGCATACTGTACCAGATCCAGCCGGATCTTGTGCTCCAGCATGCGCACCTTGTTCTCTGTCGAGATCCACGGTTTGGAGTTGAAGCTGAGGAACATGGGCGCCGCGTTCGTGTGGTGGCTATTTCACATTTTCAGCCCCGTTTGTCGTCATCAACAACCCCCTCCCCGAAGGGAGAGAAGGTCACTCACATTAAGAAGAAATCCCATTTTGCCTCCTTACCCGGTCGAAGAGCCGCGCCGCCGGCGACGTAGAAGGTCGCGTGAAACATCTCGGCCGTCCTCTCGTCCAACTCCTCGGGGCGCACCTTGACCTTGCTCGCGATCCGGAGCAACTCCTCGGGCGCGCTCTTCAGGATCCCGTGATAGATCGCGTTCACTTCCTTCAACTCGGCGGCTTTCGCAAGCTTCTGGCTCTGACGAACCTCATCAACAAGGTCCGCGATCAGGGGCATCGGCGTCGTCTGGGCAGCGGCGCGCTTCTCCGTCTCGTCGAAAAATGTCTTGAGCTGGTTCCTGTGTACCGCGGCCTGGGCCAGGGCCTCGGCTATGATGGCGGGCTGCTCCCACTCGACGCCGTACATGAGCTGGATGATGGGGTGCATGAAGCCCGAGAACATGCGCCGGAACAGTTCGTCTGCGCGCTCGTCGCCCTTGAAGAGGTGCTCGTTCAGCACCGCTTCCCAGCCCAGCTTCTCGATCTCGCGCTGGAAGAAGCGAAGGAAGTCTGGGTAGTGCTTCTCCTTCCCGAAGTAATTTTTGGCTTTTTCCCAGCTGCGCAGCTCGTCTGTAACGGTGTCACGGGCGCTCTTGGCTGGTCTCTGGTAGTCTTGGTTTCCCTTGTACGCCATCTGGATGGCGTCAGCGCCCGCGCCGGTGCCGAAGAGGGCCAAGACGTGATGAGGGATCTTGGACGATGTTAATGACTATGCCGCGATCTAGTTATAGAAGAGCTCACATGGTTATGGAAGCCATCGTTGTTGAAGAAGACATGGTGTTTCTACGCAACATTAGCTTACAACTCTCTGCGACGTATACACAAATTTGACCATACTTCGAGATCCTCCTGTAGTAGTTCAGACACCTTGCTCGCCGTGGCGTCTGTCTGATCGAATTTCCATAGTCCGGTGTTTGTCGCCGGGACATTAATCTTGTATGCCGTCGCCATGTTGATGGCTCTGATCTGGTTGAATAAGTAGGTACGGGTTCCACAAAGTGTGATGTGTTTTAAGATTCTCCTAGGAACCGCGGGTGATAATCTCATTTTACTTAATGACAAGCATCGCATGACATTGCCTGAGGTGTAAAGACCGTGTTTGAACCGTAGTATGTGTCAAAGACAGGGGGGACCAAACTCGCTGGACCGGGGATCATCTGTCCGCTTACAAAGGAGGCACACGCGAAAGGGCGAGCGCGAGCGGTGATGGGAATCGGATGTGTTCCCATAGGATGACTAGATGCGGGTAAGGTAGGTGTGGGTGGATGTGGTTCCCACGCGGCCACCCTACGGAGGGTCTGTGGTGCGCATCACCTAAACTCTCCGCAGCCATTTCCCCGGACTTTTGACGTCATCGCAACGTCTGGGGAAATTCGGTTTGGACGATCAACCACCATCGTCTGACGGCCAAGAATCAAGAACGACGGGCTGTAATTATGATTATCGAACGGGAGTATATCAGACAAACACCGGTCCATTGCGGAACGAAAGAGACGGGCCGGAGAGTTAGGGGCTGCTACACCCGAGATTGTCCGCCGATATCTCCACTATTTTTTCGGTATTCGGTGATCGTATTCTGCCGGCCCGGAGAAGTCGTTAACCGAAGGCCGAGCCCCTGTGTCTGCTGAGCTGTAAGTCCACCTCCGAGAGCTTCGGGAAAATCGGGAAAATCGGGAACGGCAAGATGGATCCACATTTATCGGCTCACAGGACGATAAATTCAGAAGCCCAAGGTTCCATCACCAGTGCCATGTTAGTAATACAACTATAGGTGGACCTTTGCACAGGTAGGGTAGATGCGCCTTCGGTCTTGAGGCTTTGAGGCGAAGAGCGATAAAATCGCAAAGCAATGCAACTTTTCGGCCACGTGCGAAGATCCAAGCATCGAAATTTGTGCCAGAGTGGCTGGCTACTTGGTGTGCTTGTTGTACAAACCCAACAGTTTCTATTAGTCAAGAGATCACAGTCTGGTACTACAAGATGCAAAACCGTGATCTGACATAACACTTGATACTGGTGGCCTCGTCTTAGACATCCTCGAGCTCGGTGAATGGATAAAGAGGTTTGGTAAAACGCGGTAAAGCTCTCACAATATTGGATGACCCCATTTGACACCGGAGAGTGCTGCGGATGACTCCATCCCCAAAGCTCCAAGAAAGAGCAAGGAACCGATAGGGTGATACTCCTTGTTAAAAATAAGCTTAAATGACCCCCATGCCATCTTCTGTCCCAAGACTCCATCTATAACTCCTCTATCAGACCCAAAAGTCCAGGGCACCATCTGATGCGTTCTATTTCAGTCCGGATCATCCACTGACGAGAGCGGCTGAACCCTGCAGACTATAGTAATCTGGCAACCTTCATCGCAAGGCCTACAAGAGTGAGTTTGCAACTATACAGTATAATCGGCTGTTTCAACCCCTGCATAAGCCTTCGTTCAGCACATTACCATTGGCTGCCACGAAATGACAGGATCGCGACGACACTCTCGTGCCGACTTTTCGCTACTACCATTATTCAATATGTTGCATCGAGACACAGCCGCGGCGGTATTAGTTTTCTTCTAGGCTACCCTCTGCACCCAAATTCACAGCCAGTTCCTATGGTGAACCCTCCCATTCGATGAGCGTCGAATACTACCCGCCGTGAGGTAGTATATGGCTCCGAGGCGAACCCAGTGCTTCCACAGAGCTCTCCAGCCTGGTCGTCCCGGGAATCTTGGTACCGTGTAGGACCAGAAGAAGCAAGCCTACAGGCAGCGGCTGGAATGAGGTTTCTCCGAGCTGATGGGCTCCCTCTCACAATCACAAGTAAACGCCAAGTTTTCCCTCAGACAATAATTTCCCTGTCCAGTTCGGACTTCTCGAAATACAACAGCCCTTCTAGGTCTTGCTCAATCACTGAGGCCAGGTCTGGTGCGAATTGCCTAGATGTCGATTCGCCACTCAACGGTCTTCCTATTGTCGTGGCTAATGACCTCGGTATAGTGCTGGAGCCTCTTCGGAAGGTAGAGGCTCCTAGCAAGCGATGGCGCCCCGTCCACGTCTCATTTTCTGAAGAGACTCTTCCCTTCAGGTGCGTCGTACACGCTCTAGATTATGTCCATACCCGAGCTTAACATTCTAACTTTAGTGGCAACTATCATACCTTATCATGTATCCATAGATGGCGGCGATATATCCCGACTATACAATGATTAAAACGGAACGGCCGCCAATCACCCGTCTCGGGCCGGTCACTCGGACGCTTCCTGTACACTTGCATGAGCATAAGAGGATGATTCCAGGCAGCCTCTGGTTAACTCGACACTCTCCATCAGCTTGAAGCAATCGTGGACCAACTCAACCGTGACAATGACATCCACACCCAAAGACGACCCCAAGTTCAATAAGCAGGCCGTGCGGCGCGACCCATCCTCGAACGCGTTCAGTATCTGGGGCGGCGCGACCTCTTAATCTTTCAGGCGGGAAACTAATGCTCACACGTAACTCAGATTCCTCTTACCGCGGCCTCAGCATCCAAACAAGCAGCTCCTCCGACGAGGTCTGCGTCCTCAGCTTGCTCAGGTTCGTCTTCTTCAAGGCCGGCGGCGGTCGCCAGATGCTCTCCATTGGCGGGGACAGATGGCTAGACTCGGATTTCCCAAGTCGTTGACCGAGCCGAACCCCTAGAAACTCGGGCTGAGCGTCTCCGCCATGATGGAGATGCGCTGTGCGGACGGCGACGTCCGGGCGCAGTCGTACAAGTCGCCGGACGTGGTGAAGCGGTGGTACGATGGGGGGGCGGAGGGGATGTCTGGATTCTGTCACTTGGGCGAGTGAAAGTCCTGACATCTCGGCCGCCGGCATGAACGCAAGGGTCACGGCGCAATCAATGGTAGGGACGAATAATGGTAGAACAAACGAAAACTTTTTTGGATTCGGAGCCCCCCTTGCCTTTCTCTGGTTAGGGGGGGGGGGACTCGATCATGGTATCACCAGGTTTTGTCTAATATTAAGAAAGTTCATCATCATGGGCTGTGTGTGTGTGGTGTGGTGTGGTGTAGTGTAGTGGTGTTGTCGGGGGGGGTCATCAATCTTAAGCCTTGAGCTTCTTGTTGGGGGTGGACTCGGCGTCGCCCATCTCCTCATCCTCATCCTCCTCGTCGTCGGACTCAAAGTCGGCATCCGACATCTCGCCGGCCTCCTGGGCTTGGGCTATCATCGAGAGTAAGTCTCCGTCTCGTCCTTGATCGGCAGCGACAGCACCGTCACGGAGGAACTTACTAAAGTAGTGGAGCGCCTCGGGCCACAAGTCGGTAGCGATGGCGACGGCGACGTCGTCACCGTCGGGGAAGATCTCGAGCTCGAACTCGGTCTCGTCCTCGTCGTCCTCCTCCTCGTCCTCCTCGGCGGCCTTCTTGCCGGCCTTGCGGTCCTCAAACTCCTTGATCTCCTTGGCGAGGGCGGCGGCGCTCTCCTCGGCGGAGATGCGCTTGCCGACGTAGCCAAAGAAGGAGAAGAAGGAGACGCCGCCCATGGCGGTCTCCTCGACCTTCTTGCGGAGGGCGTCGGCCTCGGGGGTCAGCTTGCCGGGGGTGATGGGACCTTGGTCCCAGACCTTCTTGGCGGCGGAGAGGAGGCCCTCGGTGAGGTCCTTGCCGGCCTTCCACTTGATGTCGACGGGCTCGGAGACGAGGCCGGTGTAGGTGGCCGAGTGGCGGTACCAAAAGGTCTTTTCGACGACGGCGTCCTCAAAGTACTCGTTCTCGTTGAACTCGAAGCGGATGGTGAGGGAGCGGGGATCGCCGTTGGTGCCGTTTTCAATCTCGGGGCGGGAGACGGAGATGGTCTTGAGGGAGGAGAGGAGCAAGGCGGCGTCGGAGGGCTGGATGTGCTCGTCGACCTCGGGGGGCGACTGCTCAAAGACCAGGGCCCAGAAGTTGGGAATCTTGGAGACGACGGCGGCGCGCTTCTCGTACAGAGGCTTGGAGAGCTCGTACTGCTTGCGGACTAGAGGGCGTTAGCTGTGTGAGAAGAGCGAACTTGGCATAAAGTGTCATCTATGAAAACGAAATAAATAAAAAAACGTACCGATTTCGTTCTCAACAAGCTCGAACTCACGCTCGAGGTCGGCGAGCTGCTCGTAGGTGACGCCGGTCTCAACCATTTCAACCATTTTGGCAATGTTGTTTGTGTGTGAGTGGAAGAATGAAGAATAAGTGACGAAGAGTGAAAAGGAGTGATTAAGTTGTAGAAAGAGTGAGTCTCAAGAGGGAGGGAGGGGGCTCTCTGAGATTTTTCAACTTCTTCGTGGCGGGGTAGTGATTGAAAAGAAATTGGCGGGGTTGTAAATAGCCTGAGTCGCAAAAGGATTTGTTCAGGAGCAAGCGCGGTCACAAAGAGTGGGCAGCACAGGGGCGGAGTTGTCTTAAATATTCAAGGTGCGAACCTTGACTGCTTATCAAATCCAAGGTAGTTACGAACACTCAGTCTTCCATTGTTTGTTTATTTTTCCCTCTCCACGAATGGGACGAGGGGGAAAAAATCTGTCGAGAGGATACAAAAAAAGGGACCTGTGGTGCCGACTACGTGGGGGGAGAGGATGAGCAGGAGGAGGAGGGGACGGGTGACTGGCTCGATCAGAGGTGCTGCTGTCCACCGGGTGCATACAGAGAGGGAGGAAATGAAGAAAATTTCGAACCTGGCGCGCAAGCTCCCAGGATGCCTGCTCTCGTGGTGTTCCTGTGCCGCCAGTCACCAAGGATGGGGAAAACGCTGCAGGTTTTGCCAAGGTACCGGTATTTGACTGGGTGACTGAGTTGTTGCGCATTCGTGCATTGGGCGGCCAGTGACTGATGTCATTGGATCATCCCCACGTCCCTGTTGATCTCGAACTTTTCAGAATCCCAGACGAATCCCAATTGGTGCCAGACGGAGCATGTTTGGCGGGTCCGTGGACTGCACGTCGGTCAACTTTCGTTTGCATGGTTAATTTTTTCCCCCTCGTTCGCTGTCAGTCTTCAGGACCCAAACTCAATTGGGAATGTCTACAGATTATCGACGGGACGTTATTCAAGCGTTTGGTCCCGCGTGCCCAGAACCGTCAGGACGTGCTTGCCGCTAACAGTACCTCATTCTGCCGTGGTGGCTCTTACTCAGCATATAAATGGGAAGGTGGGAAAATGGTTTGCTCCCGCTCAACCATGAAGAAGAAAAATATCCAGGGGTCCCCCTCCTACACGTAGGTTCGTTCCTCTTTCTTCACCATCCAGCCCAAGAGCAACGTGCCTGGGCCCCTTGCGGGGTCTCATCCGCAGTGGGAACCTCTGAACAACCATCTTCCAAGCTCACATCAACGAAAATTTTGAAAAAGAGAGAGTGAGTAATAACAACCACAACAATAACAACAACCCCTCCTCAAGATGTCCCCCACTCGCATGGCAATTTCGAGATGGTTGCTTCTAGATCGTCAATTTTTCTTTCACAAACTATCCACATTCTTGCTTTCGTGTCACCACTCACCCAGGCTAAGAGGCGGCAACTGCCCGTGTACCCGCTTCTGTGACTAGGAAACCGCTGTACTAGTTATTCATGCGTCTTCTTTTCAAATGTCATTAGCCGCCCACCAACGGTTTTTCAGTCACCCAACACGCGCTTTTTCTTCTTCATCTTCTTCTATTTTCTTCCCCTCTAGTCCCACTTATGTATGAAAAACAGCGAGCCACTACGGAGGTCCTTCTTCTCGTCACCCCCGCCGATGTTTTCAAATCTAGTCCGTACTTTAGTGTTCATTTTGTGTCGAGACTGCCGTTAAAAAGCTTTCCATCGTTTCCGTGCACCAGTGAGACGTAGAAAATTCAGGAATGCTCGTTTGCCGTGGCCGGATAGACATGAAGCCGTCTCGAAGCCATATTACCCGTCACCGCACAAAGTTGTAGTCTGTCAGACAACCTTTGCGTCCTGGACAAGTGAAGCAGTCGAATCACTCGACAGCGGGAAATTTGCCAATCTCAGTGAAAATAGGATGGTTTGTCAGTAGATCTTCTTCCCCCTGAGGTCTTCTTCCCCCGAGGGGCAACAGACCAGACCAGACACAGCAAACGGCGTGTGCAAAGTCCAGCCAGCCGACGGAATGTCACCGCAACCCAGACCCCAGAAATTTGCCATGAAGAAAGTCGTTCACCTCAGCTATCACCGGCATCATCCCAGCACAGTACCGTTGCTAGGAGACGCTCTTCCTATGGCCAGAGAGATTGTGGGGGGGGGTGTCGAAAGAATCTGAGATCCCTCCACCTTACTATTAGTACCTTGAATTATATGCGAGGGGTTTTGATTTGGCTTTATATGTACGCACAACCTCCCTTTCTTCCTTTCAAAAGGTAAACCGAATTGACTTTTTGGGGGGGGGAATAAAGTAAATTAAAGGGTCGAGCATACATAGCTTCGGATACACAGCTCTAATGCACCCGTCGCCCAGCTCGGGTGCGTTCGCGGAAGAAAGTGGATAGCAGCCGCCGAAGACTAGTTCCGATCGGGGATCCACCTGACACCGGACCGGATGAGGACGGTCCCCACGTGGTACAGGATCTCGGACAACGTTTCTACGGGCTAGTCAACCTGTCAGCTGCGGGAGTCTGTGCCAAAGATACATATATAGACCGTGGACGACAACGGATGGGCGGAAAAGCCTACTAACAACACTTGTGATCGTCCCCTAAGGTACCATGTGGAAGATGCAGTTTCCAGTTTCGATTTCTGGCAGATTGGTCCGAATAAGAGCTCGAATTCACGTGGAAATTAGTCAAGTTAGTCCTTCTCATGCATGCCGTGCAAACGCATTATCGCGATCGTTAACCAGCTAATTTGACCATTATTGCTTGCGCAGTCCCAGTTTTGATCCCTGTCGTGTTTTGTTTTGTCTCTCTCGTGACCATACAACTCCTCTCAAATGCAGCGCTGTCCCTCCCTTGCACCAAACCCACGGCCTGGCCGGCCCCGGTGCTCCTCCGTCCCAACGACAATATCAACGCTTCGATACTCCCGTGAATCGTCAAATCGTACAACCTTTTTTTTCGTCGTTGTATAGTAAGGGGGGAAAGAAGAGAGATTCGGAAGGGCCCAATGACCACTTGTGTTTTGCACATCGCCGGGGGGTATATCCAATACAAAGATCCAAATACATATGTGTCCCCCTAAACATCGCTCGCCCGAGTCTCACCCAACAGAGGGAAGAAAGGGAAGAAGAATAGAAAGAGGAAGAAGGGAAAACACTGAAAAAGCAACCTTGACCATGTCAATCGAGGATACGGATAGGAGGTAACCTTCCTCTCATTCTTCTTCTCTTTCAGGCCGTGCTGGGCCTACCACGTGATATGGGTTACGCGGGATCGCATATCTGGCATGCCGGTAATGATGCCACGAGTGCCGACCTGTAGGTTGGCGAACCTAGCCCTCAGATCAAAGTCCACCGCTCGAACCATGACGCGCTTCTCCTCGGGTACGGACCGCTTCGGTTTGATGAGCCCCGGAAATACACTATCCCTTCGAGCATCCCAGCGGGCATTGCCGCCAGGCCCCAGCGGAATGTCCTCGCCAAAGTCTACTGATCCGTGCCTGACGTTGCTGCTCGCTTGAGAGGCCCGCGCGTCAGGGGATGGTGAAGACAAAAGCTCTTCTTCCTCAATCGTTGCAACCCACTGCCCAATGCGTGCCGTAAGCTCGCTGTCCCACATGCCTTCCCGCCGCGCGCTGCTCCTCAAAAGCTGAATGGCTTGTCGCCGGATGACTGGATGACGACACTTGGTGGCGACCACAAATAAGGGGGGAACGATGCCCAGGTCGGCGCTGAAGCTGGGCTTGATATGGAATGTGTTGTACTCGTGGCCACCAAAGATATCAGGGGTGTGATTGTGACGGTGAGTGCACTGCGTGGGGTCGGGACATCTCTTGGCCGCCGCTCGTCTCTCTTCATCGCCCACTACTTCTGAAGCAAGATCGACAATAGCCTTGAAATGGGGCTGGAAGACGTCAAACTGCGATTCGCTGTCACTGTATGTCATGAGGAACAGGATCTGGCTCATAATCTGGAACATTTTGAGGACAGCGATGCCGGCCTTCTCTTGATGACTGACGCCAGGTGCTGTGCGAGATTCGAGGAGGTAATCGAACGCTTCGGACCAACCATCCAATTGCCCTTTGAAGCTCATGCCATACTGTTTCAATGACTTGGGGAGAATGCCCATCGGCCCGTTCGCGCCAGTTGATTTTTGATAGGTGAACAGGGTCTCGGTGAAGCGAAGCATCTTCTCGAGGAGTTTGTCCCAGGCGATGCGAGCCTCCATCAAGTTGAAGAATTGCTCCGGCATCGAGGACGAGCTCATGGATGACGGTGAGCTGCCGGCGTCCGAGGGAGGAGACTGGGGGAGTTCAGGATTTCGGGGTGTAAGCTGAATTACGTAGGGTTCGGGGAAGTGGAAGGCCATGTCGTACGACTTGGCTTGAATGGCCAGCCTCGTGAACATTTTGACCAGTTCTTCCTCGACGGGTTCCTCGGAGAGGAGTGCAAACGACCTCCTTCGCTCGGCCCGCAGCTTCTCCAGCAGGCTGAGGCCGGTCTGGATTTGCCGAATGGCTTGGCGATGGTCCCCGACGAAGGAGTCGAAGCAAGCCAGCAGCACACTTGCCATGAGCAGGGTTCGATGCGACTTCTGGTCACGATGGAGCTTGACGAGTGCGTTGATGGCCTCCGAGTACTGTTTGATTGCTACTTCCCAATGTCGATACGCGCCATCCATGGGGCTCATTGCATCGGATGGCGAGCTTGGCGGGGATTCATGGGATTGTTCCAGGGTCTTGTACAGAGCCCCAAGCGCGACGACGGCGTGACGGATGGCGTTTTCGGCGTGACATTCCTGCAAGACCGTCTGCGTCCAGAAGACGGAATCGAAATAACCGGATAGTTCGTTTGCTGTGTGAGTGCGGAATAGCTGGAAATAGAGACCCTCCTGAGTAGAAAGCTGCAAGTTGCCTGCTGGACGGTACATGGTTATTACTGAAGGTCCATCGCTCGGAGTTTGCGGGGGGGTTGTTCGTCGCTGGATCTTTTGAATTCTCCTGGGAGGTAAATCGATGGAGGCTCGCGCGGGAGCAACATTGTGTTGTGCGGCGGCCAGGAGAGGCTTTGGAGCAATGGCGAGAACCTCATGAGGTCTTGCGCTGCGGCTGGGAGGTGGGTATCCGGTGCAAATCTTCTTCGAGCGTACACACTGCGAGCAAGAGGGTCGTTTTTCGTCGCACTTAATGCGCCGTTGTCTACGGTGAGCAGGTTAGGCTCTGGCCCACGAACATGAGTGCAGCAGAGTGTTTCACGTACTTGCAGTTGTTGCATCCCGTCTTGACCTTTGGTTTACTGGTTCTGGCCCTCTTGGGCTTCGCTTGGGAGTCTGAAGAGGCGGGACTGGTCGAGGTCACCGAGGTCGCGTCGGCGCCGTTGTAGGGCGACATCGTCACTGTGTAGAGCTTGGGTAGAATCTATGGCCGAAGCGACGTCGCATATGCATTCATCGCCTTGGGCTCTTTGACGCGCACGAGATGTCTGCCCCTTAATCCCAACAAAAGCGTTGCTGGCGACGACGAAGTTGAGAAGCTGAGTTCCCCCAAAAAATTGGTTTGAACGGAATGCAGGGGATTCGGGAGCTCTTAGGGTAGAAGGGGGACCAGAGCGCGGAGACAGTAGCTAACGCAAGCTAAGGGTCGGCGCGATGACGGGTGGTCTGTGAACTCGGCGGTTAGACAGGGTAAGCCTAGTGTAGAATTGACCAGGACGCGGAACAGGTCCGGCGGAGGGCGATCTGCCGAGGGAACGGGGTCTATCCCTCGGTTCGAGCTGTGGGCTCTAGCACTTACATGGCTACAGTGGTGGTAAAGGCGCCAAGAAGAAAAGAAGTCTAAAGGGGGTAGACTGGCAGGACTGCGTAGATAGAGGAGGGTGGGAGGAGCAAGGTAAGATGAGGACTCAGGAGACCTCTCTTTGAATGTCGATCAAAAGCAAAGAAGGGCAATGACGAGTAGTGGTGTCTCGACCGGGGGGTGATATAATAGTTTGCTTTTCTCGGCTTGCTGATCGGATGCGCAATGATAGGGTGCTTGGGGCAGCTTCAGCCTTCACAGCGGGAAGGAGTTTGGGGGCCGCGAGTCACGAGCGACGGGGGATAGAGTAATATAGGGCTGGCGGATGGCGTGTGGGCGCGGACCTGTGCATCCGTAACTAGTGTCGTGACGCTACAAGCCACTGAATGTGAATGGAGCACCAGAGCAGTAGCTTGGTCCACAGGGACCAGGGGAGGGGGGGATCCGAGTAGGGGAGACCGAGATCCACGGGGGGAGGGGGGCTGGATGGAGAGAAAGAGAGATAGAGGAAGAGTGAAAGCCAAGCAATGAGACAAGTCGCGATGTGGAGGCCTGTGAAGCTAGAGGTGGCTTGCAACGAACAGCAGACGCAGACTCGGACCGGGATCTTGTTCAATGGTGGTGTGGTGTCGTGCCGTGGTGATGGGTGGAGGGGAAACGCTGACAGTTTATAGGTAGACACTGGTGGAGGGATACGTTGCTGCGCTGTGCTGCACTGCATGCAGGACCTCCGACGTCGATTTGGCATGTACCGGAGGGAGGGAGGGGCGGAGGGAGGGAGAGCTGACGTGGGGACGATTATCAGATTGCTGAGGGCGTGCCAACAGTAGTCGAGAATCTGTTGATGCTGTTGATGCTGTTGATGGTGGTGGTGGTGGTGGCAGTGGTGTTGAAATGACGGCGATGTAGATGTGAGTATCGAAGTCTGAGGACGGGCAGAACCAGAAGAAGCCGGGGGGTGTTGAAAGTGGACAAGATGGTCAGGGAAATGATCGTTGACCGATCACTCGGTTGGAGGAGAGCGAGGATTGGGTCCAGACCAGCACACCAGGCAGCCAGGCAGGGTGAGTGTGTAAGAACGAGAAGAAAGCAATTGTGCAGCAGGCAGGTGCAGCAGATGCAGCAGATGCATTAGAGAGACCACGGGTGCCGAAGAACAATCAGTCGAGACCAGATTAACGGAAGCGATCAAAGCCAGGCCTGGCCAGGAGCAGAAGAAGGGAGAGGAGAATGAGGAGGACTCTAGACTACCTACAGGAGGATTGGAAGCGTTAAGAGATGAACGAATGGGGTTGGGTTGATGGGGTCAGGGGTCGAGGGATCGGAGTTGGCTAGTCCAAGCTGAGGAAGGGAAAAGAAAGGTATCCGCAGGTGGTGGGGTGGAGGAGAGGTGAGAGCGGAGGAAAAAGAAGGCAAAGGCAAGAAGATGACGAGAGGCCTGGAAGTTGGACCACCAACCGCTAGGAATCGTTAGTGTTTTGCCGCGTGTATCGAGTCTACACTAGTACAAAGTGCTCTGTAGGCGAGCGAGAACGAGGCGAGGGGGAGTACCCGCACGAAGCAAACTTTGTACAAGAAACCTTGCACAAGAAGCCTGTACAAGAAAGGTAGAACCCTCCAGGTAGGCGAGACAAGGCGTCTGGATCGCCGCACCTGTGCACGATACGCTTGTGCCGCGTGGAATCTCGAATCAGGGTCATTAACAAGGAGAGTTGTCACGAATCAGGTGGTTACGTATTATACCTGCTACACGAACTCTGTATCCTAGATAGAGTATCCGTAAATGAGTGAACAGTAGAGAAGGCATGTAGGGGCAACAAGCACCAGATAGTTGTCTACCAAAAGGTAAATCTGACCTGACAGCCCTGGAATTATGTTTTGGCGGACGAGAGATGCGCACAAGGAAAAGAACTCGACGTCTTACAAGCATGGGCTTTTGCTGCCTGTCGTACGGATACGTCCCCGGTGCAACGCGAGGGCCCTGCCTTTCGCACTTGTTGGCCCGTAAATTGTAATGTGGTCCCTTCCCATGGACGGATACGTACTGAGGTACTTAGTGGCATCGGGGAGGTACATACGGGACAACGGTCGAGTACCTTGCTGCTCTTGTCACATACGTAGTAGTAGTCGTCGGCTCGTCGACGACCTTGTCTCAATTGGTATCTGGGTCTTTCCGCCCTCGTCCTTGTACCTTGCTTTGTGCACGACGGTTTGAAGAACGGTTCGAGGTACACTGAGGTCTTCGGTCTTTGGCCCATTGAGCAAAACGAAATAAAAGAGGGGGGGATAGAAAAAAGCAACGATGACTATCTGATTGACTGGGCAGAAAGCGGGAGGGGAGTCGGCAGATGTTTTCACAGAGCAGAAAGAAGCCGAGAAACACTAAAAGTGGAAGCGGTCCCTGGCGAGTATCCTCTTAACTCGCGCTCTCCAGATCTCTATCTTAAGGTATTCTCTCGGATATTGGACGTGAAGTCCATGTCGCTCATCTTGTGGCTCATACCTCATCCCATCCCACCCTATTCAATCCCGTCGGGGTTTTTCATTATATCCGTCCCGCCCATGTTTAGTCTCGGCAAAGCCTTCTCCCGTGCTTCCATTCCCCTTTGGATCATGACACCAACGACGTATTAGTCCCCATCACTTGTTATTCTTTCGTTGTGGCTGTGCTGTCTGTTTCGCTTCTGTTGGTCTTGGTGGGCGGCTAAGCCCTCGTCGCCCTGCAGGAGGTCATCATTGAAATTCGCAGATAGTTCCTGCCCTTAACCTCCTCCAGTCCACCACCAGAACGAGAGAGAATGGCAGGGCAAGTGGAGACCGGGGTTGGGGGGTTGGGGACATGGGGGATGAGGTACCTAGCATTCACTGTGGGTTCCCCGCGGCGACACGTGCTCACCTGTAGATTTGTGATACAAGGCACCCCTTCTCTCCCTTCTTCGTAGCTACCTCACCTACCTCACGGTCCTCATGTACCTCAGTCTGGTTCCAGTGCTCTGGCGGGCCCACGTCTTGCCGCAGTCACCATGCTGTCTCCCCTACCAGGCCCAGAATCGAAAGCGGTTGGGGTGCGTGGACGGCGCCCGCCGCTGCCAATAGAAACGGCGGCTCCGCTTGGTAAGGAAATGCTGGGGGTGCCGTGTCGGTATCGGCGACAGCACCAGCGCCGGTCCGGTGAGCTTACAAAGCGGGCTCTTTAAAATAAAATGGTGTTATGGAAGCAAAATTAGACTGGCTGGTAAATGTAGAATTCGATGCCATCCAGAACTGCGTCACAACCGGTTCCATCCGGTCAGAACCACCGGGGGGGGGGGGGGGGTTCCAAAAGGTTGTAGGTTTTGGGTTTTGGTAAAAGGGGGGGCCCCCCCTTGACCTTTGATTTAAAAAAAAAAGTTAAATTACCCACCCGAGGGGTCCCCCGTGTCGCCGCCCGGGGGGGGGGGGGGGGGATGTCGAAAGAGTTGATGGTATTGGATGTTGGATAAGAGTGCGGACCCTCATGTACCTTGAATTCAAGCAAACAAGTTCAATTACCAACCTGAGGGCTGCTCCGAGTCTGACACGAGATGAGGTGGACCAGAGCCAGGTCACCAGGTGATACAGTCTCAGAGACTCTTCACCCAAAGGTGGATGATTGCCGCTACTTGCATGTGCCTCTCATATATACACGTATCTGTATCATGCCGAACGACTCAATCTTGGCAAATACCTCTGAGCCTGCGCCTCTTTCCCTTTTGGCAACTGCGAATCAAAAACACGCTATCTTACAGGTACCTAAGGAGGAAACGACGCCATTCAAAGCGAGCAAATTCGCGGTGCCCTGAAGATCCCTAAACACACTCTCGACAGCAAGCTCCCTCACTCTAGCAAACACCTCGTCTGGGGTGAGCAGATCCTTGACCCTAAAACACGCAATCAGGCCCGTGACGTGAGGGATAGCCTGCGAGGTGCCCGAGTAGACGGTCGTGCCGTTACCGAGGCCGAGCGACCGCACCTCGACGCCAGGCGCAAACAACTCGACGAATACTCCAACTTTTGGAAATGGACGCCCGGGTCCGGTTCCAGTCCAAGACCGCTACCGTCGTTACGCCCAGGTCGTCGGCTGCAATGACCGTCTCGTCGAGGACGGACGCTGTTGTGCTGACGGGAAACCCTGCAGCAACGGGGGGTTTGTTTTAGTCCAGGGGGTAGGGATGCTTGCCGGCCGCGATATTGGACCACTGGATTGGGGGTTTCTCACCGAGACTCATGCGCATGACGGATTTGGCGAGACGACGCCCAGTTGTAGCCGTCTAGGACTGTTGCAACGCTGCCGGTGCCCTATGCGGAGTGTTGGACTCATAATTATATGTAGATAGTGGTAATCAATGACCACTCATATCTTGTTCAAGAAGATGAGGTACTTACAAAGCCAGCGAGGACCTTGCCATCCACGAGACAGTTGGGCTCGACTGAGAGCACGACGCCCTCGTTTTGGTCGGCGCGGACCTTCGCGATGGTGTTCTCGTCCAAGGAGCGTTGAAGGCGCCGATAGCAGAGGTCTTGCCGACGGCCGTTGTGTCCTGCCGGCTGGGGCTGCGGTTATGCACGGAGGCGGTTCAAGAGAGGTGGGATCCGACCACGGCCGAGGCGAGGCCCGGTTTCAGGCTCACAATGTGCTCGCCGGAAATGATGTCGTCCGTGGTGACGGAGGCGGGGGCGGGGGCGGGAGTGGCCAGGGCCCGGACGCCCAGTGTCAGGAAGACGGCGGTTATGCTGATGAAGGACATTGTTCACTGGCGTAATGACAATCATATCAATATCTGCAGTTACTCTGCCCTTTTCCTACTTTAAGTACGTCGAGCACATTGCAGTCATGCTATAAGTTGCCCAGGGCCGTCTGTAACCCCTGGTTTATACGGGCCGGAAATGGAATCAAGCTGCGCTTGAGCTCGCGCTTGAGCTCGAAGGGTGAGAGAGACGAGACAATCACGCAAGGAAGAAGCAGTCTCTTGGCATGCAAGAGCGCGCTGATAGATGCATGTGCTCGTCGCCATTCTTCGTATCGCCAACGGGCGGCAGCATCAGTCGAGCAGGAGCAGGAGCAGAAGAAGACGCAGGAGCCGGCATGGTGACCGGACGCGGGCGGCCCGTCTCGACGGTGTTGTGTCAGGCGAGCTGCACCTGTCTCGCGGGACAGGCTGTAAGTAAGGTAAGGTAGGTAAGCAGTTGCCTTTTGGCGAACCGTGATGGATGGACGAGGTAGGTAAAGCAGGCATTGCGAGGATGAAATTGCCATGGAACCCCAAGGTGCCTTACCGAAGATACTTACACAGTGGGTACGTACAGAAGTACACCTGGCTGTATCCGAGCACTGACCAGATGTTCAAACCAAAGTATCCGTATCGAAACATTTCGACAACTCGTGTTGCACACAATTAAGTCTGACAACTTCCACACCTCCACTCGTCTATCGCCAAGATTTGGACAGACACGGCCTGTCTTGCCTGGCAAACAAAAGCCTACAATGTCTCGGCTTCACTCACCGCTTCGGCCATGTCAGCTGCGCCACAGGCAATGGCCATCCTACCGGCCCGCTTCTGCTAGTGGGCTTGGACGCATTCGTTATTGCCAGCAGAAGAAGGGGGAATAGGGACCCATCCGTCTCGAGAGTCAAGACAAACTCTTACCCCGTCCTCGACCCTCCATCTCAGCCCTATGCGCCAGAGACCTCGAAGCATGGCCCCGGGTGGCCAGGAAACCCTCCACTGTTCTTCCCTGAACTTACTGATACCCAGGGTGTGATCAGGGCGGCCTCCCCTCCAACCCCCCGCATCCAATTGCATCTTGGGAATCTGCCTCAAGAGTGCCTACATATCGCCTGCCTTAGCGCCGCTGCTCAGCCATCGACCGTCAAAAAGTCATACCTGCTCTGCTTCTCGCTGCAGAGAGAAGCCACACCCACCCATGGTTGACTGCACCAGAGTCTTCCTACGATGACGTTCGCTGCATCTATGCACCTTCTTTACGTCTTCTTCAGCCCTACCAGCCATGATCGCTTACTTTGTCATTGCGACGTGGACTAATCACAGGCTGTGGCGTACACGGTACGGATACTCCACGTCGATCTCCAGACTCTCGCTTCTACAGGACAATCACCGACGTTTGACGGGCATCAACCAGTCAACAAACTCTTCAGAGTCTGAGACGCGAGGCTCTGTTTGACTCTCTCTCCCTTCCTCTTGAAGCTGCCGCCGATTGGTGTTCCGGACTCCTCGTACGCATGGCCGCGCCTCTCTGGAAAATTCGCCTTTTATTGTGGCATGGGGTGGGATGTGGATGGGTCAACTGCGACCACGAACCCGAATCCCACGGACGTGCTACCGGTTCCGGAGATGTGGTTCGACTCAAAGCCCTTGATATCAAACCTGAGACCTCTGCGAACCGGTGGTGTTCGGGAGTGGGACTCTCTCAAGGATTGGAGGGGCAGCCAGGCAGTGGATTTCGGCAGTGATTTGGATTCCTTTGTGCCATTCCAAATCGACTACGAATGAAAGGCGCCATATGCCAAGGACCCAGGAGAGCGGCTGATATGATTGTATCTGCCGGTTGGAATCTTCGATAGCCAGCTCGACGCAGGAACATTGCAGAACCTCCCTACGATGGTTCAGCCATAGTAGTTGGGAAGCTTCTCCCGCCGCGGACTTCGGAGGCTCCTTATCTGCACGTCACCGAGCACCAATATCTGTCGGGCATGTCCGTTGGCGATTACCATCATCGCGAAGTTGGGACGTCTCGATATGAGACCCCCATTTATTTCTACGTGCATCGTAGTCTTATGCACAACGACTTGCCGCCTTTGAATGCTCCAGTCATGCTGGCAAAGCCCAATCCACCGTCGCGAGCTCCGATGCCAGGGTGAGCTTCCCAGCCCCATGGCATAACGCCTCGCGGGATGCCTTGCTCAACCTACCTTCACTGCGAAATTCGGGAGACCAATGGGCCAATCCCACAAGACAGGCCAATGCAGTTAAGCTGCATGTCAGAAAGAAAGCGAGAGCATCGCTGGTATCATCAACGGCCACGGTCCCAAAAGTTCCACTCGATGGTACGCTGTGCTTACGGCCACCGGGGTCTGCCACGCTGGTTGGTGCTCGCAACTTGCAAGCTTGGTTGCATTGACCACTGAACCGGCCATCCAAACCTCCCCCGTCGGGCCTTTTCCTGAGCGCCGGTCCATTGGCTGTGATTTCATACGACGGCATGGTACCCAAGTATCTGGGTACTCCCAAACAGTCTGACTGATAGGCTTGTCCATCGTGGAGAACCCCACGCGGTTGATCGCCCGCATCTACTAGCCAAAGCTTACCACTTGCATCATGAAGCAGACGGTCATCAACTTGCCAACACTGCCTCCTCCCTTGCCTCCCTCCGCCTTACGGGGCTGCTCTTGGATGGGAGAAGCATCCCTGCGAAAGCTAGTTGAGAACCGGGAACCGATCGGTCGATTATGGAACGTCCCCCCATCTCCAAGATTCCTGACTTCGGCACGCCGTTTCCGCTTCGTCATTTGCTGATCGGACTCACCCGAGATAAGTCCCAAGTTTCCGGGCACGGGAACTAAACTCCTGGTCTCCACACCGGTCACGGCGTCACTGGTGTCGACCCTGAGTGAGGCCCGTGATTACCAGCCGTGCATTCGTCACACCGGCGTTGTCGGCCGCTGGCATCCGGCCGCCATCGTGTCGCTCCCCTCCCACGACATGTAAGAAAACGTAGCCAATCACCCAGGCACTTGGGAAAAAAAAAACGCTCTCGTACTTGTGGCGCTCACCCATTGATCGCTAAACGAGTTTTTCTTAGTGTTTGCATGTACAAGAGGTTCGTCCACCTGTGACAGCTACAAAGAAACCCCTGGTCTGACCTGGTGAGTTACCGACGACCAGGTTGAATAGAGCGATCGACACCCTTTCTTTTTCGTATCCGACAATATGCTGACGTCGTCGTTTTAGTGAAAGGGTGTTGCTATCGGGGTAGGATAGGACAGATGGGTTACGGGGGGTTGCTGTAACTGTGCCGCATGACCGCAGAGCCGGAGCAGGGGCAAGGGCCATTTCATAGCCTTTTCTCTGTTCCCCGGGAGACGCACACGTCGTCCTTTTCGAGCACATCTGGCCGGTCTGGCTTGCTTCCGATCAAGAGCAGAGTCCTCTGGTCATGACTGACACCATGATGCTAAGGTTATCATCAAGGGGCCCTCTTGGGGACAAGCAAGTTGAAGCGAAGACCCCAACCCGGGTCCAGCCGTCATGATTCCCTTGAGCGCCACCGTGAGAGAACGGAATGCCTCGAATTGCTCGCCCGCCTGAATAGAAGAGCTCTCTGAATGGACGTCGGCGCCCCTCGGCTGCAGCTATTCTGCTGGTCTGGATCAGCACCCCTTTTGAAACAATGCAGTTTGTGCCGCGGGTGCACTGGTGACTTGGCCACCTATAATCATCGCCGTACGCTGAGGCGACGACTGGCCTGCATCTTTTCAGAGTTGACATAGGGTGGCGGCTCTACGGGGTAGGTACCTTACTCAATGGGGCAAACATGATGCAGATGCCGTGCCGCGAGCCGGATGCGCGGCGAGTCCTCCCACTCTCCCCCTCCCAGCCCTCGGGGGATCCTGTGGTCTGGCTCCATGTGTCTATGTGAAAAGGGCACTGCGAATCGTGTTTTAAAGGAACGCCTTTGAGGCGAGAAATATACTCCATGACGAACAGATCTCTGCGGGTGGTTTACAGAATGGTCTACCGTGGCGGTGCAAGATGTAGCAGGATGTAGCAGAATGAAGGCGCACTCTCGCTATACCAACCATCTCCTGCCATCATTGTAGTCGTCGTCTTCTTCGTTGGCTTCTGTTATGGATGTAATCTATATCTGCTACCCGTGGTTACTCCACTGATGAGATCAGAGGAAAAAGACACGGGGGTGGAATCTTTTCATGCTCATTGACCCAGCCTCCGAGTCACCGACTTGTACCAAGAACTGCCTAGGGAATACTAGACACGCCTCTGATCTCGCCGTCCAATAGTCAGTCCCCCATGACCAAAAGCGCAAGACGTATCCAAGAGACAAACGATAAAAACACTCATCACTCGACAATCTCAAAGCGGTCCTTGGACACCAAGAAGCACAATCTCAACGCGGCACAGGGGTGTTATCCTAACACATCTTAGTCTGGTATCATTTCTATCAACAACGACGCGGTTGCATCTTTTCCGCTACAACACACGCTGCAAAACAACAGACGCCACCAGCGCCTCTCCGCTACTCTATTCCTATAAAGGAGGCAACTCCTCACGGCAGATAGGGCACTGCAGCCTGAACCGCATCCAGCCCTCCAGACACGCGCTGTGGAAGATGTGCCGGCACGGCGTGACCATGTAATTCCTCCGCGTAAACACGCCGACGACGCCGCCGGCAGTCGGGTCCTCCTCGCCCGCCCGCATGACGGGCACCTCGAGCACCTCGCGGCAGATGGCGCAGTCGATGGCGCGCAGGTTACTCCCGCTGCTCTTCCTCTCCCTGTCCCTGTCCCTGTCCTCGCCCGACCGGACCCTCTCCAGGGACGGCGAACCGGGCTCCGAGAGCAGCCCGATCGGCAGCCCACCGGCCTCGACCCCGTCCTCGCGCAGGATCGGGTGGTAATCCCACGCGTCGGGCGTCCAGCTCTTTGGTATACCGAAGCGCGGGCCCAGGACGTACTGGAACGCGAGGATCCAGAGCTGGATCCACAACCAGGCGCAAAAGACGAGGAACGCGCGGCGGTCCGTCTCCGCAAAGAGGAAGTTGTTCTCGTAGACGTAAAAGTAGGCAAACGGGAGCAGCCGCAGGACGGATTGCCCGATGACAAACTGCCACGTCAGCGCGCGGCGGCAGTTGCGGATTATGTTGCGATGGATCTGAGGCACCCAGAACGAAAAGTAGACGAGGGCCACGCTGTTGACGAAGAAGTTACGTACCCGCGGGTACCAGGACGTGGAGGCGATGGAGACGAGGAGGATGATGGACACAGTCATGGCGAAGCGGAATATGACCGCCTGGAATGTGACCTCGGGCCCAATGCGATGGCCGCCGCCTGCGCCGGTGCCTGCTGTCGGCACAGCTGCCGCACCACTCGCGGCGTCCGCGATCTCCGCATCAATATCCTGATCCGAGGGGATGATGATCGGCGGCGAGGGCGCTCTTCTGCGAGGCCCGGCGGTAACGGGCCGCGGTAGGGAATCGGCATCAAGACCATGCGCGGGCGTGGCCGGTGTGCGCGGCGAGTCACTATTTGAGTTCTGCTCCCTCTCTACACGCCTCCTGTTTTCGGGCTCCTGCACCTTGTGGATTTCCGCTAAAAAGAAGCCGCCAAGAGACATACTCAGAAACGCCGAAAAAAGGAGCGATAGCGACTCCAGGTACGTGATGCTGGCGTCCAACGCCCACATGGACGCCGCGGCGAAGATGCCACCATCCACCATGACCATCATACTAATCGTCGAGTAGCTGATGCGGCCCATTGTCGAAGGTGTTGCTGACTCCTTCATCTGCTGCTTGAGGAGGAGGGCTTGCGTGAGAATCACCATTGCGAAGAGGAGGATCCATACTCGAATCTTGTGGTAGATGATCTCCGTCTTCATGCCTTGTAGATGCTGTCCATCAATGGGCGCGAAATCCGGCGTTCCCTTGGTTTCGAGAAAGAAGGCGCAGTCGGGGGACCAAATAACGGCCGAAAGCTGGAGCTCGGGAACGCCACGAATGGGGGCGCCCTCTGGAAATCGTAACTCTTGCTCAATATCGCTAATGATCCTAGCCATGCCCTCTCTGGTCGGGTGAAAGCCCTTCATATTCAAAAAATTTCTATCCGGGGGATGCACTTGGGCGTACATAATGTACTCGCAGTGCGGCGCTGGGTTGAGCGTATCCGGCGGATTCGATAGATCCGAGGTCCACGGCATCGCGCCATCATTGAACACTTCCTTCTCCTTCTTACGAAGCACTTCGGCAAGAGTCAGATTGAGCAGCCGCTGGCTCGATTGGAAGAAGTCGGAACTGGGGGCAAGATGCGGGAGACCGAAAATGCCGTCAAACTTCTCGCTGGTTGTCGTCAACAGGATGGTCCCTTGACGAGGCCATTGGACGCCGTGCAGCCTCATTTCCCAATTAACGCCACTGCCCTTCACATCCTCGATGGTGACAGAGGCCTTTGCGCTGCGAATCTTGCCGCCGGACGAGGGGCCATCGTCGTTCTCGACGTCGCTGTGGTAGTTAAGCTCCCTCCCGTGCTTACCGGTGTCGACGAGGTCCATCAAGATCTTGCCCTCATCTCCCGTGATATTCCTGGCCCACTCCGACTGCGAACCGCTCCAATGCAGGCTCGGCGCGATGGCGCTCAGGTTGTAGTTCGTCCACTCCCTCTTAGACGTCGCTTCCCTGCGAACCCAGGTCCCCTTGACCGCGCCCGTAGCGTTCTGCCATACCGGCTCTCCCTCTCCAATGTCCCACAGGTTCACTCCCCCGACGGGCGGTATCGCGTTATGACTCCATTCCAGGCAGCGTTCCTGAAAGCGCCCAAGATCATCCCAGGCGAACCCATCTTCGGCGCGGAAGCCAGTCAGGTTGAGCGATCTAGGCAGCGGGTCCTCGGACGTGCCGTTCTTGCGCGGCGTGAAGTCGCCCCATGTCGAGGCGTTTAACAGGTCGAGAGCGTGCTGGTGTCGCCGCAGGCGTTGGATCGCCAGATCCGAGGCAGAGAATAGAGATGCGCCGCCATTGCCGGGAGCGAGGAGGATCCAGAAGACGCCGACGAAGGCGAGGGCGAGGACGACGAGGCGCGGGTCTCGGTACGGACTGGGCATGGTGTGCGGCGTGCCTTGGGCCGCTTAACTCGGTTCCATCGCTCTGCTGCTCTGGCCGGCGGGTGTCGGTTGTAGCAGAAGCTTGGCTGTTTGGCAATGGTAGGTATGCTCGTGGTGGTGCAATTGGGAGGGTGACGATGTACAGATGAACACTGTCGGTAATGTAGGCCAAAAGTTACTTTGATAACGGATGACGGCATCAGCTGAGGTGCTGAAAGCGGACCGTTGACGGGCGACGGATGCCGGAGCCCGGGGCGCTGCAGTCATCTTATCGCCTTAGGCAGGCCCCACTGGAGAACGGGTAGGTACCCGTCCCCTGGTGCTAGCGCGGCAGCCAGCAGACACCTTCCAGAGCTGGCCCTGCGCATTTTGGCCCCTCCACTTGCATGTTTGCTGGAACCAACAGCGCAAACACGTTGAACCCCGCCAACCTGGACCGCTTCATCTCTCATTACCTTTACCTTACTCCTACGCAGGCGACACCCAGCCTCACAACCCCGCCGACGGCATCTCAAACACAATTTCGGTTTAGACACTGACATTGAGAATTCAATACAAGGTCCCTTGCTTTGCTTAGTTAAAATCATCTCGCCGAACAACAATGGCCTCCAACAACCCCGACTCGAGCGCAAACCAGTCTGCGGTCAGTGACTTAACCTTACCCTCTCTACCCCTGGTCCTGCGGCCGGCTTTTCGTGCACCATGAGGCAACGGAATAGCACGGGTGCGGTCTTTGTTCCCCCTCTCGGAAACTGACTTGTAGAGTCTCACAGGTCTCAGAGGATCCCAAGACCGACGTCAACGCGGCCGTGGAGGAGCTTCTGAACACAATCTCCAACAAGTTCGCCGGCGTGTCGAGTGAGATCTTTGCAAAGAGTGAGTCTGGGAAAGCACCAGAAGGGGGTTTATGGCGATTCCTGTACTACATGCTAAAGCTCTACAGTGGATGAAATGTCTCGTCGCCTGGACAACCTAGAAGCTGCTCTTCTAGCTAACAAGGAGAAGGATGCTGGCCCGTCCAAGTCGTCATGAACGGATTCTTCGTGGCATATAGTATGAGGCAGTGTAATTCACATGCCGCAGGCGTTAGGGTTCATGGGACAATCTCACAGGAGGTGAATATGGTGGCCGGCTTCCATGGGCAGACTTGAGTTATACTTCTTATTGTTATTCATCATCGTCGGCATCCTAGACTACCAAACCAACTTGAGGTAAACACGCTCAATTGCCTGTTGCTTGCTTTTCAGTCTCCTAGACCTCCCCAAACCCAATGCTCATGATACGTCTGGAAACTTGCTAATGGAGTTCACTACAACTCCTCCTTCTCACCGGTAACCTTCTCGAGGAACTTGCGGAGAATGTTGGTCTTGCTGGTGATCTCGTCGCGCTTGGCAGGGGCCAAGCCACCCTTGGAGAGGATGCCGTCCAGGCGGGTGAGCTCCTTCTGAGCGTAGCCGTCGCTCTTGCTGAGCTTGTCAAAGACACGGACATAGTACTCGGCGTACTTGTACTGGGCCTTCTCCTTGAGGGTCTCGGCCTGCTTCTTGGCCTCGGCGGCAGCGTCCGAGAGGCTGGTGCCGCCAGTATACTTGGCGACGATCTCGTCGAGGGCAGCAATAGTACCGGCGATAGCGTTGAGAGCACCACCGGGGCTGCGGTTGGTGCCGGCCTTCTCGTTGATGAAGTTGACAAAGTCGTCTTCGCTGCGGCCACCGGTGTAGAGCTCGCCATCCTTGGAGCCCTTAGGGAAGAACTTGATGGTGGGGTAAGAGGAAACGCCCTGGGCGGCGGCAGTGCCCTTGCTGTTCTCGGCCTCGGCGTCAACCTTGGCAATCACGACGCCCTCGTCAAGAGCAAAGTCCTGGGCGACAATCTCCCAGATAGGGGCAAGGGTCTTGCAATCTGTTGAAGGAGTTCAGGTCAGCATTGTTGGTCGAGAACAAACGGGATTGTGGAATCGAAACATACGTCCGCACCAGGGAGCAGTGAAGGCAATGAGAACATCCTTGTCGCCGCCAATGGTGGTCTTGAAGGACTCATCGGTGAGCATGTTAACGGCGCTGGGCGGGGTGTACTTCTTCTTGGGCTTCACACTAGTCTTCTCCGTGATGAAGGTGCTCAGAGCCTCAAGATCACGACCTCCCTTGTAGTCGATAGGCTGGTCGCTCTTGCCGTCGAACCACTTGAGAGTAGGGAATCCCTGGATCCCGAATCTCTTACCCAGGTCTCTCTCGGCGTCGGCGTCGACCTTGGCAATCTGGACATCCTTGGTGGACTCAAAAGCGGTGGCGAGCTTCTCGTAGATGGGAGCAAGGTTCTTGCAGTGGCCGCACCAGGGAGCGAAGAACTCGACAAGAGTGGGCTTGCCAGACTTGAGGACAACATCGTCAAAGTTGGAGGGGATGAGGTCAAGCACGGCAGACTTGGCGGCAACGGTAGCTGCCAGAGCGCCGAGCACGAAGCTCTTGAGGACGACCATTGTTGCTTGATGGAATCGAATATGAAGAAATATAGACAGCTATGCAGTATCTGGGCGATGGAGTAAAATACTGAGCTGCTGAAGAGGGTATCAGCAGTTCGGAATAGTGGTGGTGCAGACCGGTGCTTTGAAATCAGCTGTTGAAGGAATCGGTAAAGAAGCCACTTTGCAGGTCGTCCCTGAACGTCACAGAATGGAAGAGCTCAGTCCCTTGTTCCTTCTCCAACAAGTGGCGTTCCCGGCAGGCCCCATTAAAACAGCAGGGATGTTAATCTTATCAGTTACGCTTATCGGCTGCCTTATCTACATCACGTGCATCGGCCAAGCACGGACTTCCCCCAGAAGCGAAGGGGGCTCCAACCCACCCTGACCCAAGCCCCAGCAAAATACAGGCGCACAAAAATTTCCGTTAGACGTCCTCAATCCAACCACAGCCAAACCATCTCGAGTTTTCGCCGACCACCCTCTCGACGACATCGCCCACCCGCTCGACAACCGCCATCATGTCTCACGAGTCTGTCTGGAACTCCCGCCCCCGCAACTACGGCAAGGGCTCCCGCTCTTGGTACGATTAAAAACCCCCCCCTTCAGTCACGGCAAATTTGGAATGGAGAACGAACTGGGAACATCGGGGCGCGCACGCGCGCGCGCGCAGACGAAAGGAAGCAGAAATGCTGACAATTTCACTTTTATAGCCGTGTCTGCAAGCACACCGCCGGTCTCATCCGCAAGTACGACCTCAACCTGTGCCGCCAGTGCTTCCGTGAGAAGGCCAAGGACATCGGCTTCAACAAGGTATGCGAAAACCAAGACACATAAAAACCCTGGAATCTGCGAACGAACTCGGCCGAGGGCCCCTTTCCTTCCACACAACCATCGCTTCAAGAGAAAGCGCAAACCGCTAACCCGAGGCTGCGATCCTACAGTACCGTTAAATTGTCAAAACTCCGAGACGGCAAGGATGGGAACTTGGTGAAGGTGGCTGGGCATGAGTGGCCCGTGGAAAAATGCATTCAGACAAGAGGGAAGGCTTCCAAGGGCAATTGGAGTTCTTATGGCTGGCTTAACGGAAAGTGCAAAAATCCGTCGGACGTCCAACTGAGGATAGACGAATACCACGACATTGAACCTTTAACCACCATCCAAAATCTTGGGGCCTACACAATATCAAGTAAAAAAGACTGAGCTCAGCTGCGCGTAAAAGGTGGCACGATGTCACTGTACTACGTAAAACCGCGCGATACCTGGTTGCCAAGCAGCCAGCTAGTATGGCCCTCCAAGTTCTGGGGATGTAATTGATGACTCGAGGTTTATCAAACTTTATGATGACGTGTCAATGAGCATGGGCGCGTTGAGATCGTCTCTTAAAACATAGTCATGTGGCACAAAGCACAGATTGTTCTATTGTCCATCGTCTTCTAAAGTACATGATTCAAAGACAAGGGGTGAAGTAGAGCGGAGATCTTTGAGCCCGAGACCCGAAAATATACACGAGCTCGAGGGCTCAAAGCGGAAAACTTTGGGTCGGTTGTACATGAAATCGTGAAGCAATCCAACTCCTTTTTTTGTACAATCCCATTTTCCCCTCCCATCCGGGTTCCCATTTCATGTCGGGGAAGTGTTTCTCAAGTGCCATTTCACCGAGTTTTGAGAATTCTTTCGGTGGTTGTCCCTTATTTCAGGATACGGGTGATGAGACCAGTGGCGACGGTGCGGCCACCCTCACGGACGTTGAAGCGCTGGCCGACCTCGATGGCGGAGGGGTGGTGCAGCTGGGCAACCATCTCGACGTTGTCACCGGGCATGACCATCTTGTTCTTGGCGTCCTCGGTGCCCTCGGGGAAGGTGAGGGTGACGGACTCGTCAGCAGTGCGGAGGTACATCTGGGGCTTGTAGTTCTCGTGGAAACCGGTGTGGCGGCCACCCTCGTCCTTGGACAGGACGTAGAGGGAGACGAGGAAGCTGGAGTGGGCCTTGACGGTACCGGGCTTGCAGACGACCATACCACGGCGGATATCCTCGCGCTTGACACCACGGAGGAGGAGACCGGAGTTGTCACCGGCACGGGACTCGTCGCAAGACTTCTTGAAGGTCTCAATGTCGGTGACCTTGGACTTGATGATCTCGTCGCCCTTGCCGACAATCTCGATTTCGGTATCCTTCTTCAGGAGACCACGCTCGACACGGCCAGAGACGACGGTACCACGGCCGGAAATGGAGAAGACGTCCTCGACGGACATGAGGAAGGGCTTCTCGAGGTCACGCGCAGGGGTGGGGATCCACTCGTCGACGGCCTTGAGCAACTCGTCAATCTTCTCCTGGCCGATCTCGGGTCTCTGGTTCTGCATGGCCATGAGGGCGGAACCCATGATGACGGGGGTCTCATCACCCTCGAAGCCGTAGGTGCTGAGGAGCTCACGCATCTCCATCTCAACGAGCTCCAACATCTCGGGGTCGTCGATAGCGTCGACCTTGTTGACGAAAACGACAATCTTCTGGACACCGACCTGACGGGCGAGCAGCAAGTGCTCACGGGTCTGGGGCATCTGACCGTCGGAAGCGGCGACGACGATGATGGCACCGTCCATGTTGGCGGCACCAGTAATCATGTTCTTGATGTAATCGGCGTGACCGGGGCAGTCGACGTGGGAGTAGTGGCGGTTTTCGGTCGAGTACTCGATATGGGCGGTAGAAATGGTGATGCCACGCTTGCGCTCCTCGGGAGCCTTGTCAATGGCGCCATAATCGAGGAAGTTGGCGAGGCCCTTCTCGGCCTGTCTCTTGGTGATGGCGGCGGACAGTGTAGTCTGAGGAGGGTTGATCAGTATTCATCGCGCAATGCCTTTTACCGCTCCAGTATTGGTATGTACCTTTCCGTGATCGACGTGGCCAATAGTACCTATTCAATTGTCCTCGGATTAGCTACAGCTCCCTGGGTATTCACCGGTCGGGTTCTCGTACCAATGTTGACGTGAGGCTTTGTCCGCTCGTAAACGGCGTATGTGCGGTAGAGGTTGAGGATGGGGGAGACGTTCTGTCTCTTGAAAGCGGCCTGAAGGGGGCTCACGTTGCCCTGGCGCAGCGAGGCGCGCGCCGTCCGGAAGAACGGCGCAACGGATCTCAGGGAGGCGGACATTTTCGCAGGCTGTGGGTATTAAATAGAACAGAAAGAGAGAAGAAGGAACAGAGAGGAGATGGACGATGAAGTGCTCGTTGTCGACAACGGCTTTGTGGTGGCAATGGGGGGGAAGGATGTTGATGAGGTATCGTCTGATGGGAGTCGGCGTCCTCGAAATTTTTTTGCTGCCGGGACGTTCCTTTTCGCCCTGGAAAGACGGGGGAGCTCTACTGGAGCTCATGCGTCCATTGGCGGGCCGGCATGTCAGTGCTCTCCCCGGCCCCACCGCGCGAGCCATTCACGGCGCGTCGCCTCCCTTGAGTGCTGCTAAGGTAATGCGTGAGAGGTGACTGGCTGGGGCACATTGAAGTGTTGCACGTCATGGGTTTGATGGTGGGTTTTATATAGACATCCAAAAAATTCCATCAGTAGGGATTCGGAAGCGAAAGAGGATCAGTGTTGAACTTTTTATTCTTGAATCGATGCTTATTGGCAGTCAATGGTGTTGCGCTCGGAAAGGAGAACTCCCCCTGAGTCGGAGCTTAGCTCATGCCATGATCATGGAAGTATTCAGGATGAGATTGATGCATCGAACACGGCCACGCTCGAGATCCAGCGCCTATGGTCATTGTGCTTCTTTTGCATGTCGAGACGAAAATCATCTGCTCGCCCACATATCCAGAACTAAATGCTACTTTGTTGTTGGAAGTTTCGAATGAGAAAACCGCCATCCGACATCGTCGTTTGACTTCGTTGCCCTCTTGAACGGACGTTGCTCCCTGTAGCCATAGACATCTGCCAGAGCACATTTGTAGGATCTCTCACTGTCGAATCAATGCAACGCACGGCTTGGCAGAAAACTCACTCATCACCGTCCGATCCAGACCCCGATTCATCACCGTCACCGTCATCACCGCCATCTCCCTTCTTCCCCTCCTTCGCCTTGGCCCTCTTCCTCAGCTTCTTCAACCTGTTCAACCTCTTCTTTTTCTCCTTCAGTGCCTCCTCCTTGCCCGCTTTGAACTTCTCTGCCTCCTCAGACTTCTTCTTCCTCTCCCGCTCCTTGACCCTCAGCGCGATGCGCTTCTTCTTCCCGGGCCGCCTCCTTCTCGCCGCCGCCGCGTCCGCCTCCTCCTTTGTTCCTGCTGCGTCTGCCGCTTTCGACGTCGACGATCCCTTTTCCGCGGGCGGCGCCGGCGGCGCCGGCGGCGCCGTGCTGGGAACCGCAGTCACCCGCCAAGGCTGTTCCATCCCCCACCACCGCTGCCGCGCCCGCTCGAGCACCTCCTCGCCCGACACCGCCGCGAACGCGAGCTCCGCCCTGGCCTCGGGCGTCGGCTCCCCGGCGATGTAGTACGACAGCGGCCTTTTCCGGATCATGGCCCCGTCGCCCGCGAGCGCGCGCTCGTCCTCGTCGACCAGCGCGATCTTTGTCGTCGGGTTCGATGTGGTAAAGAGCCGAAACTCAAACTCTTCGGGGCCGTCATCGCCGCCGTCGCAGTCTCCCCCAGTGTCTCCATCCGTGGGTACCGGTGCGGTCGTTCCCGTCGGGACCTGTTCGACATCGCCCAAGTCGAGCATGCCCGCCATACGGGCATGCAGCTTCGCTAGGAGGTCCGCATCTTGCTGCTCGTCGTGGCCCGCCGCTTCGTCCTCGGACGACTCCTCGAGTTCTTCTCGCCGGACTCTATAGGGCGAATTCGGTCAGCGCTGCGGCGCAGAGACAACCATGGGTATGGTCCTGCCTCACCTCTTCGCGTCGGGTAGCTCAAACATGGCTGCGGGTTGTTCCCGGGGAAAGGTAAGTACTTGTCGGGTGGGAGAGCAAAGCAGAGCGGCGAGGCATCCGTCAATTGACGGGTTCAGGCAGTCTGTACGTTGTGACGCCAAACAAGCGAATACGAAAGAGAGCGAATTGAAATGTGTACACCCGTAATTTCGATCGTCAAGTGCCCGTGCGAAGCAGAGGGCAAAAAAGTCGCAGTAAAGGAATCGCGCAATGCGACCGGTGCTATGTGGAGTTCTGAGCACGGGACGGAAGGTTGCAATGTGATGTACGACGGGCGGCTGACGGCGGAATTTCGCCCGCGGAGGCGTTCAATTGAGATTTTCGCTCGCTAGGTATCCGTACCTTGAAGTGGGAGCGGTAAACCTTATCTTATCAGGCCCTCGTGGGGCTTACCTCACCCTCCATGGAACCTTACCTACCTCTGAGGAAAGGCAAGGTATCCGCCAGGTAAGGTAAGGTAGGTATGTAGCTTAAGACCTTATTTAACCACTTACAGGCATACAATGTATAATGTCGATTTGGACGGGACGAGATGCTCATGCAAGCGGGTGGTTATTTTGCTTTACGGCCGAAGATCAGACGGAGATTGGCGCTGCATCATTACCACCAACCGGGTTCACAGGGAACTCCCGTTCTCTCTTTTTTTTGCTCCCAAGTTCACAGGCGCTCTCACAGCTCTATTTCTCTCACAGCTCTCTCTCCCCC